ACACTGATTTTTATTGTCCCTCTGTGCTCATGGGTTTCAGATTTTACAGGAAATTAAAGCAAAATCTCCACAAATCTGACAAAGTACCACATCAGGTCTGTTTTTGGTCTGTATAGTGAATTAAAAACCTGTTTAAACAAATTTAGATGACCTTTAGTCATGATAACGAACCACCATCAATGAAATCATTCCTCTCACATGACCAGCAGACAAACAGTTCCAGCATCTCTCAAGTTCACCTCCTTGTCCTGCTAAGTCTTTACTATAAGGAAGAAGGTAACAGCTGATCTCAGGTGTCACCTCACTGACACTCCTAAGATTAGCTGACCAAGAGCTCAACGTTTCCTCTGATACATGAACTCAGGTGACCTTTCTGGGTTCAGTTTGACATGAAGAGCTGCAGGACTGCTGCTGGAGGAAATGCTATTAAAACCACCTGTTTGGATCACCTGCAGTGACACCTGTGCAGAGGGACTTGCAGGTGATCTCCACCTACAGTGAAACTAAGACGCATCACAAACAGACAAATGATCATTTCACTTACTCATGGCATTTAATTCTGCAATTATTTTCTGTAGCGCTGATAATTTCAATCAATCCATCACTTTATTTATAGAGCACTTTTCATACATGGACTGTATCAGAGAGTGCTGTACATTAAAGAATACAAGACGGAGAGGATCAGGGGATATCAAATAAAATACAAGATAAAATACAAATTGCAAAACCCTACCCACCCTCACAGCCCGCATTTAACAGAAACCCCACCACAAATTTCATATAATAAAACTGTTTTTAAATCAAACAATAAAAGAAAATAAACAAATAGTGTTAAAACATAAAATAATAATTCTGGGACTAAAGTGGAGTAAAATACATAAGATAAAAAGAGTAGACTAAAAGAGAGGCTAGAAGAATAAAAAAAAAATCAGCAAAAAGCCAGACTGAAAAGGAAGGTCTTGAGTTTGCATTTAAAAATATGAACTGTAGGTGCTGCTCTCAGGTCTTCAAGCGGACTGTTCCACAGATGGAGGCCATAATAATAGAATGAGGCCTCACCGTATGTTTTAGTTCTAACTTTGGGGACTATTAAAAGACCACTACCTGAAGACCTGAGGGCTCTACTGGGCTCATATCGTAAAATTAAATCAGATAAATAAGGAGGACCAGGACCATTAAGACATTTATAAACTAATAAAAGAACCTTAAAATGTATTCTAAAAGACACAGGAAGCCAATGCAGAGACTTTCAGATTGGTGTAATGTGGGCTCTCCTCCTGGTCTTCGTCAGCATGCGTGCAGCCGAATTTTGCAGCATCTGAAGCTTTGAAATGTTCTTTTTAGGAAGACTAGAGAGGAGAGCATTACAATAATCAATTCTACAGGTAATAAAGCATGGATAAGAGTCTCTGCATTGGCTTGAGAGAGAAACTGGCTGACTCTAGAGATGTTCTAAAGGTGAGAAAAAGCCTTTTTGGTGATATCATGTATGTGTGATTCAAAGCTGAGGTTAAAATCAAATATAACACCCAGGTTTTTCACTTGTTTTGATGGATTAAAAGACAGTCCTCAGAGTTTGTTCTCCAGTTTCTCTCTCTCTGGACCTGTACCGATGACCAAAACCTGGGTTTTGTCCTGGTTAAGCTGCAAGAAGTTGTCTGCCATCCAGGACTGGACATCTAAAATACAGTTAAAAAGGGCGTCAATGGGCCCTGTGTCATCAGGAGACACGGCCAGGTAGAGCTGTGTATCATCAGCATAGCTGTGAAAGTTAATGCAGTGTCTTCTGATGACATCTCCTAATGGTAACATATATAGATTAAAAAGTAAGGGGCCTAAAATTGAGCCCTGAGGAACACCACACTCCATTTCATAGGTTCTTGATGAGCGTTCCCCAGTGCTAACGTAAAATTTCCTGCCATTCAGATATGCTTTAAACCAGTTAAAAACAGTACCAGAGATGCCAATGTAGTTTTGGAGTCTGTTTAAAAGAATTTTAAGATCCATTGTGTCAAAAGCTGCACTCAGGTCCAACAGGACTAAAACAGAAATTAATCTTTCATCCATGTTGGACCTGAGGTCACTTACAATCCTGACTAGTGCCATCTCTGTCCGGTGATTTTTCCTAAAACCAGACTGAAATACATCACCAATATTTTTAGAAATCATAAAATTATTTAACTAGTTAAAAACAATATTTTCTAAAATTTTGCTTAAAAATGGCAGGTTGGACACAGGTCTGTAATTATTAGGTACCGCTGTATCCAAGTTGTCTCTCTTCAGAAGGGGCCTGACACAGGCTGTCTTAAAGGCAGTGGGAAAGAACCCTGTCTGAAGAGAATAGTTAACAATATTAATAATGTCATCCTTAAAAACACTAAAAGAGGTCTTAAAAAGGGATGTGGGGATAGGATCTAAAACACAAGTCACTGGTCTCAGATGGGAGACAACTTCCTCAATCTCTGCAGCATCAACCACGGCAAACCTGTCCAGTGTTTCCCCATTTAAAAACACAGACTCAGAAGAGCTAAAATCATCAGGCTTACTGTTTAAAAAGTTTGACCTGATAACATCAATTTTATTTCTGAAGTGGACTGCAAGGTCTTCACAGGATAAATCTGAATTAAAAGGTTGCTTAAAAACAGGATTTGTTAATTGGTCAATGGTTGAGAAAAGGATTTTGGGGTTATTGCAATTGTCAGCTATTAATTTTGAAAAGTGGTCCTGTCTTTCTTGTTTTACTGCTCTGTTGTAGGTGGTGATTTGTTCCCGAAAAATCTGATGATGCACTTGTAATGGTTTTTTTCTCCATCTCCTCTCTGCAATTCTGTATTTTCTCTTTAATTTGAACCTTGTTTGTTCTCCATGGTGGTTTTGTGTTTTGTTTGATCTTTTTCACTTTTAATGGCGCAACAACATCTATTGCCTCCGCAGCCAATGAGTCCAGCAGGTGTTCTTGGATCTGGTGAAGAGTTGAGATCCGACCATCCAGTTCTGTTAATTCTGGGATAGTTGAAGGCATCAAGCACAGTCCAGCGGAGAGGTAGGAGGAGGCATATTTTGTGGGAGTTGTTACTGGTTGCCACAGTAAACAATCACTCTGTTAGGGTCTGCACCGCATGTACGGGCAGATAACTTGATATCGCAGCACAGATACGGTGAAAAATTTTGTGTCAGAACCAGACACACTATAAGATATTACAAAATAACAAAAAACAGAGAGTGCTCACTTCAAAACTATCAAAAAAGAGCGTAGATATCGACACGATTTGTCGTCAGCTGAACCAGCATGTGACATCATCAGCATGCGACACTTCACTTATTTAAAATTTCTTTCCTTTTAGACCAGGGGTCTCAAACTCAATTTACCCGGGGGCCGCTGGACGAAGATTCTGGGTGAGGCTGGGCCGCACCAGGTTTTTCACAAGAAAAGCTCTTACAAAAACATTCCAGTGTTATCAAATGTCTTTGTTTATTCATTTATTCATCCTTTTTTGTCTTAGAAAATTTAAATAAATTAACAACTCATAAGAAAAAAATAAATCAGTAATAAATAAAATGATACTAACAATAATAATAACAATAATAATTCAGCAGATATAGAAGACTGAATAAACCACATATAGTTGCTGACTAGAGAAATGTAATTATTATTCAGATTCAAATGTCTGTATTAACAGCTCTTTAACCTTTAACTTTCTGAACATGAATGGAACATTGAACATAAACTGTTATGAACATGGCTTCTTCTGCCTGAAAAAGACATGTTTGGGGCTTTTGTAATATAATTGATTCCACTTGATGTCACTGTCGCGTTAAAGTTTCAGTTTCGGTGTTTAACCGATGCGTCATTTCCGCTTTTTTTCTGTTCCGCTGAGTAGCAACTTCGGGTTCCGACTGAGCGCGAAGCGCGTGACGCGGGAGCGGCCGCGACATTACACACGCGCAGCATCCCATTAAAGTGCCCTAGCTCCTCGAGCTGTTGTTCCAGGACAATCATGGATATGCCGCTATGTTTTCCGGGCTGTACTAAACACGTTTGTACACTTTTTCCAAGAATTAAAGTCGGCTACAGGGCTATACACACACACACACACAGAGACAGACCAGCGCTGTAGACTAGGACTTGTGTAGATATACTGATGCCGTATGTTTTCACCGTCTGTGCATAAAATGACAAATATAAAATGCACACAAATATGCAGATACTGAAATAATGAAAATTGACCGGTGTAACAGGTGTTGTGCCAAAAATGATTGTCTGCCAGAAACATATTTCCGGTCGCGGGAGCGCAAAAACGTCAATTTCTCTGGATTAAACGGTCATAATATGCAGGGACACACAGCTGTATTATACTGTAGTTATAGCAAAGGCGTGTGTATTTGAAAGTTTAACGTTTGTCGTTTCGTTATTATTACAACTGGCCAAAAGAGGCCAAGTTTGTAGCGAAATCGGGCAATGTAATACATGTCTCTGTGCTTGGTATGTGACTGTATTGGTTGCTTGTCAATAAACGCGACCGGAACTCAGTTTCTGACAGACAATCCCCTTTTCGCACAACACCGGATTCTCTCGTTATTTCATGTGTGACTTCATGCAACGATCGACAAGAAGGCTCGCGGCTCGTGACCCGCGCAAAAATAGAACAGACGCCGAAAGGAAGTGGTCGTCGTTCCGCGGCGCTTCCGCATCAGGTCATGTCATAGGTGCTGATGAGGTGTTGAGTGGTCCTGGTTGCCTGGGATCAATATAATAAAAATAGAAGACAATGAGTACAAAACCGGGCATAGTAATTTAAACTGTAGCCATGCAACCACACCAGAGAGTTTAACAACAACAGTAATTTCATTAAAATTTAGATAAAATACAGCCCCCAACTAGCAATGAAAATATTCCCTCCTCATAAGAGCACATTCGCAGCTTTTCTTTTTCAGATCTCTGTCTCAACTCTGGCTCTGCCTCACTTCTTACATCTCTCACTCACTCTTTCTTTCCTTACCTAACTTCCATATTTCTCAGAGGAATGTATTTTCCTCAGGATGGCCCTATCTTTGGCCAGCATCTCCATGAACTCCTGACAAGGGATGTTGATGTTTGTCTTCACTAGAAGCATGGCCTTGATGGAATCAACAGTAAATCTGTTTCTGGCATAAGTCCAGATGTCATTCATGAGGGAAAATATTTTCTCAACAGGGGCATTGCTTCCAGGTAAGCACATGACCAAAGAAACTAATTTAGCGAGGTTATGGTATGGAATCTCATTTTCTTGAAGGTGAGTAAATGCGGCACTCCACCTCTCAATGAGGGGTCTCTCAGCTTTTCTCCACTCTTCCAGTAATCCACTTTTGAGGAATTCTTGCAGGGCAGATATTTCGTCAAAGAGATTATCATTATGGATGATGACATTGGGGCACTTCTCTTTTAGTCTTGTGGCTGCATTCTTGATATCTTGACGCTGAACTGTCTTCTTTAGGAGGAGACAGTTTAGGTCATTCAGACTGTCAACATGCTTCCCCCATGGCTGGATATAACTAGTAGCAGTGGAGAAGAATGCCCGGGATGTTGTAAGGTAGGACTGTTGTGTTATGACCCCATTCTCTTCCAGCTCCCTCAGCAGTCCTCTGGCCAGGACAGGGATAAAGTCGTCATGATGTCGTGCTGTCAGTTTAGCTTCAAGGTCTTTCAGAATTGCAGCTGACTCCACAGCACACCTGTCCTGGCCTTCAAGTTTTTCAATGGTGTCACTGAATATGCCTAGGTTTCCAAGGGCAAAGCTGAGCCACAGCTCTGTGTTAGGATCCTCAAATATCCTTCGCAATACAACAGGGCACTTGTCTTCAGAGAGAAAGAATGATTTGAGTGGTGCATACATTTTAAGCACACTCTCTAGTGCAGGAAGCATGGACAGCCAGCGAACATTGCTGTGTCCTAATATGTTGTGGTACTTCTGACCAACAAACTCACAAAAGCTCTTCAGCCTTTCTACTCTCACTGTAAAAATGTGAAAATATCCAAATATTTTTGTTAGAAGGTACTCAACATCAATTGGGATGATGCCCAATGCTGTTCTGGTTGCGTTATGGATGATGTGAGCAGGACAAGCCAATCACCTCTCGCTGTAGAGAATCTTTGACTTTGGTGCGCACATTGACCCCCCCTTTCCTATTCAGGCCCCCGGAGTTGGCGTTTGTGTTGTCTGCAGAGAATGCCACCACTTTATCTTGAAGAGTGAAATTTTCTGTGACAGCTAAGATCTCAGCTGCAGGTTGCTTGGCTGTCTCCCCATTTAGCTCAACAAAATCAAGCATCTTTGTTTCCACTGTCAGGCTACCATGATATATTTTGCAATATCTGACTAGAACTGGCAGCAGCTTCACATGTCCATGATTTGATTCATCTGTGAAAATGGACACAAACTCAACCCAAACTCTAAACCCTGTTTTACCATAGAGGTGGCTCATGGTGCGAAAACATTCTTGACAATGACATCACCTTTCGTCCTAGCACACGTAAACTTCGGCTCATAAAGATTCCTTGTCAGTAGAGCAGTACAGTCAAGGGAGCGGTAACTATGGTTGTGTTTCAATGTATCATATGCCAAGATTCCGTCCTGTAAGGCAAGATAATAGGATAATAGGCATAATAATCTTTTGTAGGCTTTACCTTTTTATAGAAGGTTGTTACTGAGGGCACACCTGCACTGGCAGTAAGAAAGAATTTGTGTTTTTTGCTCTGTTGGTGTTCCACTACAGCAAACCTCCCACCACTTCCTATTGAAAAGGAAGACTTGCAAAGGGAGCAGTGCATCACGGTTTCTTCCTGGCCAGGCCGACAAGGATGGATAAATGGAAATTCCTCTTGTAATTTGTCTGTGAAATGACACTTCCTCTTCTTTGAAAGTGACATCCTTTCAATTTGTCTCCCTCCGCTTTTCCTTTCAATGTGCCTACTCCTCTTCCTTTTTCTTCACTCACTTCACTTTTCTTGTTCTCTTTCTTTGCTCTGTTCTCTCTTTCACTTTCATCTCCTTTCTCCTCTCTGTTTCACTCTCATCACTCTGTTTTCCTCTCTCCTTCACTCTTCCTACCAGTGGCCTATCTTGTAAAACAAACACATAATCTTGTTACAATAAACAACTCAGCTAACACAAGCCCAACCTACAAAACTGCTCAAAATAAAGTTATTCCCCAATATATTATAAAATAAAGTTAGTCCCCAAAACACTTTATGCAACACTGCATTAACACTTGGTCTCACTGCAACAACAAAGGAGATGTCACTTTTTAACTATCACAATACAAAAAGTTAGTTAGGTAACAGAGAAGAATTACGCCAGAAATGCCTCCTATTGAAAACACTTACCACCTACACATTAGTGGTGGGCAAAACTGGTCATTTCAGTGAACTGGATCATTCCGGGTCGTTCAGTAAAAAGACCCGTTCATTCCGGTCAATCGGTCATTAGTCAGTCCGCTCGTTCATGTTGTTCACGTTCGTTCAGACGCTGAACGAACGTGATGAGCGAACGGACTGACTGCACTTCAGACTCAACAGCGCAACAACATGTGATCTTGAAATCTGAAGCATTACACCCCTCCTGATCCGACGTTGAGAGCGTCTCAGCTCCCCGGTCCGACGCTGTGACCGCTGCACTCCCCACTTCCCACCCCCGGTCCAACGCTGCGATCGCGCTGCACTACTTGTAATATAAAATTATAGTAGGAGTAACAAAATATATAAGGTTTTTAATGGTTTTTATTATTTTGAGGTGCATTAAGAACAATAATAAAAAGTACAAAATGTCAACAGACAGTGCAAATACGTATTAATAGTTGTCTCTCTGCCTCTGGCTGCAGAAGCAGCTGTGTGCCTTTGCGTGTGTGTGACTGTCCCGCTCGCTCGGGCTCGGCTGTCGGCTCGTGCGGCGGCCAGTCTACTCGGTCTTTCAGTCAACTCGTTCATCGGTCTGGATCTTTCGTTCACTCGGTCTTTCAGTCAACTTGTTCATCGGTCTGGATCTTACATTCACTCGGTCTTTCAGTCAACTCGTTCACCGTCTGGATCTTTCGTTCACTCTGTCTTTCAGTCAACTCGTTCATCGTCTGGATCTTTCGTTCACTCGGTCTTTCAGTCAATTCGTTCATCGTCTGGATCTTTCATTCACGCAGTCTTTCAGTCAACTCGTTCATCCGTCTGGGTCTTTCGTTCAACTCGGTCTTTCGTTCAACTCGTTCTTTCGTTCATTTAACCCGTTCTTTCAGTCAACTTGGTCATCCCAGTCTTTCAGTCAGCTCAGTAGTACTGCTGCTGCTTCTCTAAGCCCCACCCACACACAGAACGAGGCACGACGATAGGATAAGACAGGCAAGCATGGAGATAGTCCCTCTTCAGCCAATCAAAAGAACTGAACGGACTGAACGAACTAGTTCTTTTTGGTGAACAAAAAAAGAACCGACACACCAATACTACACATGCATTTACTAGACCCTCCAGGGATCTGCAGAGAAAAAAGTTTTGATTCCTCGGAGAACAATCCTGATTCTGCGGAGAGCAATTCTTGATTCCGCGGAAATCCGCGGCTTGTTGTTATGACTTTGATTAGTTTATATATAGTTTATAAAATTATGATCTTGGACATATGGGACAGCTGTCCGGCTTTTTTCAAGATGGCTGTGGCATTAGTCATGGTTACCACGACAAATTACGTGAGTCGACTCGCTGCTCTGTGCGTTCCGTGTATTGTCTGTATGGTCCTGAGCGTTAGCATTTAGCATCGCCATAGCTACTTGGCTTTGCGCTGCAAGGCTGCGCAGGCATGTATCTCAGCCAATCGGTGGAGATTACCTGGATCAACCCCTCGTCTGAGAGCCTCTCATTGGCAGAATGAATCGACTACAGTCAAACCTGAATTGATTCATCCAATCGCTGTATAGATGGGCAGGTACGGACAGTGAGCTTTGGGCTATGGTTGGCCAGACTGAAATGTCTGTCAGCTTGATTGGCATTTTTTTGGTTCAATCAGAAGGAAATGTTTGTTGCGTTAGCTTGTGGGGAACTTTATGGGGGGAAAAAAGACTGAAAACAAAGTTTACGGAATGACCAAAAATGACGGAAAAGATTACTTTTTTCCCTTGAGACTGTTCTCATTTGAAAGAGGAGGATGTTGTGATGTGTTTTGATATATGATAGTGGGGTGGAGTTACGTGGCGGCTTCTTCAGCTTCCTCTTTTCTACCGGAGTCGCTAATGTCCACAGCGCATTTAAAATGTGCAGAAAGTGTTTAAAATCTTAATAAATAAAACCTAATCAAATTATTAATATAGGTGAGTGAAATATTAAAACACATTTTAGACCTGCTCTAACCCCCCTGTAGCAAAATCTGAGAAAAATCTGTTGTTTCATCTCATCCTTGTTAAACTAGAGGCTGGAGATGAGAGGGAGAGGCTCATGCCACGGTCTAAGTGGTTAAAACAATTACAACACAACAGCATAACTTTTCTCTTTCCTCAGCAGACAAGGTTTTAGTGGCGATTGTGGTTGTGATCGTTTTCTGTAGTTTTAAAATAAGGTCCTCTGGAGTTGCGAGAGAGCTGTCATCTAGCGGCCAGGATAAAAACTATTTGTAAAATAGGATATTCTGCACCTCACCTTGTATTCCGCAGACCACTTTAATTTCCACAGAGGACTTTGAAATCTGCGATAATTTCCGCGATCGCGGATTCCTTGAGGGTCTAATTTACATAACAAAAGAGCTTCAACTCCACAAGTAACTCACACATACCAAAACAGTCGTTAAGTCCTGGCAGGTTAAAATTGCTTTCAACCGACATCCACATGTAGACGATCAAAACCGGCTCTGCTCCCCGCGTCTTATCGACTTTAGGACCCCACAGTGAGAGGTCAGGACCCAGCTTGCCTTGGAGGGCTGTTAATATTCCCTGATGAAAATTAAATTTGGTGACACTATACCTGTAAACCGGGCCAAAAATGTCATAATATTGGGCAGTCTCTGAATGTGGCTCGCTCAAGATAGACCTACCGTTCAATGCTCAAATCGGGGACATTTCCGGGGACAGTTTCTTGCCAGGGACAGCACAGGCAAATCGGGGACTGTGCCTGAAAATCGGGGACGTCTAGTCACTGTACTTTAGCATGAACTCATTCTCACCTTTGTAACTTCTGCATACTTCACCTACATACCTAATTTTTGCTTCAAAATGTTCACAATCTTGTCTGCTACTAATGTTGTATTCACTTCTTGTACCGTTTTTGCACAGTTTACCTTTGAGAATCACAAAAAATGTTCTGCCCTACTGAGCCTTTAAAATGAGTGTACACACTAAACCAAGGGTGAATATTTTGCTCCCACACCGACATTTTTAATAATAATAATAATAAATTTTACTTATAACATGCTTTTACAGGTGCTCAAAGATGCCTTACAAAGAAAGAGAAGACTATAAAATCAAAAAACACAATTTGAAATACAGAAAATTTTGAAAAATAAAACCAACAATGTCAAAGGTTGAAAAAAAGACACAATATGAGAAGACAATAAAAGAACAGTTCACAGGTCAAAAGCCAATTTCAAAATGTGTGTTTAAGGAGTGATTTCAAAGTATGGGGGTCTGTACAGCCTCGGATGGGTTTGGGGAGTGGGTTCCAGAGGGTGGGGGCGGCAGCAGAGAAGGCTCTGTACCCCCAAGTTCGGTGCTTTTCACTCCATAGCCATAAAAATTACATGAAACAGTAGGTGAATTAGTTCTGCTTCTCACAAAAGAGGTGTCAAGTTATCAAATTGTATTGCTTTGCCAGGAGGTGAGTAGTTTTCCAAGGTTTGCAGAGATTCTGCCCATTAACACTCATGCTATTTTTCACCCAGGAAACCCTGATGATCACTCTCACTTTGGACATTTTAACCACTTGCGCCCGCTGCCCGCACATGTGCAGGCAAAACTGTGTCATGAACCTCTTCCTGTCATCTCCAGCCTCTAGCTTCACAAGGGCGAGATGAAACAACAGATTATTTTCTGATTTTGCTACAGGGGGGTTAGAGCATGTCTAAAATGCTAGGTTTGAATGTGTCACTGACGTTTTTTAATAATTTTTAAGATTATAAACACTTTGTGCACATTTTACACACGCTGCGGACATGAACAAGCCGTCAGGTAACTCCACCCCACTATTATACAACGCTATTATACACCTAACGCAACAAACATTTCCTTCTGATTGAACCACAAAAATGCCTATCAAGCTGACAGACATTTCAGTCTGGCCAACCATAGCCTGAAGCTCACTGTCCATACCTTCCCATAAATACAGTAATTGGGTGAATCAATCCACTTTTGTCTGTAGTTGAATTATTCTGCCAATGTACGGCTCTCGGACGAGGGATTGACGCAGGTAACCTCCACCGATTGGCTGAGCTACAAGCCTGCGCAGTGCTGTAGCTCAAAGCCAAGTTGCTACGGTGATGCTAATATTACACAGGACCACACAGTCAATGCACAGGATGCACGTCACAGCGAGTTGACACACGAGAAACCAGGGATATTGGAGTGCAGCAGAAAACAAAAGGATCAGAGAGAGTAAAAAAAAAGACTTTTGAGTGTGTTTTGATGTTGTATCCATAACAACTACCGCCACAGCCATCTTGGAAAAAGCCAGACGGCTGTTCGTGTTTATGACATTTGAGTACTGTCCCATACATCCAAGAACATAATTTTTGGAACTATTTCAAAGTCATAGCAACAAGACATGATAGAAATAAAATCAAGAAATAAACAACAGATATTACTGGAACTGGTCAACTGCAGGGTTATCAGTGGATATATCAGCGGGCCATTCAGAGGGCTTTTGTGGTTTATCAAGAAACAATCCAATTGCTAATCAACATTTGAGATCCAGAGGGAGTTGAGGTCCGACGAGCACCGCGTCTCTGACACTGGCAGTAACCTACACCTGCAGAGACACCAACGCCTTATGGCATATGGATTCATATGATAAACTACAGCCCAACGCCATTAACAGCTATTTACAGCTGCATTGACGGATATATCCTCTGCATATCCATTTCCGCCCCCACAGAAACAACAATTTCCTCCAAATCCACTTGTTTTTTGTTTTGGTTTTTCTGTGGAAAAGATCTATATTTTATATCTTCTTTTTAAAGTCCTTATACTTATGAAAATGTAATGCAGTTTCTTTATTTTTAGCCCAAAATCAGAAGGATTAAGTATTTCCTTGTTTGTGAAACCTGTACTAACTGAAATACATTTCCTTCAAATGCTCCATGGCCCTAAATTTAACAACTCATCTCTAAAATACCAGGTAACTTTACAACCTCATTCTCATAAACTAATTACTTTATTCCCATAACTTAATGACTCTATTCTGGTAAAGTCCTTTCCTCTTTTTGATTGTCACTTTGTTGTTTGTTGTATAGTAAACCCTGTGTGCTTGTAAGTATGTACTGTTTTGTGTCTGTTTCTTTTGTATATGTATGGTTTGTATGCAAGGTTGCACAATTAAAAAACAACTGCTGCGCTATGCGGCTCTTCTTCAAGTCAGTCGTGACATGAGCCTGAGAGTGGGGACATTTAGCGACTCAACCAGGAAGTCCTCAAAGGGTAGACCGTCCTAATTCACAAAAGTTGATCCACCTCACCTAGCAAGTGCACAAAAGGGCAGTGCACTCATCTGTATGCAGACCCTGATTTGAGACACAGCCAGAGACAGGTAAGACAATTACAAGGGAGGGAAAAAACAGGAAGTAAAACTAGACCAGACAAACAAGGATGAAGAACTACAAAATAAAATAGGAAACACTGAAATACTGAAACAGGTCAACATGATAAGCATTTTTAACCTGAGGAGATCATTCTGGCTCAAGTTAGAGGAAAATGAATGAAATGAATCTAAAGTGCGTCCTGGAAAAGAGAGCATAAGATTTGCAGCTTTTGGGCTCAAAATAAATAAACAACCTTAAAGACTTGTTCAGACACCTTTAAGTTTAAAAGCGTGAATGTCTCTAAGACCTATCAAAGGATAGGTGGCAAGATGGCCGCACCTCTGCCGACAACAGGCCGTCTGAGCTGGCTTTTCATGCTTTGTGCGTTGATTTTTATATGCTCATTGCTGTGTGAGAACGGTGCTAGTTCGGTGATAGTGTATGAAATACATACCCTATTAAAACATCTGTGCATCGGTGCTGGGCTCATTGTCCCACAATTGTTCCAAACAATGGAAATCTCACCGCCTCCTACATCGCACTATCCCCAGGGCTCTCTGGAAGCCCTCTTGTACATGTACCCGACCAAGAAGCTCAAGGAGGAGAAGCAGATGGGCAGGATTGGCGGTAAAGCTTCGCAAACAATCCAGTAATCGCTCTCTGGCTGCGCTTCAGAATTTCTCCAAGGAAGATGGATCCTGCTGGAGATTGGCTTGCCTACGACCCGTCCTCCCCAGGACAACTTTCCAACTACCGGCTTACACTCCTGTGTTCCATCGCTGATTACAGGCAAATGCTGCTTCGGGCGGTGCCTACGGGGTTCTCCCTCCTCACCGCTCCTCGCCCTCAAGTGTGAGGTTTTTGCCCCTGGCCAGGAGTGGGGACTGTTGCAGGTGACTGAGGCCGGTGCCACAAGCCTCAAACTTTGGCAGAGCCGGTTCGGACCAAATTTCTTTTGGGCTGATGAACGCGAGATCAGTTAAAAACAAATCTTTTGTTTTAAATGATCTTTTTGTTTTGAGGCACCTGGACTTTTTGCAGATTACGGAGACCTGGCGGAAGACGGATAAATTCTTTTCATTAAATGAACTTTGTCCAGCGGACTGCTCTTTCTCCTCCACCTCGAGAACCACCGGCCATGGCAGAGGACTCGCCACCATCTACCATAAGTGTTTTCTTACATAGACGGTAAACTGTAAAACATACTCCTCGTTTGAAGTACTCAACACCAAAGTTGACCGGACAACCCTGTTTTTCTGTGTTCTTGTGTACCGTCCTCCGGGTAAAAATAAATCATTCCTCGCAGACTTCGGTGACTTTCTTGCCTCCATTATCTGCCTTGCAAGAATCCTTTTGCTGGGGGACTTAAACATTCATGTAAACAAGAGTGCGGATTCTTTAGCTATGGACTTCCTCAATCTTACGGACTCATTCAACTTCATCCAGCATGTATCTAGTCCAACCCATGAGAAAGGTAACACATTGGACCTTGTTATCGGTCTGAACGTCAATGATGCCTGTATTGAGGACTAGATGTTATCGGACCATAAAAGTGTAATGTTTGCTTTTCTCTTGACAAAGACTTAAGTCCAGAGAAACGTACGAAATGCTCTGGCACTATTAACAACATCGCGGTGGAGAATTTCAGAGCTAGTTTCAGTGGCAATGTTTTGATGTTGCTGGATGTTGACATCGATGTTCTGGTTCGTGATTTAAATGCGCAGTGCGCAGCCATTTTAGATGACGTAGCCTCTCTAGTCACTCGCTCTGCTCGTGTCACAAATCCATCCCCCTGGTTGAATGAAGAGATTTATGCACTGTGGGAACTCATATATCATACCAATCATTTAGTCATTGTTTCAGGTGATAATATAATATATCATGCCAATCATTTTGCCATTGTTTCAGGTAATTAACTGTTTTCTTATTGTGTTTACATTATTTTGTGTGCTCATTACGGACATGTACTGATGACTCAAATAAAAAAGTTTAAAGCTAACATGGGGGCAATTGATCACTGTGTCACAACGTATAGAAGAGAGTCTCTCAGTAAAGAAAGATTATAGCTTATGCCTAGAAGTGCCAAGTGTGGGTAAGTATGGTTTTAAACTATTCTGCTATGATGCCTTAACAGTCATTTATTAGAAGTGTTCCTTATAATCATCACGTGTCTATGACCTTGACATATACTCTAGATAATGATTTGCCTTTCATAACAGACATGCAGGTGTAGCTCAAAATGTGAACAACAGGGTGAGGGAGGAAGATCACTCTGTCCTGAGAAGATGTGGAGGTGTAAAGGGAGGGTTTGCATGCTCAGCAGTCTGATCAGTGGGAACTCAGTGAAAGCCCGGAATACATGACGCAAATAAGATAAAAAAGAGATGGGCACTTTGTGCATCCAAGGTCAACTTCCCCGAAACCACGGTTCTGGTCAGGTAAAAAAACAGAAGAATACGCTCTTGTTTGTCCGTAGAGAAACACTGGGGACTGCTGGTTATGTAAACTCTCCGCCCATAAAGATGATGAGACACCTCAAATGTATAAATGTTAACTACAGAAAAATAGTATTCAGACCACTTCAGAGATACCATTGGGTTGATGTTGTGCTCTCCAAGATATCTTGTATTATCTGCTGTGCCGAAATAAAAGGTTGGTTGAAGACACCTTTTTGCCTCATGAATCCTCTGTTCCAGTCTCCATCAATTGACTCGGAGAAGTTTGGATAACTTAAACGGCACTCGGACGTAAGCGTCACAGAGTAAAGAGAGCCTGGAAAGCTTCCAAGCTGGAAGGTCACCGGCTATATCTAAAAGACCTAATAGTCGAATATAATACGTTGGTTGAAATGGCCAGGGCTACTTATTTAGCTAACCTCATTACCTCCAGTCTGAACAATCCCATGGTCTTATTTAATAATTTCTTTTGTATATGTATGGTTATTAATACTATCATTGCTCCCCCTCTTCCTTCTGTACCTTTGTTTTCTGATGATGATTGCAACACCTTTCTCACGTTTTTTGTCAACAAGGTTGCAGAAGTAAGAGCTAACATCACTCCCTCCCTCTCCCCCTCGGTGCCCAGTCCAGTTTCTTTACCATCTCTGAGCAGCTTTGCACCTGTCTCTCTTGAAGAGGTGCTGGAGGTGGTTGGCTCCATGAAAACCTCCTCTAGCCCACTGGACATTCTGCCCACCTCCCTTCTGAAACAAGTCATTATTTCTGTTGCCCTGTGCCTAGTCACCATCATTAACAAATCCTTGAGCTCAGGTGTGGTGCCCTCCTTTTTTAAGCAGGCGGCTGTCCAACCTCTCCTTAAAAAACCAACCTAGACCCATCCATTTCTCAAAATTACAGGCCCATTGCTAAGCTGCCATGTATGTCACAAGAGCTAAAGAAGGTGGTTTTCAACCAACTCAACACCTATCTACTCACACACGAAATTGGCGACAAATTTCAATCCGGCTTTCGGAAAAAACACTCTACCGAGACTGCACTCTTGAGAGTATCCAATGTCATTTTGATGGCCTCTGATTCCGACAAGTGCTCCGTTTTGGTCCTGTTGGATATAAGCGCAGCATTTGACACTATTGATCATGGAATTATATTGGACAGGCTAAGGAACTGAGTTGGGGTGTCGGATTGTGCTCTTCAGTGGTTTGCATCATACCTGAGTGAGAGATGCTTTTCAATCATAGCTGGCCCTTACAAGTCTGACAATGCTGCTCTTTACTGTGGTGTGCCTCAAGGCTCGGTGCTAGCTCTACTTCTCGTTGCACTCTACATGCTGCCATTGGGTCATTTAATAAGCAATTTTTCTGATGTCGCATACCATTGCCAAGCGGACGACATTCAGCTGCATTTTTCCTTTAAACCTGAGAACATTCAGAGTCTCAATGTTTTGTTGGAGTGTTTGGCTGCCATTGAGGGTTGGATGGCTAATAAACTCCTTCAGCTGAATGCGGCCAAGACCGAGGTACTGATAATTGCCTTAGACAGCATTGCAGCCAAGGTTGTGGAGCATCTGGGCCCCCTCAAAAACAACGCCCATCCTTGCATCAGGAATCTGGGGATACATTTTGACCAGTTGATGCTCCAGGACAAACACGTGAAGATGCTGAGTCACAACAGTTTTTTCCACCTGAGAAACATCGCCAAAATTGCGCTCTCAGAGCTGGAGATGGCTATACATGCATTCATATCATCTAGGCTGGATTATTGCAACTTGCTCTTCAAATGTTTGAACCAAGCATCAATCCATCATCTTCAACTGGTACAAAATGCTGCAGCCCGTTTACTCACCAGGGGCCTCATGTATCAACACTTGCGTGGAACTCATTCCGGAAACGAGCGCACGCAAGGTCCGTCACGCTGAAAAAAATTTGTATGTATCAAGGTGTGCGGGCGCCAAAAGCCACGTGTGTTTCCTTGATAAATCCCAATCAGCTTGGAATTGAGCGCAGATGTTGGAGTGACCGGGCCCGCCCCCGTTACGCCCACCTATAAATATGCAGATTTATTTAAATAGGGTCTCCCTGTCCTCACACACAGACAAAATGACAAGAAAAACGAAATTTACGGCATGCGAGGTGGAGGAGCGACAGCGTGTTTTGTTTGGCAGCCTGTCCAGTGGCGTCAGTGCAAAACGAAAACGCTTGGAGTGGGAGAAAGTTTGCGAGAGGGTGAACGCGGTGGGTTCAGAGACATTCACCCCCGTGGAGATTAAAAAAAGTGGTCGGACCTCAAGGTGGAGGTCAAGTGGCGTACAGCTGCCCTCCGGAGGAGTACCGGCCAGACAGGTGGGGGTCCCGGGGAGGAGACCCTCACGCCGTTTGAGCAGCGGGTGGTGGCGATTATGGGGGGCGCCTCTGTGGGGGGGATTGTCGCTGCTACCCGCGGCGACTCAGACAGCCTGCTGGAGGGGAAGTGGCGTGTCACACAAATGTCCACATGCTTTGCCATAGATGTAAACGCAACAGATACACAGAAGCAGGAATTGAAATGAACCAATATTTTTATTGTGTCGCAGAAATCAATGTGTCGGCCATGTCGCCGGCTTGCAGAACCCCGGCCCGACAGCCTGTCCGCCGGCATGGAGTCGTCGGCCAGGACCATCGGCATTCGGGCCACCCCGGCCCCAGCACCAGCACCAGCGCACCGACAAGCGGTGGAGCGTCCACCAGCTGCGGCGCTTCCGCTGGACCACCCGGACGCAGTGGAAGGGTCCTCACGGAGGCGGTCCTGCAATCGCAGGAAGAAATCATCAGGGGGATCGCGGGGATCAACAAGCGGCTGGACCGGCTCGTAAATGTCCTTGAGCGTCTGGTGGAGAAAATAAATTAATTTGGCTCATTGAACTGTGTATTCACTTCTTACCCATTCACATTGTGGCGATTTTCTGGCGCCGCCAGCGTTGATACATGAGGCCCCTGATCACTAAAATAAATCATCTGGGGCAACGCTTGCGGCGCAAGAAAACCTTGCGTACGCCAAAATCGGCGCACACGTCCAGATTTATCATCGCGAAACGAGCGTCGGTTCCAGCGCTAATCAACGCAAAGTCAGGAGGTGGTGTAGAAATTGGCGTTGAGCTGGATATTTGCGTTGACTGTGATTCGCACTTTGGCGACGCTGTGTGGCGGTGTTTGGTGACTCACTATGTGACAAGCGTGCACCACATCCCCGTGGCCGGGCAGCACGTCGCCCCACATGACGAACCAGCAGCAGACGGAGGGATGCGAGCTGATCCCTGCCGGGCCGCCGTCCTCGCGCGGGAGAATCTCATCGCCACAGTGTGAATGGGTAAGAAGTGAATACACAGTTCAATGAGCCAAATTAATTTATTTTCTCCACCAGACGCTCGAGGAAATTTACGAGCCGGTACAGCCGCTCGTTGATCCCCGCGATCCCCCTGATGATTTCTTCCTGCGATTGCAGGACCCCCTCCGCGAGGACCCTTCCACTGCGTCCGGGTGGTCCAGCTGAAGCGCCGTGGCTGGTGGACGCTCCACCGCTTGTCGGCGCGCTGGTGCTGATGCTGGGGCTGGGGCCGGGGGCCGGGGTGGCCCGAATGCCGCTGGTCCTGGCCGACGACTCCGAGCCGGCGGACGGGCTGCCGCGGGCCAGGGTTCCGCAAGCCGGCGACACGGCTGACACATTAATTTCTGTGACACAATAAAAATATTAGTTCATTTCAATTCCTGCTTCTGTGTATCTGTTGCGTTTACATCTCTCTCCACGGTATCATAGGTAATGTAATCCAGTATTTCGAGGTCAGTTATGCACATTACAGTTGTTTATTGCATAAAAAGTTATCGAAAAATGAAGTTAAGGGCGAAGTATAAATCACGTCTAAAAATAGACTGAATCCCGACGTTGAAATGAAGTATAAACTTAGACTAGACGTCTAATATACGTCTTTTGCTCAGTGGGATGACAAAGCATGTGGACATTTGTGTGACACGCCACTTACCCTATAAAAATAATCGCCACCACCCGCTGCTCAAACGGTGTGAGGGTCTCCTTCTCGGACCCCCACCTGTCTGGCCGGTACTCCTCCGGAGGGCAGCTGTACGCCGCTTGACCTCCACCTTGAGGTCAGACCACTTTTTTTTAATCTCCGCCGGGGTGCGTGTCTCGGAACCCACCGCATTCACCCTCTCGCAAACTTTCTCCCACTCCAAGCGTTTTTGTTTTGCACTGACGCCACTGGACAGGCTGCCAAACAAAACACGCTGTCGCTCCTCCACCTCCCCTACCAGCACCTCCACCTCGCACGCCGTAAATGTAGTTTTACTTGTCATTTTGTCTGCGTGCGAGGACAGGGAGACCCTATTTAAATAAATCTGCATATTTATAGGAGGGCGTAACGGGGACGGGCCCAGTCACTCCGACATCTGCGCTCAATTCCACGCTGATTGGGATTTATCAAGGAAACACACGTGGATTTCGGCGCCCGCACACATTGATACATACGGATTTTTTACAGCGTGACGGACCTTGCGTGCGCTCGTTTCTGGTATGAGTTCCACGCAAGTGTTGATACATGAGGCCCCTGGTCAGCCTTGCCACCGCAGCAGCAGGGGAGACATGTCTGGATTGAGCTGAGCAGGGAAGAAAGAAAAAGGGGTAGACAAATTAAATATCTTGTTCACTTCTGGTCAGGTTGAGTGTCCAAACACGTGCCAAATGTGCTCATCAGAGAAGAAATAGATCAGAATATATTTATATAGATCTAAGTGTATGTTCTGACTGAGAAAGTTGCACTAAATATTGGTTGTTGTTGACTATTTATTGCACTGAAAAGTGCCTGACACTGTGGAAACCTGCCTGTGAGGCATCAGCGACGTATGCACACTACGCTGCTGGTCTACCAAAATACACACTGAAAGCTGACTAGGTTTGAATCGGCAAGCTTTCAGCATACTTTCTACGCCGGCGGCGAGCACAAATATGTCACTGCGCTAGGTGATTCTGTCGACACCTCCCCTTGCCCCGCCACCACACCCACCTTGGTACACCTCTGTGTGCCTCAGTCTATGAAAATACCAAACTGGCTGTGCACCGGGCTCTGCCAGATGGAAATACCACTGCATGGGGTGCACCATGCATCGTCAGCCGTGCCGTTGGCGGGCACGAAAATAGAGCCCTAAGTTGCTGATTGCATTCTGTTAGAAGTTGTTGGGTCTAAAACCTGCAAAAAATGACTGAAAACACATATAGAAGAGAAAGACAATGGTTTAGATTTCTTACTCGCGAGGAGAATGGGCAGAGATAGTCCTCCTCATTACTTCCCACGATTCACAGTGGAGGCTACATCACACACACACCTGCTGATAGGAGAAACAAGGTCGCAGAGAAGTTAAGAAACATTCATGTGCTGTGTAATAAAGCTATTGGAGAGAGAAGTTAGAAAACACTCTTATATGATGTGTAACAAGAGGTCAAAACAGTTCATACTTTTAGTAAACTCTTACATAAGAACATGAGTAAAATGATTACTTCTATATACATTTATACAAATTATTCTGACAGAAGTAATCTTTCAAAAATACTTGAATTGTTATGTTGTGTTGGTTAGGTTACAATAGCATCGCCATCTACTCACTTCTCTGGGTGCATCCTGGACTGGTGTCAGTTAAAGCTCAACATTGTCCCAGTCTTCTCTTCAATGGTTCTTTTACACCATGAACACGTTGCTCTACATTTACCAACCTTTGTGGTAAACACAGAAAAATAGACACTGCAATCATTTTTCCTATCATCAAGACCACAATATCAACAGACTCATATGACTGACTTTAAAGGGCTGACCCTTCAGATACCAGCATCTGGGCAGCTGCCTCTTCCTCTTGCCTTTTTTGTAAGCTGAGACCAGTTTGCATGCCAAAACCAGTAATCTGTCACATTATTGAGCGAGTGCCTTGTGTTTGATTGTTCGAAGTGTGTTTGATAAAGCTGAAAAGTCTCTGCATACTACAGCTTGTGCGCAGCGTGCATTTAGACACCAGGGGATGGTAGGGCAGCGTCTTGCAAGGGAGAGGCACTCATTCCAATCTGCCATTGCAACACTTTTCGAAAAGTTATGGGAAACTTCAGTCCCTGCAAATGACACAATGGCTTTTACTCCACTTATTTTCTGGTGCCCAAAAAAAGATGGGGACATCGCCCAATTTAGATTTAGGATGCCTAAATAATTGCTTTGACATATTGCCTTTCGAGATGCAACACACAAAGCATATCACGGAGTTGGTGAAACCAAGGGAGTGGTTATTGATCTCAAAGAGCAGCAGTAGCTCAGGAGGTAAGGTGGTCGTCCAATAACTGGAAGGTTGGTGATTCAATTCCCTCCTATCCCTAGTCTGTCCGTTGTGTCCTTGGGCAAGACACTTGACCCACCTTGCTCCCAGTGTATGTCCTCCACTGGTGTATGATTGTGAGTGCTGTGTGCTGGTGGTCGGAGAGACTGTAGGTGCAAACTGGCAGCCATGTTTCCGTCAGTCTGCCCAAGGGTAGATGTGACTACTAAAGTAGTTTACCACCACCAGGGTGTGACTGTGTGAGCGAATGAATGACGTATCCAATGTAAAGTGCTTTGAGGGTCTCTGATAAAGGGCTCTAAAATCTGATGCATTATGATTATTATGATGATGATGATGATGATGATTATTATTATTATTATTATTATGTCCTTATTTTGTAGCAGCAGTGGAAGTTCCTCCAGTCCACTTTTGAAAGTCTCTTTGCTTTTCTCAGCCCTTCTAGGACCAGGAAGTGTGCATGCCAAAACCAGTTATCTGTCACATTATAGTGCAGGTGCTTTGTGTCCTGAGGATTGTCTGCTGGTTTTTCTGTCCTCGCCCATGTTACATCCCTTGGCTTTGAGGTAAACTTCAAAAAGCAACCTCGAGCAATGAAAGAAACAATCTTTTTTGGGTCTGTCTGAATTCCCTTACAATGAGGGCATCCTTTACCCCTCAAAGGGTAGCCTGGATTCTGGAGACTTTGGACACCTTTCTAGCAGGCTGATGCCTGAAGCTGGTTCACTTTCAGGTACTGCTGGGGTTAATCTTAGCTGCAGTAGTGGCTGAATGCTGTCAACCTCCAGCCAAAGAGGGACTGCTATGTAAAGTGTTCCTATCCCTTAACAAAGTCATATTTGTTAGCCCACCTTCTATGGTGGAATAGCAAGATGCTCACAGAGTCCCAAAGGGACAGTGTCTTGAGTTGGTCCAGGAGCCCTTGCTTTGGGCCTTCACATGCCATCCTCACTCAGAGCAGTTTATGTACCAGGATCTCTAGACCAGGCAGCAGGTCCTCTCCCCCTGTCGTTACCATTTAAAGTTCAGGGGTGATGGTAATAAATAGGGGAGTGCCACACAGATGGTATTTGTATTTGTATTTGTTGGGGGGAGGGGGGGGGAGATTGTATTTGTATTTGAGTAAAATTAAAAATAGGCGTAAAAATCCTTTTTTTTTGGTGCTGCACTTCTTATTTATGTTGAGTAAGTGTAAGTCTTCTTTAGTTATCCATTATTTTGCTTATGGATACGCAAGATTGGTTGATGTTTTTTCCATAAATCTAGCAATGAACATGTAACAAGGAACATCACTGAAAAGAAAATAACATAACAGCCATTACTTCAACCTTAGATAAACCAACAACTAATAAAATACCATTGTGAACATTATAAACCCCACCACCACCTGTCCTTGTTGGAGGACGCTGAACAGACAGTAGAAAAACAAATAATACTTAAAAGCACAGTTTTTTCTAATGCACAGAATGCCAAGTACTAAACTTTATCAACCCCTGATAGAGAGATCTAGCAGAACAAAAGTTATATTCAATATCAATACTGTTAATCTTGAAAAAAAATGGGATGCACCTGTTTCCTTGTCAATGGGCATTTATGCCCTTTGAAAATGAACACATTTTAGTACAATGCAAATTTACTGTTCTATAAAGGTTAACGCCCACTGATTGAAACACAGTTACATGCAATGATATGTTGACAACAGTGATTTCATTTGTAATTGCATTTGCGTTTTTTCTGCCAAATGTTTAAGTTTCTCTGCTGCTTATAAGACAAGAACTGACTGTCTATCCAATGAATTTATTTGGAAATACAATGTTATGTTTACAAAAAAATATGACAAAAATAATCCTAAACTGCTTAGAGCTTCTGGCTTCAAAACAACCAGTGATACTCAAAATAAGATTTAGTTCTTTCTTTTTCTAGATAACAAAAGTCATAAGGATACCTTTCATGTAGAACACGCTGATACGGGCTTGCCCTTGTATTTAATAAAAAAACGAAATAGTTTGTTGTCGTTTATCTTATTTACACGACAGCAACTAATTTCTGTCTCTACATGGTTGCTTGTTTACATTGCTCTATAAATTGTGCAAAGCGGAGTTTCTCCCTGATGCACACATGAACACACACAGACACACAGGTGAACACACTCTCACCAGCAGAGGTCTGTTGTGTGGTTGTGCCTGACAGACACACACACACAATATGAAAAAGTCTGTTTGAACCATTTAAAAATACAGATAAATATTACAAATAAAGATCGTAATATTAAGAGCTTAAATAAATTGAATAATTAAGAAACAAAATTAGGAAAAGGAAAAAGGGAGAAGAAAAATAAAACTATATATAATATACACAATTTAAATGCCAGTAAAAAAGTGGTGGTGTGAGTCCAGTTTTATTACAGTTCATTGTAAAGTCTTATTGCAGAAGGGAGGAATGACCTGCGGTAGCACTTCGTCTTGCAAGGTGGGAGTCTCAGTCTGCTGCTGAAGTAGCTGCTTAAGGTCCCCACAGTCTGGTGCAGTGGGTGAGAGGGATTGTCCATGATGGATACAAGCTTTGCTAACATCCTCCTCTCACCCACCTCCTCCAGGGAGTCCAAGGAGAAGTCCAGGACAGAACTGGCCCTCCTGACCAGTTTGTTCAGTCTCTTCCTGTCCCTCTCGGTGCTCCCTGCCCCCCAGCAGACCACTGCATAGAAAAGTGCAGATGCTACCACAGAGTCATAGAAAGTCCTGAGCAGAGTCCTGCACATTCCAAAGGACCTCAGTCTCCTCAGCAGGTGGAGACGACTTTGGCCCTTCTTGTACAGGACGTCTGTGCTGGTTGACCAGTCCAGTTTATTGTTGAGGTGGACACCCAGAAATCTATAGGACTCCACCATCTTGACGTCCAGACCCTGGATGTTCACCGGAAAAGTCTGAGGTGTCCTCCTCCTGCGGAAATCCACTACCATCTCCTTTGTCTTACTGGCATTGAGCTGGAGGTAGTTTGTGCCACACCAGTTGACAAAGTCAGTGATGACAGTCCTGTATTCCCGCTCATCCCTTGACGTTACACATCCGACGGTGGCTGTTTTTCTTGTGCCTGAATACAAATGCTTTTTAAAGAATTTGTTAGAAATAAGTATTTGGTCTCTGATAGTTTTCTGTGGATTATTCTGCAGTTTGTACAAAGAGATCAATGATAACCTGCAGAGTTCAGACACGCTATTGTGAATCTAACCTCTGTGTGAGTGTGTGCGTGTGTGTGTGTGTATGTGTGAGATGCTCTCAGTGCAGAGCGAGGACAGGCTGGAATACCCACCATGGAGTGTTCAAGCTGGATTAAACTCTGAACATGAGACTGTGTTATGTAACTTAGTAGAGTGACTGCAGAGAACAGCAGCTGTTATGCAATATGGGGGGGGGGGCACAGAAGCACACACAAACACACAAACAGGCTGCACATGTACACAAACAGAGACACATACAGACATTTAAATAGGACAGCTGCAGAATAACACAGATCATTATTTTGTTATTACTATTTATTTTGCCCGCCTGTTTGATCTTGTTAATCTTATACATATTTAACCCTCCTGTAATTTGTGTTTCATCTTGAGTTGAGCTGAGGTAGAGTAATTACACACTTTTTTACCTGATAGGGGGATTAGGTTTTGTGCTTCAATAGACTGACAGCTCAGCTGACAGTGTAAAGTAATCTGCACTTTGAGATTAAAAGACACTGACATGCTTTCAGCCAATGGCCACTCGCTAAGCATACAGGTGCAGCTAATTGACTGATGTTAACAGGCACACAGTGAAAAGTGGGGTGTCAATATTTCAGACTCAACCTGTTTTAACCTAGATAGAGTATTAACAGCTTCATGGAGAGTAGACCCACTCTAAGAGTAGAGTTAAAGGTCAGCGTAAAATCTTGAAAGCATGAGGTGAAGACTTTAACTCTTCTGAGTGACGCCTTGAACTTCCCGGCAGCACATTATGGGAGGTTAGTTTGGAGTCGTGCCATGGTCGGGTAAGTAGCATTCACATTCTGGTGTTCGTAACATCATTTAATAATTGTTTTCCACCTAAACACAGATCTGACAGATTGAGGACATGTCACTCTGTTGAATGTCTGTCGGGTCACATACAACTAGCAACTTGCTTTCAGTTCAGAAGGTCGACATTCTTGAGAAGCTGCACCTACAGAATGTAAAATTTTAACTACACTGTATATTATTCTATACACAGTCAATGGAATTTACGCATTAAGGGATGCGTTAAGGGACGCATTTGGTTCACGGTGCCACAGAGACGTGAGCTGGGGCACTAGATTGAAGGCTCTTATCATGGTTTTCAGTCAAGATACGCTAGGTGAAAGGCAAAGAGCCATTATTATCCCTGTAACAAATTACAAATCATTTATTCAAACAGCACTTTTACTTTAAAGCCATTTCGTTAAGATAAAATAAAAAACTTTGCCTTGTTGTTCACAGTAATCACGCTGTCACAAGTGAGTGTAAAGCGTGGACCATAGTTGGTAAGTAGGCTCAGGTTGTGGAACATTGTAAGCTTGTTAATAGGTAACAATCTTTGTCCAACAAATTTTTCTTGGTTGTCATTTTTACCTTTGTTTATTGACTAGAATATTCTGCTGCGTGTTTCATTCATTGGGGAGCAGAAGTATGTTAGGTTGCTATGCTGAAAGAAGGTTAGTGAGTTCATGATAAAAGAATATCATGACTTTTACTTTGTTAATACACATGACAACATAAACCATTCCTTCTCAACTTCCTGATTTGTTTTTTTTTTCTGCTGGGCCATTAAATGCATGGTAATTACCTATTGGCTTAAGTTTTGACTCAACAGCAATGTGTTACGACATGAGGCTCACTCCACTTAGTTATGGTTTTGACTCTCATCAGATGGAAATGGTCTTTCAGTCTTGTTACAATTTCTTTAACATCCTTTTCTCTTTCCTTCCTTTCTCCAGTGTGCCTAAAATTTAACATACAAGAAAGTCAGCAGCTAGGTATGAAAATATTTGACCAATCTGACACAGAAGTTGACAAAGTGGTCTTTGAAGAAAAAGGACAGTGGAACTTTCCAACTCATGTTGTGCAATAAAGAATGTGGTAATTACTGACCATTCACAAATGTGTTCATATTAAAGTTTGGGATGGGAGTAATACCAATTCCATCCAATATGCTTCTGTTTTGCTTATATTCCTCAATGCACAAATGCTTCTCTGTTGTAATCATCATCATCATGCTTAGCAGCATCTGACGATTCTATCATTCTGAACTTCACGATGTGTGACCCTCCTGAAGAAGCAGCCATTGCCAAAGTAAGTCAACCTTAAGCCATGCTGCATAATCTATGAGGCAAAAGAGGTTGGTAGTGGACATTGTTGTTAAGCTTAATCTGAATCTCATTCCAATTGAGGGGAAGTGTTTTATGTTGTCATTTCCTTGTTATATGTATGGTTTAAACATTTCTGCCTGAATATTTTGTTTCCATTAACATTGAGTGAATTGTGTAATTGTAGGTGGGACAAATATAATCTATCTTGTTTAAATGCTAACCTAATGTTTGTTAAGTCTTTGGACTGGGACAGTGGCATGTCCACCATCTTTTTTTGGCACCAACTCCTTACAAGACCCAGAAGAGTGGGTATTTGAAATGGCTTTGTGCATTTACTGCAAAGATAAAAACTCACAGTTGGAAGAAAAGCTTTGCCATCTGCAGAATGACCTCCATGAAAAGGATAGGCAGCTGGAGGGCTTCATATCCATAGCATCAGCGCAAGCAAAACACATATTCCTGATGCAGGCTTCCAGGATTACCGGCCTTTTGCCTTCGGCTTTGGCACCACAGCTGGTTTTAGCCTCCGCTGCCACTCTGCCCTGGATGGCCTCCTTGCACTCTCCCAATGGGCTGGCTGAGGACCCTGCAGCCTCCGGCCTGCTCGTGTGCGGCACAGCACAATGCCGGCGGGCAGTCGGGTGTTCCTGACGCTGGCATGGAAGTGAGACTCTCAGCGCACCCTGCCCACAGCTCTACCCCGAAGCCGCTGGTGCAACCAACCTTGTCCGAGGTGGTGCATCGCGGCCGGAGGTCATTCGCAGCAGGGAGAGCTCCTTCACCACCACGTCTCTCCCTCTCTAACTGTTTCTCAGTCTTGAGGGATGAGGCTGCCACAGATCCTGTTGCTGCTCCAGCTCTATCTTCTCTACTGTACCCAGTTCCAGGGAAGGGGGCTCCCTCCTTCTCCGTGGCGGCTCAAGGGATGACCAGCACAGACCAGGCTTGACCGAGATGCTGCACTGCAGGCTGCTCAGGGAGGCTGTCTTCAGATGCTTGGAAGGGTTCCCGTGGGGCCTCAAACACCCTCACTCCACCTGCTACATCTGCGCCTGCCCACCGCCATCAACTACTGCCATCCTCAGTGCAGGTGGAGCATTCAACATCTACAGGCTCCAGCACTCGCACATCATCTCCTCCTCTCTTTCCCCCAACTACACTCATTCTCGGAGAGTCCGTAACCAGGTACATCAGATTTTTCAATGCCATAACTCACTGTTTACCTGGCACCACCATTCCTGCATCCTGGACAAACTTCTCCATTTACTCCCCTCTCTACCCTCTCCGTCTCTAAGATTGTGCTCCACATCGGCTCAAACGACACTTCCCATAGACAGTCCGAAATCACAAAGAGTGATTTCAACTTGTTTTTTAACATTTTAAAGGACACTGGAAAGTCCATTTTTATCTTTGGCCCGATCCCCACTCTCAGTCGGGGAGCAAAACATTTTAGCAGTATTCTCAGCCTCCATACCTGGCTTCAGTCCACATGCCCCACCTACAACTTCTGTTTTATTGACAATTTTAATCTGTTTAAACCAAGCTTCACTTTTCACACATGATGGAATCCACCCCAACAGGCTTGGTAGCCAAATGCTTCCATGCAACAACCAGTACTTGATCCACTCCTCACCTGTCTGACAGCCTGCATTCAGCAGCCCACTTTCTCCCACACAGGCCATTCCCCTACCTCCACACAATAACCTCTAGTCATCCCAAAGCACTCTCATAAGTCCCGCCCACTCACCTGCCAACCCACACCTCGCTCTGCCACCTCACTTCACTACCTTCAGTGAATCTTTAATCCCAGTTCACACCTCATCCTCACGTCCACCCTGCCCTCATGCCAGAAATTGTACCCCCTCCAATTTCATATACATTCCCCTGCTTCCTCGGCTACCTTGCCCTACTTTTAACAGCAAACCTGCAAACTTTGGACTTATAAACATAAGATTACTCAACAACAAAACATTTTTATGCCACAATTTTATTGCACAAAACAGCTTGGACTTTTTCATTCTAACTGAAACTTGGCTGACTCCAGGCAATTATATTGCTCTCATCGAAGCCACCCCCCCTGATTTTGCTCACCTCCATCAGCCCCGGCAGTCAGGCCGGGGAGGAGGGGTGGCTGTCATATACAAAAAGGATTTTAAATGCACCCCCATCACCTTCAGCACTTTTAATTCTTTTGAGCACCTTGCTTTTATTGGTTAACTGAAAGACTCTGTTTTATATTTAATCATGCATAGACCACCCAAACACAACGCTGTTTTTATTCAGGAGATTTCAGAGTTTCTATCACTTTTTATTTGTAAATATGACAAACTTCTTATTTTGGGTGATTTTAATGTACGTCTGTTGTCCCTCACAACCCTTGACTGTTGATTTTATTGAAACTCTGGACTTTTTTAATCTAACCCAGGCAATACAGGAACCAACTCATGTAAAGGGACATTGCCTAGATTTAGTTTTATTTACCGGACTTAGTCCTGGGGAGTTTTTAACTAAGGATATCTGTGTGTCAGATCACAAACTGGTTTTATTCTCCACGGTTTTATCCCAGCCTTCTTTCACTGATCATACTCCTGTTTACAGAAGGGTTTTTAATGCATCGTCTGCTAGCAAGTTTTCGGGGCTTTTTATCGCTGCATCTTTAACTGCCCTCAACCCAGATTTGAATTCAGATTTTAACACTGAAGAGCTTGTCTCTCTTTTTAACACTATATGTGGAACCATCCTGGACTCTGTAGCTCCTCTGAAAAAGAAAAGATGAAACAAAGAACCCCAGCCATGGCCTACAGAGTCCACACATGAACTCAAGAGAATATGTCAAAGAAATGAATGTAAATAGAGGAAAACTGGTCTGGTGGTTTACCTTGAAATCTGGAGAGACTCCATGAGAAAATACCAGACGGCAGTTAAAGATGCAAGAACAGCATTTTACTCTGATTAGATTTTAGCTAATTATTCGAACCCCAGAGTTTAATTTAAGGTTTTAGAGTCACTTTCAAACCCCTCTCCCTCTTATTTTACTGATGCTTCTCAAGACACCTGCAAGGAGTTTTTAACTTATTTTGTTAACAAGGTTATGGATATCAGACATCAAATCGCTCCTCCCAGTCTCTCTGTATTCATAAGTAGGGAAGTTCAGCACTGTTTTAGCAGCTTTGAGCCAGTGTCCTTAACCTTTTTATTTGATATTTTAGCCCACATGAAAACAGCTACGTGCAGTCTTGATTTTATCCCCACCAGATTTCTCAAAGAAGTTTTTAACACGGTTGGGCCCAGCATTTTATCCATTATTAATAGCTCTCTGGAAGAGGGAGTATTTCCCTCTTCTTATATACACGCTGTGGTCCAACCCCTTTTAAAGAAGCCAAACCTTGACCCCTCTGATTTTAACAATTTTAGACCAGGTGGTGTCTTAACAGTTTTTAGGTTTTATGTCTGAAAACAACCTCTTTGAGAAATTTTAGTCTGGTTTTAGAGCAGGTCACAGAACTGAGACTGCCCTCCTCCATGTGACCAATGACCTTCTTTTAGCAGCAGATAGAGGGGAGGGCTCAATTTAAATTCTTCTAGATCTCAGTGCAGCTTTTGATACAGTCGATCATGCTATTTTAATTGAGAGTCTTAAAACTGGGTGGGTATCAGGGGCACTGCACTTAGCTGGTTTCAGTCGTATCTTTTAGAGCGAACCTTTGCAGTCACCATAGGCAATCACACATCTTCTACCTCTGCTATCACCTGTGGTGTACCGCAAGGTTCAGTTTTTTTCAGCTGTCCTCGAAAGAGTGACCCATGAAGACAGATGGTTTGGAGTTAATAAAGAGCTGATAATGAAGTAAACAAAGTGCTGATTCAAAATTCAAATTGAAATCAACTTTATTCATCCATTGGGAACTTCATTTGCAGAGAAAGCGCCAGTGCAGAAACAAATAAAACATAGCACATGTTCATTCACAGATCACAATCTAGAGTCCATAATAAATACAATAAAAACAATGAATACATTCAAAACAAAATGTCAATCATACTAGTCCTCCTCTACAATATTGTGTAGCAATCAGCTGTTTAACAGGCGGATGGAGGTGGGAAGGAAGCTGGAGGTGGCCCTCTTTGTCCTCAGTGAGAGCAACCTGTACCTGCGCCCTGAAGATCTGGGATCTGGTTGCCTTTCCTCAGGACTGGTGTTGTAGATGGTGGTGAGTGACTGCTATTCCTGAACAATGATTTTGCTGCTGATTTTGATCATTTTATTAAAAGTGTTGCGGTGAGTAAGGGTGAGTGAGCCAAACCAGGCAGTGATGTTGAATGTGAGGATAGATTCAATGAAACATTTATAGAAAATAGCAAGAAAAAATGTATTCAGTATTGAGTCAAAATGTAAGTTTATGGTCTATTATGGAGCCAAGATATTTATATGAGGGGACCTTTTCGATTGTTTCATTGCTGATTGTGAGTGAGGGTGTGGTGGAGTGGCCATGATGGAAGTAAATGACAATTTCTTTCATCTTGGATACATTAAGGTCTAGACAGTTCTCCCTACACCACAGTGAGAAAGAGTCCAGTTACTGTGTCATCTGAGTACTTGATGTAGGTTATTCCTGGGGTGGTGCTCCTGCAGTCGTTAGTGTACAGAGTGAAGAGAAGTGGAGAGATACCGAACCTTGAGGTGAGCTGGTTGATATTGTCCAAATAGCGTTGAGGTGACCATTCACCCTTACCGTCTGATCTCTCCCTGTGAGAAAGGAGAGGACCCAGAGGATGAGGTGGGGGTTAGCGTTTATCTGGAGCAGCTTGCGTCCCATGAGGTGTGGTTGCACGGTGATAAATGCGCTAGAGTCCACAAGTCCACAAAGACCAGGCTGATGTGGGACTTGGGCTTTTCCAGGTGGGTGATGGCACCATGCAGCAGGGTGAGCACAGCATCATCCACCCCTCTGCGCGGCTGGTAAGCAAACTGCAGTGGGTCAGAGTGCTGCTCTACATTAGCCTGCAGCTGGGCCATGATGAGTCTTTCAAAGGTCTTCATGACAAATGATGTCAGAGCCACAGGTCGAAAATTGTCGTTGGTTCTAGGGTTGCTCTACTTCGCCACAGGGCAGATGATGGAGGACTTCCAGATTGATGATTGATTGATTAATGGAGTGCTCAGCCAGAGAGCGGTTGAACAATGAGCAGAAGACTTCTGCAAGCTGGCTGCAGCAGACTTTCAGCAGGTGCCCACAGATGTAGTCCGGTCCGCTTCAATGTGTGCTCCACATCAGCAGGGTTTTCAGCCCTGCCAAGCATCCCTGGCCTTTCTGTTTTTAAAAAGCCTCTCCACCCTGTCTTTATACGCTCTTTTGGCTGTTTTTATTTCTTTAGTCAGTCTGTTTTGAATGTTCCTGTTTGTTTCCTGAGTTAAATGCTAATTTCTTTTCATTCAGGGTTGCTTTGAGTGATTTAGTTATCCAGTAACGAACATCTCTGCTGCTCCCCCTCAGCAAAAATGGTGACTGGGTAGAGAGGGTCCACAGCTTCAAGCTCCTGGGCACCATCATCTCAGCTGACCTCTTGAACTGAGAACACCAGAGCTGTCATCAAAAAGGCCCAGCAGCACCTGTACTTCCTGAGACTGCTCAGGAAGAACAATGTTGGAGAGGAGCTGCTGAGAGCCTTCTACACATCCACCATCCAGAGCATCCTGCTGCACTGCAACACAGTGTGGTTCTCCCACTGCACTGAGGCAGAGCGGCAGGGGCTCCAGAGGGTGGTGAGGACAGCAGAGAGGATCATCGGCTGTCACCTCCCCTCCCTGAGGGACATCCACACCTCCCGCTGCCTGAGCAAAGCTCAGGCAATCATCACAGGCAATCATCACAGACTGCACCCACCCTGCCTTTCACCTGTTTGACCTGCTGCCCTCGGGCAGATGCTACAGGTCAATCAAAACAAGAACAAAAAGACTCAGGAACAGCTTCTTCCCTCATACAGTCACTACACTGAACACACCCGGTATTGAGTTACAGGGCTAAGGTTAGGGATATGGAGTTAGGGTTAAAATCACTGTCCTAGAGCTTGTTAGGAACATGTTATAAACCTTTTGGTGTTCTTTAGAAAAAGGAAAAATGACAGTTTTTTTTGGATGTCAGGGCTACCTTTCTGTAACACCTGGTTATTCGGTTACAGTGCTAAGGTTAGGATTATAAGGTCAGGGTTAAAATCACTGTCCAGGACCTTTTTAGGAGCATGTTTCAAACCTTTGGAGTTTGTTAGAACAAAAAAAAAAAAAAGGGGGGGGGGGGGGGGGCAAGGCTCCCTTTCTGTAACACCTGGGTATTTGGTTATGGTATTTGGTATCACTGTCCAGGACCTCTAGAAACATGTTTCAAACCTTTATGAGTTCCTTAGAACAAAAAGAGGGGAAAAAATTCAATCTCTTTTTAGGGGGCTTTCTTTCTGTTACACCTGGGTATTAGGTTACAGTGCTAAGGTTAGGATTATAGGGTCAGGGTTAAAATCACTGACCAGGGGCCTCATGTATCAACACTTGCGTGGGACTCATACTGGAAACGAGGCAAGGTCCGTCACGCTAAAAGAAAATTTGTATGTATCAAGGTGTGCGGGCGCTGAAAGCCACGTGTGTTTCCTTGATAAATCCCAATCAGCTTGGAATTGAGCGCAGATGTCGGAGTGACCGGGCCCGCCCCCATTATGTCCACCTATAAATATGCAGATTTATTTAAATAAATAAATCATATTTAAATAATAATGTCCTCGCACGCAGAAAAAATTACAAGAAAAACGAAATATACGGCGTGCGAGGTGGAGGTGGAGGAGCTGGTGGCGGAAGTGGAGGAGCAACAGCGTGTTTTGTTTGGCAGCCTGTCCAGTGGCGTCAGTGCAAAACGAAAACGTTTGGAGTGGGAGAAAGTTTGCGAGAGGGTGAACGCGGTGGGTTCCGAGACATGCACCCCCGCAGAGATAAAAAAAAGTGGTCGGACCTCAAGGTGGAGGTCAAGTGGCGTACAGCTGCCCTCCGGAGGAGTACCGGCCAGACATGTGGGGGTCCGGGGGAGCAGACCCTCACGCCGTTTGAGCAGCGGGTGGTGGCGATTATTGGGGGCGCCTCTGCGGGGGGGATTGTCGCTGCTACCCGCGGTGACTCAGACAGCCTGCCGAAGGGTAAGTGGCGTGTCACACAAATGTCCACATGCTTTGCCATAGATGTAAACGCAACAGATACACAGAAGCAGAGATTGAAATGAACCAATATTTTTATTGTGTCACAGAAATCAGTGTGTCGGCCGTGTCGCCGGCTTGCGGAACCCCGGCCCGCGGCAGCCTGTCCTCAATTTTTTGAGGGTGTTTGGGCTTTCTTTAGGTAATACCCGGGTATTGGGTTACGGGATACGGGGCTCAGGTTAGGGTTAGGGTTTTACGGGTAAAGTTAAAATCTTTGTCCAAAACCTTTTTGAGTTCTTTAGAACAAAAACGAAGGAAAAATTTCAATCTTTTTTGGGGGGTGTCAAGGCTTCCTTTCTGTAACACCTGGGTATTGGGTTAAAGTGCTAGGGTTAGGATTATAAGGTCAGGGTTAAAAAGGAAAAATGTCAAACTTTTTTTTTTGGGGTGTTATGGCTTCCTTTAAGTAACACCCGGGTATAAGGTTACAGGGCTACGGTTGGGGATATGGAGTTAGGGTTAAAATCACTGTCCTAGAGCTTTTTAGGAAGATGTTTCAGACCGGTTGGACTTAGTTAGATGGAAATAAAAAAAATATCAACATTTTTTGGGGGGCTGTTAGGACTTTCTTTAGGTAACACCCAGGTTTTAGATTACCGGGGTCGGGTTAGGGTTACAGTTTTGCGGTTTGGGTTAAAATCTCTGTACAACACCTTTTTAGTAACATGTTTCAAACCTTTTGGAGTACGTTAGAACAAAAACAAAGGAAAATTGTCAACCTTTAGGTAATACCCTGGTATTAGGTTAAGGGTCTAGGGTTAGGGTTAGGGTTTTGGGAGAGGGGTTAAAATCACTGTCCAAGAACCATTGAGGAACATGTTTCAAAATTTTTGGAGTCCCCCCCCCCCACACACACACATACACACACACACACACACACACACACACACACACACACACACACACACATCCACTTCTATAAGGAACCCCCTATATCCACGCTCTAATAAGTATGAGCCCCTGGTAAGGTTAAAAAAATTCATTTTTACATTTTTGGTTCTAACTAACTTCAAAAGGTCTGAAACGTGTTCCTAAAAAGGTCTTGGACAGTGATGTTAACCCTAATCACAACACCCTAAACCTAACCCTAGCCCCATAACCTAATACCCGGGTATTACCTAAAAGAAGCCCTAACACCCCCACAATTTTTTTTTCATTTTTTTTTTTATTTCAAACTAACTCCAAAAGGTCTGAAACATGTTCCTAAAAGGGTCTTGGACAGTAAGTTTAACCCTAACACCAAAAAGCTTAAACTTAACCCTAGCCCCGTAACCCAATAACTGGGTATGACCTAAAAAAAACCCTAACAACCCCCAATTTTTTTTTTGACATTTTTCTTTTTTTTTGGTGTAGTTAACTCCAAGAAGTCTAAAACATGTTCCGAAAAAGGTCTTGGACAGTGATTTTAAGCCTAACCCCAAAACCCTTAAACCTTACCCTAGCCCGTAACCAAATACCCAATATTATCTAAAGGAAGCCCTAAAACCCCAAACATTTTTTTTTCATTTTTCACTTTTTTTGGTCTAATTAACTCCAGAGGTTGGAAAAAAGTTCCTAGAAAGGTTTTGGACAGTGATTTTAACCCTAACACCAAAAACCTTAAACCTTACCCTAGCCCTTTCACCCAATACCTAGGTATTACCTAAAGAAAGACCTAACAACCCTTAAAATATTTTTTTCGTTACTCAGTGTTTTTTGGGCTAACTAACTCCAATAGGTCTGAAACATATTCCTAAAAAGGTCTTGGACAGTGATTTGAACCCTAACCCCAAAAAGCTTAAACCTGACCCTAGCCCCGTAACCCAATACTCGGGTATTACCAAAAGAAAGCCCAATAACCTCAAACATTTTTTTCTTCCTTTTTTCATTTTTTTTGGTCTAATTTGTGACGGCCTCCTGCCTGTGATGGCCTCCGGCCTCCAGGGTTTGCTGTTGTTCTTTCTGTCCTTTCTCTCTCCCTGGCAGGTTGAGTGGGCTTGGCCACACCTGCGTGGATCTGGCCATTCCACCAGGTGGTAAAAGCCCTCATCAAGGACCAGTGTCTCTCTCTCCCTCCTCCGCTGCGCACCACGGCAGTGATCCTCGTGGCACAATGTTTTGTTTTAGTTTAGAAGCTTTGTTAGTTTAGTTCTTCTCTTGGGTATTCAATTATTTACTTAATCTTGGTTGTTAATAAATCTTTCGTTTTAAGTTAAACCCGTACGCCTCGCAATCTTTTTCATGGCCTTTGAGCCGGGTCATGACAAAATGGGGGCTCGTCCGTTTGTTGCGTTTTTTCACCTCGGTAGGTGTTGATTCACTCGATTTGTGAATGAACTTAGTAAGTTGTGAATTAGTGACGTCACCGCTCTTACTACTCGGAGGTTTCGGAACCCAGAGGTTGTGCTTTGTGAAACAGGTTTGGCACTTTTACGTGGGGTGATACGGGGTTATTAAAAAATTGTTTCACGATTAAAATTATAATAATAATTTTGTTTATTTGCCGTAGCTGCTATGTTGGTATTTTGTCGGTTTTGTTTTTGTTTGTATGTTTTGAGCACCCTGATGAGTTTAGCCGTCGGACAAGCAGGACTTGTCACTTTTTTGTTTTAGTTTGTTGTTTTTGCTGGCAAATCCTGAGGAGGGAGCGTGCAAGGCTCGGGATATCACGCTCTACCGTGCCATGGTCGGGGGTGTTATTTTGGGTCTGGTGACGTTTCGAGCTCGGAAGACTAGGATGAGGTCCTAGTAAGATATGGGGTAGGTAGTTAGGGGTTCGGGGTGTCTCAACCTTTTTTGTTTCGTAAGCAGCTCGGTAGGTATTTCTGTGGTGTTGGATAACACCTGATGTGCGCGAGGTAGTTGAGTAAGTAAATTTCTTTTGATTTGAAACCGCGAGTGATTGAAATGTCGGATATTTCTGACTTCGTTTCGGCTCCTTCGAGCGAGTTATTAAATAAATGCACCAAGGAACAGCTGCTTAAGATTGCAGATCATTTTGAAATCGAAATATCCGACAGGCGGTTAAAGGACACAATTAAAAGTATTTTAAAAGCAACTTTGGATGAGATGGGTGTTATGGCGACCGATCCTCCCGGTGCAGTTGATTCTCCATCTGTTGCAGCGACGAATTTCACCTTTGAGCAGCAAAAAGAAATGATGATGTTGCAATTAGAGCGTGATAAATTAAAACAAGTGGAAACGGATACGCAGTTGGCTATTGAGAGGTTGCGATTTCAAACTGAGCAGACAAAACTCCAACTACAGCAGAATCAGATGGATTTAATTAAAAGCGGTAGGTTAGTCGGAGATGGTTCTGGGGGTTTGGATGCCTCCTCGTGTTCTCCTGATGGTTTTGATGTTTTGGGAAATTTGAGACTGTTGCCAAAATTTAATGAGAGAGAACCGGAGACATTTTTTTCGTTATTTGAGCGCGTTGCCGAGTCCAGAAAGTGGCCGGAATCTGTTTTTACGTTAATGTTGCAGTGCGCGCTGACCGGCAGAGCACAAGAAGCCTATTCAGCCCTGTCCGCGTCAGACAGCCAAAGTTACCAATTAGTAAAATCTGCTGTATTAAAAGTTTATGAGCTTGTCCCTGAAGCCTATCGCCAATGTTTTCGTTCATGGAAAAAGAATGATAAACAAACATACTTAGAGTTTGCTTGTGATTTAATTTGTCACTTTACTCGATGGTGTTCCGCGTTAAAAATCGAGAGCTTTGAGGAATTATGCGACCTGGTAATTTTGGAGCAATTTAAAAGTTCTCTTCCAGAGAATATTGCGCAGCACATTAATGATCATGAAGTCGAAAATGTAAATAAAGCCGCTAGGCTCGCTGATGAGTATGTGTTAGCGCACAGACGCTCTTTTGGAGAGATGCACGCTCACAGGTCCAGTTTGAGTGAGCGCACGGATGCCGGTGCGGGGAATTACAATCTTCCTGTAGGGAAGTTAGACTTTAAAGGCCATGAGGCGAACAAGTCGGATAAAATATGTAACTACTGTCACAAAAGAGGACATTTTAAAGTGGACTGTTTTGCACTACAATCTAAAAACAAACAGAGTGGAGCTGCGGGGCAGCCTAAAGCGGCATGTCTCGCTGTTTCGAAGCCAAGAATACTTACGGGGCAGTTGGGAATCTGTGACAAGGGTAAAGCTGTACCTGGAGAGCTCGAATCATTCTTGCCTTTTGTCTCAAATGGTCATGTCTCTTTGGTGGGAAGTGATGAAAAAGTTCCTGTCAAAATATTGCGTGATACAGCTGCCTTTGATTCGTTCATTCAGGCTTCTGTGTTGCCATTCTCTGAAAAAAGTCACACTGGGAGTTTTATTCCGGTGGTGGGAATGGGAATGACTGTAATGAAAGTTCCACTGCACAAGATGTTGCTTTATTCCGATCTCTTTCAGGGGCAGATAACGGTCGGTGTGCGACCTGCACTTCCAATTGAGGGCATCACCCTGATTTTGGGTAACGGTGTAGCAGGTGGACGTGTCTGGGCTGATGCTCCAGCTCCGCCGCCACCAGTAGTATCTGTTGTTCCGCTGGTGAAAAGACAACCAGATGAGAATCAGAGCAGTCTTCCTGGAGTTTTTACAGCGTGTGCAGTCACTCGCTCAATGACACGTGACACTCCCGAGTTAAGCTCGGAGGCTGCAAAGAGTAGAGGTGAGAAATCCAAGTTTGTGCCGTTTTCTCTGTCTGATGTCCCTCTCTCGGTCTCGCAGGAGGAGTTGAAGTTGGAGCAGCGGGCAGATTCTTCTTTGAAAGGGTTGTTTGACATGGTGTTGCCTGAAGACGAGGTAGAAAATAATTCCTGGGGTTATTTTTTACACAATGAACTGTTGGTCCGGAAATGGATGCCTCATGGGAAAGATTTCGTTGGAGATCCCGTTATTCAAGTCGTTGTGCCTGATAAATTCCGGGAGTCGGTGTTAAAACTTGCTCATGACCAATCGGGACACTAGGGAGTGGGAAAAACATACGACCGGGTCCTGAGGCAGTTCTTTTGGCCGCGACTTAAGACAGATGTAGCGTCTTATATTAAAACATGTCACACCTGTCAACTCACGGGAAAACCGAATCAGAAAATTACACCTGCTCCTCTGCTCCCGATTCCTGCAGTAAGTCAGCCGTTTGATCACCTCATCGTTGATTGTGTCGGGCCACTCCCTCGCTCTCGTTCTGGTGCGGTATATTTGTTGACTGTCATGTGCCAAAGCACCCGTTACCCTGCAGCGTATCCATTGCGCACGATCACTGCGCGTTCAGTAGTGCGCGCGCTGTCACAATTCATTTCCATTTTCGGCATTCCAAAAGTGATCCAGTCTGATCAAGGGTCAAATTTTACCTCCAATCTCTTTGCTCAAGTGTTGAAACAGCTCCATATTAAGCACAACAAAGCCTCTGCTTATCATCCTCAGAGTCAGGGAGCTTTGGAGCGTTTCCATCAATCATTTAAATCATTGCTGCGCTCTTATTGCGTTCAGTTTGATAGAGATTGGGAGGAAGGATTACCATGGTTAATGCTGGCGGCTAGAGAGGTAACGCAGGAGAGCACTGGTTTCAGTCCCAATGAGTTAGTGTTTGGTCACGTTGTGCGTGGTCCACTGAAGGTTCTTTACGATGAGTGGAAGGTTGCAGATGCACCGAAAAATCTTATCGACTATGTAAATGGGTTCCGTCATAGACTGTATGCTGCTGGTGAATTGGCAAAGGAAAACTTAACCGCAGCTCAGGACAAGATGAAAAGGCTCTATGACCGGCGTGTTGAACACCGTGTTTTTAGTATGGGAGACCAAGTTTTAGCTTTGTTGCCGCTGGTGAATTCGCCACTTCAGGCTAAGTATTCTGGGCCTTATAAAGTGACGAAAAAAGTATCGGAAAACAATTACCTTATTTCGACACCTGAGCGAAGGCGAAAAGTCCAACTGTGCCATTTGAATTTGTTAAAACCATATTATGCTCGTGTTTCAGGTGCTTCCCAAGAGCCTGTCCCAGCTGGTGCGCATCCCGCTTGTTTGGTGGGGAGAGTGTCCACTGTTTATCCCCCACAGTCGGTGTCCGCTGAGGTGGAGGATGGTTTGCCGTGTGTTGATACCGCTGTCCTTCAAGGCCGCCTAAACAACTCGGAGTCCCTGAGGAATTTACACGTCCTCTTGGGGCATTTAGCAGAGTCAGAACAGGCAGATTTGTGTCGGGTAATAAAATCTTTCCCGGGCTTGTTCAGTGACGCACCCACACAGACGCACTTGATTGAGCACGACATCGATGTTGGAGATGCGCAGCCAATCAGGCAAAGATTCTATAGGGTGAACCCCGAAAAACGTAAATACATGGATGCTGAAATAAAATATATGATTGAAAACGGAATAGCTGAACCCTCCTCTTCAAGTTGGGCGTCGCCTTGCCTTTTGGTTCCAAAATCAGATAACACGCCCAGGTTTTGTTCTGATTTTAGAAAATTAAACGCTGTTACAAAGCCGGATTCCTTCCCTCTTCCCCGTATGGAGGACTGTGTCGATCAGGTGGGCCATGCCAAATATGTGAGCAAGTTTGACCTTTTGAAAGGTTATTGGCAAGTCCCTTTGTCCAAGCGTGCGCGTGAGTTATCGGCATTTATCACTCCGACTGGTTTGTTTTCATATAAGGTAATGCCTTTTGGGCTTCGTAATGCCCCTTCAACCTTCCAAAGGCTTATGATTAGAGTCTTAGGAGATTTGGAGGGCTGCACAGTCTAACTGGATGATGTTGTGGTTGTTTCTGACACGTGGTCTTCGCATGTTGAGCGAATTGAGAAGTTATTTAGTCGTTTGGCTGAGGCACGTCTCACCGTCAACCTCGCCAAATGCGAGTTCGCCAAAGCGACAGTGACTTATCTTGGTAGGGTTGTGGGGCAGGGTACGGTACGTCCTGTTGAAGAAAAAATAAAAGCAGTGGCAAGTTATCCGGTACCCTCGACTAAAAAAGAGCTTATGCGTTTTTTAGGTCTTGTAGGTTATTACCGATGTTTCTGCAGAAACTTCTCGGAGGTAGTTGCTCCATTAACCGACTTGTTAAAGGCAAGCGCGGTCTTTGTGTGGTCTCCCGTGTGGTCTCCCGTGTGTCAACTGGCGTTTGACAGGGCAAAATCAGTATTGTGTAACGCGCCTATCCTTTCTGCCCCCAGGTTTGACCGTCCGTTTGCGCTTCAGGTTGACGCGAGTCACGTGGGGGTGGGGGCGGTGTTATTACAGAAGGATGATTTTCGGATTGAGAAGCCAGTGAGTTTCTTCTCAAAAAAGTTTAATTCCTACCAACTCAATTACTCGACCATTGAAAAGGAAGCCTTGGCCTTAGTGTGGGCTCTGAAACATTATGATGTGTATCTGGGGTCCGGGTTGGTGCCTATCGTGGTTTATACTGATCATAATCCGCTTGTTTTTTTAAATACGTTACAGTGTCCAAATCAAAGATTAGTCCGGTGGTCACTTTATCTCCAGTCGCACTGGCTGGACATTAGACACATCAAGGGTTCTGACAATGTGGTGGCAGACGCCTTGTCCAGAGCACCTGTGTAGTGTTGTAGCCGTGTGAGTTACCCATGTTTTTTGTTTTTTTGTACTCTTTCTACAACTTGTTTCTCTCGCTTCCCCCCCTCTTAAATTGCTCCTAGGTACCAGGTTGCTGAGGTGGGAGGGGTGTCATGCAGGTCAGGATGGGGATATAAATAATGAGCATTGGGTAAGTTTTCTTGAAGAGAGTAAAATGATATTGTGAGCCTGGGTAAGTTTTGTAAAGTAATGGTTAAGTACATAGTATTGATAATAATGAAAAAAAAAAAAAAAAAAAAGTTAAACGTTTTTCTCTTGTTTTGCAATCAACTAGTAAGTCACAAGTGAACCTTGTTTTCAGAGGGATTGTTTATGGTTCCAGGGATGGGAGCCCCGTTTTTATGGAGGGGGGTGTGACGGCCTCCTGCCTGTGATGGCCTCCGGCCTCCAGGGTTTGCTGTTGTTCTTTCTGTCTTTTCTCTCTCCCTGGCAGGTTGAGTGGGCTTGGCCACACCTGCGTGGATCTGGCCATTCCACCAGGTGGTAAAAGCCCTCATCAAGGACCAGTGTCTCTCTCTCCCTCCTCCGCTGCGCACCACGGCAGTGATCCTCGTGGCACAATGTTTTGTTTTAGTTTAGAAGCTTTGTTAGTTTAGTTCTTCTCTTGGGTATTCAATTATTTACTTAATCTTGGTTGTTAATAAATCTTTCGTTTTAAGTTAAACCCGTACGCCTCGCAATCTTTTTCATGGCCTTTGAGCCGGGTCATGACAAATTAACTCCAAAAGGTCTGAAATATGTTCCTAAAAAATATTGGACCAGTGGTTTTAACCCTAACCCCAAAAACCTTAAACCTTTCCCTAGCCCCGTAACCCAATACGTGGGTATTACCTAAAGGAAGCCCTAACACCCCAAACATTTTTTTTTCATTTTTAGTTTTTATTTTTGTTTTTGGTCTAACTAACTCCAAAAGGTCTGAAACATTTTCCTAAAAAGGTCTTGGACAGTGATTTTAACCCAAACCCCAAAAAACTTTAAACCTTACCCTAGCCCCGTAACTCAATACCGGGGTATTTTCTAAAGGAAGCCCTAAAACCGCCACAATTTTTTTTTTCATTTTTCTTTTTTTTTGGTTGTTGGGTCTAAAACCTTCAACATTTGACCTAAAACATATTAAGAAGAGAAAGACAATGGTTTCTTACTTGAGGAGAATGGACAGAGATAGTTTCCGTTGCAATCTCAAAACCATTCTGAAGGTATTTCTGCCCAGTCTCTTTATTTAGGGTTATCCCTGGTTACACAATGTTACTAAAGGATGGGGGAAAAATATGTGCAGCAACGTTAGCACTCTCATAAAGCATAATTGTTGACATTAAACGAGCTCCTTCTGATAGGAGCAGATCCTCCTCATTACTTCCCACGATTCACAGTGGAGGATACATCACACACACACAACTGCTAATAGGAGAAACAAGGTCACAGAGAAGTTAAGAAACATTCATGTGCTGTGTAATAAAGCTACAGGAGAGAGAAGTTAGGAAACACTCTCATATGATGTGTAACAAGAGGTTAAAACAGTCCATACTTGTAGCAAACTCTTACATAAGAATTTGAGTATGATAACTTCTATATACATTTATACACATTATTCTGACATTTCCCTCCTGTTTATCATTACTTTGCTCAAATTCTCATGATCCTTCCAGTTCAGCCACTTCTCTAGATTTTCAGCTGCGAGTTCATGTTTATGACCACAAAGAATTTACACACAGAGGTACAAGATGTTGCTTTAGTCAGAATCATACTCATCATCAGGATTGGGGCACAGGTCAGGCCATTGAGTGTCATCAAGTCTGTCCTCTTCATCCTGCTGATGGAGCAGCTGGTACAACTTCTGCAGATGCTCCACAGGGGACAACGCTGTGGTGATAAGGCGGTTAAGAAGAGAATGAATACAGGGAATACAACAACATCCACACAAGGTCAAAATAGCTGCAAAAACAGCAATAGAGATTAGGACTGAATCTACAAGATTTCTGTATTTTCCAAAGACATTCATCCAATCGTCCCAAAAGAATTTATCTATTCCTGAGTGGTCTTTCATTTTGCCATTAAGGCCCTCTATGGCTCGAGTGAGGCTGCCATCGGCAGCAGTGTTATTAGGAGTGAACGTGCAACACGTTTCTCCAAACATGGCACATACACCTCCTTTTTCTGCGAGCAGCATGTCAAGGGCTATAAGGTTTTGGAAAGGCATCCGGGATGTTGCAGACAACTGCGAGTGACCGGCCTGAAAACCAGCCTCAGTCCAATTACCTAGCTTTTGAACGTTGAAATGGATGCAGTTGATTCGATCTATATTTTTGTTCATTGTACACCTAGGACAGCTGAGAGACTCAAAGCCTGCAGCAACTTGATTTACTACTTTATACTCATCTGGTACCTCACGAGGAACTATCTATATTAGTCGGGTCTGACTCTATTTGCTAGTTTCTTTTTACTCTGGAGTGGCTCAACAAACGAATAAGACTAACTGCAGAAGTTAAATTTGCCACACTGGTCTGGAAAGTTACAACAGTTAGGATTAAGGTCACTAAGGCCCTATTATCAGTCTGCTGTCATTCAGGTACAGCTACAGAAAACACGTACAGGTTTGTTTTGCCTAATTCGTAGTACAGACATAGAAGTTAGACTGATTCTTCATTTTTGCTAGATATTTTGCATATCTGTACCACATGTTCACTTCAAATTAGTTTTTTTTTTTTCTTTTTGTAGTCTGTCACTTTCATTAGCCATTCTATCTCCACATCTGGTCTGTTGTTGTCACTTCTCTTTCCTTCCTTAAGCTGTATTTTAAGTGTTCTTTTAAGGAGTTTGGCTTGTTGTTATGAACATTGTTTGTTTTGGCGAGTTTGAAGGTTTGTGGGCATGTGTAATGGCATGTGTGTGTTGAATTAGTTAACCCTTGTGTTAAGCTGTTGTTTAAGTGTTCTTTTGATGAGTTTGGTGTGTTGTTATGAACATTGTTTGTTTTGGCGAGTTTGAAGGTTTTTGAGCATGTGTTATGACACGTATGTGTTGAATTGGCTACCCCTTGTGTTAAGCTGTATTTTAAGTGTTCTTTTAAAGAGTTTGGCTTGTTGTTATGATCATCGTTTGTTTTTGGCGAGTTTGAAGGTTTTTGAGCATGTGTAATGGCATGTATGTGTTGAATTAGTTAACCCTTGTGTTAAGCTGTTGTTTTAGTGTTCTTTTGATGAGTTTGGCTTGTTGGTATGATCATTGTTTGTTTTGGCGAGTTTGAAGGTTTGTGAGCATGTGTTATGGCACGTATGTGTTGAATTGGCTACCGCTTGTGTTAAGCTTTATTTTAAGTGTTCTTTTAAAGAGTTTGGCTTGTTGTTATGATCATTGTTTGTTTTGGTGAGTTTGAAGGTTTATGAGCATGTGTAATGGCATGTATGTGTTGAATTAGTTAACCCTTGTGTTAAGCTGTTGTTTTAGTGTTCTTTTGATGAGTTTGGCTTGTTGTTATAAACATTGTTTGTTTTGGCGAGTTTGAAGGTTTTTGAGCATGTGTAATGGCATGTATGTGTTGAATTAGTTAACCCTTGTGTTAAGCTGTTATTTTAGTGTTCTTTTGATGAGTTTGGCTTGTTGTTATGAACATTGTTTGTTTTGGCGAGTTTGAAGGTTTTTGAGCATGTGTAATGACATGTATGTGTTGAATTAGTAAACCCTTGTGTTAAGCTGTTGTTTTAGTGTTCTTTTGATGAGTTAGGCTTGTTGGTTTGATCATTGTTTGTTTTGGCGAGTTTGAAGGTTTTTGAGCATGTGTAATGGCATGTATGTGTTGAATTAGTTAACCCTTGTGTTAAGCTGTTGTTTTAGTGTTCTTTTGATGAGTTTGGCTTGTTGTTATAAACATTGTTTGTTTTGGTGAGTTTGAAGGTTTTTGAGCATGTGTAATGGCATGTATGTGTTGAATTAGTTAACCCTTGTGTTAAGCTGTTGTTTTAGTGTTCTTTTGATGAGTTTGGCTTGTTGTTATGAACATTGTTTGTTTTGGCGAGTTTGAAGGTTTTTGAGCATGTGTAATGGCATGTATGTGTTGAATTAGTAAACCCTTGTGTTAAGCTGTTGTTTTAGTGTTCTTTTGATGAGTTAGGCTTGTTGGTTTGATCATTGTTTGTTTTGGCGAGTTTGAAGGTTTTTGAGCATGTGTAATGGCATGTATGTGTTGAATTAGTTAACCCTTGTGTTAAGCTGTTGATTTAGTGTTCTTTTGATGAGTTTGGCTTGTTGGTATGATCATTGTTTGTTTTGGCGAGTTTGAAGGTTTGTGAGCATGTGTTATGGCACGTATGTGTTGAATTGGCTACCGCTTGTGTTAAGCTTTATTTTAAGTGTTCTTTTAAAGAGTTTGGCTTGTTGTTATGATCATTGTTTGTTTTGGTGAGTTTGAAGGTTTATGAGCATGTGTAATGGCATGTATGTGTTGAATTAGTTAACCCTTGTGTTAAGCTGTTGTCTTAGTGTTCTTTTGATGAGTTTGGCTTGTTGTTATAAACATTGTTTGTTTTGGCGAGTTTGAAGGTTTTTGAGCATGTGTAATGGCATGTATGTGTTGAATTAGTTAACCCTTGTGTTAAGCTGTTGTTTTAGTGTTCTTTTGATGAGTTTGGCTTGTTGGTTTGATCATTGTTTGTTTTGGTGAGTTTGAAGGTTTTTGAGCATGTGTAATGGCATGTATGTGTTGAATTAGTTAACCCTTGTGTTAAAATGTATTTTAAGTGATCTTTTGATGAGATTGGCTTCTTGGTATGATCATTGTTTGTTTTGGCGAGTTTGAAGGTTTTTGAGCATGTGTAATGGCATGTATGTGTTGAATTCGTTAACCCTTGTGTTAAGCTGTTGTTTAAGTGTTCTTTTGATGAGTTTGGCTTGTTGGTATGAACATTGTTTGTTTTGGCGAGTTTGAAGGTTTTTGAGCACGTGTAATGGCATGTATGTGTTGAATTGGTTAACCCTTGTGTTAAGCTGTTGTTTTAGTGTTCTTTTGATGCGTTTGGCTTGTTGGTATGATCATTGTTTGTTTTGGCGAGTTTGAAGGTTTTTGAGCATGTGTAATGGCATGTATGTGTTGAATTAGTTAACCCTTGTGTTAAAATGTATTTTAAGTGTTCTTTTACAGAGTTTGGCTTGTTGTTATGATCATCGTTGGTTTTGGCGAGTTTGAAGGTTTTTGAGAATGTGTAATGGCAGGAATGTGTTGAATTGGTAAACCCTTGTGTTAAGCTGTTGTTTTAGTGTTCTTTTGATGAGTTTGGCTTGTTGGTATGATCATTGTTTGTTTTGGCGAGTTTGAAGGTTTTTGAGCATGTGTAATGGCACGTATGTGTTTAATTGGCTTAACCCTTGTCATTGGCGTCGTTAGGCCTATTTTAGGGGGGCTGAAGCCCCCCTAAAATATTCTTAAGCCCCCCTAAATATATATATATATATTTTTAAACATATATATTTATATATTTATTTTACAAAAAAGTGCAGACAAATTCAATACAAAGACGCAGGAATACGAGTTTAAATAAATAATAATATAAAATTTCATTATTCACTTAAATATGATCACAAATCATTTAGTTTCCCATGACTTCACTGTGTAAGGTGGAGAGCCTTCGTCAGCGCTTAGTTATTCAATCCGTTCCACTTGTTGATATAGAGAACGCCCACATTACTGAAAATCCAGTCCGCGTTTTCACTGCTGCAAGCAGCAGCACCTACATGCTCCCTGCACACAGTCACAGCGAGACGGTCACATTACGAGCCAGGCAGAGAGCAGCATCATGGACATATGCAAGTTTTTCAAAAAAGTAAGTCTTTATAGCTGCTGTTAGTAACAATAAGCTCCAGCTAACAGCTAATTGTCCCATGTAATTTATAAACCAGGTGCTCCCCATTTTGAGAAATAAAAACCTGGCTATCACACCAAGTTAAATTGTTAGCATGATGTTGATTTCTGTCACTTGTTTTAGCTGTGGAAAAGGACGAGCTGAGCTCATTCACGTATGATTATCATCAGTGGAAAATAATAATGCACTAATAATACTCACCCCACCATCCCCACTGACCTGTAGGAGTCAGGATAGAGGAGCACAGCAAGTGAGAGGGGAGACACCTCTACTGAAGAGGTGAGTCTAAAAGAATTCACAGGAGTGATGCAGACAGTCTGATCAGAATTTTATGGAACTCAATATGGATATGAAATATGAAATTTCAGTCATGGTGCACCATATAAGACTTATTTCACTTGAGTTTTTATTTAAGAGAGTCAAGATTAGAAAGTGGAGAGAGCCAAGAGATAAATTAGCCTGACCCAAATATTTTTGGGGGTTCTATTTTAATATTACTTTAATTCAAGTAATTTAGTAATATTTTTCAGGGCTTTAAATTGCAACCATTTTAGTCACATATGGGCCCAAAATGTAATCTGTGTAACATCTTGATATTTGGGAGCAAAAAATTACTGTGGGTGGTGTGTGAGCTTAAGTCATGACATTAGCCTCTATGTTGGATTAGTTATTAATTCAATGTGTTTCAATGTATCTTGGAGGGTCAGGCAGAAGGAAAGGCCGAGGAGCTGCAGCAAATGGCAGAGGAAGCTGAGAGAGGACAGCAAACAGGCCAAGAGAGGGAAAATAATGAAGCAGCTGCAGCAACTCATTCCACTACAGGGTTTGATTTAGGTGACAAAGACACAGGGCCCAGACAGGTCAAGCTGAAGAGCTACCCACAAGACAGTTTTGGTACACAGAAGCGAGCGTTTCACTACAGCTGGTTTGAAAAGCACAACTGGTTAGAATATTCAGTCAACTAGAATACAGCTTTCTGTTGCCCATGTAAAGTGTTTGGCAAAAACATAAAACATGATAGTTTGGTCAGTAGTGGTTCCAAGAACTGAAGAAAAAAAAGACTGAAATAAAACAAAAAAACTCCTGGTGGCCTGAGACTACATCTTAGTTAAATCCGTCCAAAAAAGCTGAAAAGCAATTTCTCAGTCTTTTCTGTTTGTGAAATTTTGTGATCGCTCACTACGTTCACGCACATCCTGTTCATCTCTTGGGGGCTAAGCCCCCCTTGTCCTTAAAACCTAGTGACGCCCCTGACCCTTGTGTTAAGCTGTATTTTAAGTGTTCTTTTAAAGAGTTTGGCTTGTTGTTATGATCATTGTTTGTTTTGGCGAGTTTGAAGGTTTTTGAGCATGTGTAATGGCATGTATGTGTTGAATTAGTAAACCCTTGTGTTAAGCTGTTGTTTTAGTGTTCTTTTACAGAGTTTGGCTTGTTGTTATGATCATCTTATGATCATGCTCAAAAACCTTCAAACTCGCCAAAACAAACAATGATCATAACAAAAAGCCAAACTCATCAAAAGAAGACTAAAACAACAGGTTAACACAAGGGTTAACTAATTCAACACATACATGCCATTACACATGCTAACAAACCTTCAAACTCGCCAAAACAAACAATGTTCATAACAACAAGCCAAACTCATCAAAAGAAGACTAAAACAACAGCTTAACACAAGAGGTAGCCAATTCAACACATACGTGCCATAACACATGCTCACAAACCTTCAAACTCGCCAAAACAAACAGTGATCATATCAACAAGCCAAACTCATCAAATGAACACTAAAACAACAGCTTAGCCCAAGGGTTGACTAATTCAACACATAAATGCCATTACACATGCTCAAAAACCTTCAAACTCGCCAAAACAAACAATTATCATAAAAACAAGCCAAACCCATCAAAAGGACACTAAAACAACAGCTTAACGCACTCATGCCATTACACATGCTCAAAAACCTTCAAACCTCGCCAAAACGAACAATGTTCATAACAACAAGCCAAACTCATCAAAAGAACACTAAAACAACAGCTTAACACAAGGGATTACTATTTCAAAACATTCATACCATTACACATGCTCAAAAACCTTCAAACTCGCCAAAACAAACACTGTTTATAACAACAAGCCAAACTCATCAAAAGAACACTAAAACAACAGCTTAACGCATTTATGCCATTACACATGCTCAAAAACCTTCAAACTCGACAAAACGAACAATGTTCAAAACAACAAGCCAAATACATCAAAAGAACACTAAAACAACAGCTTAACGCATTCATGCCATTACATATGCTCAAAAACCTTCAAACTCGCCAAAACAAACACTGTTTATAACAACAAGCCAAACTCATCAAAAGAACACTAAAACAACAGCTTAACGCATTCATGCCATTACACATGCTCAAAAACCTTCAAGCTCGACAAAACGAACAATGTTCATAACAACAAGCAAAACTCATCAAAAGAACACTAAAACAACATCTTAACACAAGGGATTACTAATTCAACACATTCATGCCATTACACATGCTCAAAAACGTTCAAACTCGCCAAAACAAACACTTTTCATAACAACAAGCCAAACTCATCAAAAGAACACTAAAACAACAGCTTAACACAAGAGATTACTAATTCAACACATTCATGCCATTACACATGCTCAAAAACCTTCAAACTCACCAAATCGAAAAATGTTCATAACAACAAGCCAAACACATCAAAAGAACACTAAAACAACAGCTTAACGCATTCATGCCATTACACATGCTCAAAAACCTTCAAACTCGCCAAAACAAACACTTTTCATAACAACAAACCAAACTCATCAAAAGAACACTAAAACAACAGCTGAACACAAGGGATTACTAATTCAACACATTCATGCCATTACACATGCTCAAAAACGTTCAAACTCGCCAAAAGAAACACTTTTCATAACAACAAGCCAAACTCATCAAATGAACACTAAAACAACAGATTAATGCATTCATGCCATTACACATGCTCAAAAACCTTCAAACTCGCCAAAACAAACACTGTTCATAACAACAAGCCAAACTCACCAAAAGAACACTAAAACAACAGCTTAACGCATTCATGCCATTACACATGCTCAAAAACCTTCAAACTCGCCAAAACAAACACTTTTCATAACAACAAGCCAAACTCATCAAAAGAACACTAAAACAACAGCTGAACACAAGGGATTACTAATTCAACACATTCATGCCATTACACATGCTCAAAAACGTTAAAACTCGCCAAAAGAAACACTTTTCATAACAACAAGCCAAACTCATCAAAAGAACACTAACACAACAGCTTAACGCACTCATGCCATTACACATGCTCAAAAACGTTCAAACTCGCCAAAATGAACAATGTTCATAACAACAAGCCAAACTCATCAAAAGAACACTAAAACAACAGCTTAACGCATTCATGCCATTACACATGCTCAAAAACGTTCAAACTCACCAAAACAAACACTTCCATAACAACAAGCCAAACTCATCAAAAGAACACTAAAACAACAGCTTTAACACAAGGGATTACTAATTCAACACATTCATGCCATTACACATGCTCAAAAACGTTCAAACTCGCCAAAACAAACGCTTTTCATAACAACAAGCCAAACTCATCAAAAGAACACTAAAACAACAGCTTAACACAAGGGATTACTAATTCAACACATTCATGCATTACACATGCTCAAACTCGCCAAAACGAACAATGTTCATAACAACAAGCCAAACTCATCAAAAGAACACTAAAACAACAGCTTAACGCATTCATGCCATTACACATGCTCAAAACCTTCAAACTCGCCAAAACAAACACTTTTCATAACAACAAGCCAAACACATCAAAAGAACACTAAAACAACAGCTTTTACACAAGGGATTACTAATTCAACACATTCATGCCATTACACATGCTCAAAAACGTTCAAACTCGCCAAAACAAACACTTTTCATAACAAAAAGCCAAACTCATCAAAAGAACACTAAAACAACAGCTTAACGCATTCATGTCATTACACATGCTCAAAAACATTCAAACTCGCCAAAACAAACACTTTTCATAACAACAAGCCAAACTCATCAAAAGAACACTAAAACAACAGCTTAACGCATTCATGCCATTACACATGCTCAATAATGTTCAAACTTGCCAAAACAAACACTTTTCATAACAACAAGCCTAACTCATCAAAAGAACACTAAAACAACAGCTTAACGCATTCATGCCATTACACATGCTCAAAGAAGTTCAAACTCGCCAAAACAAACACTTTTCATAACAACAAGCCAAACTCATCAAAAGAACACTAAAACAACAGCTTAACACAAGGGATTACTAATTCAACACATTCATGCCATTACACATCCTCAAAAACGTTCAAACTCGCCAAAACAAACACTTTTCATAACAACAAGCCAAACTCATCAAAAGAACACTAAAACAACAGCTTAACGCATTCATGCCATTACACATGCTCAAAAACGTTCAAACTCGCCAAAACAAACACTTTTCATAACAACAAGCCAAACTCATCAAAAGAACACTAAAACAACAGCTTAACGCATTCATGCCATTACACATGCTCAAAAACCTTCAAACTCGCCAAAACAAACACTTTTCATAACAAGCCAAACTCATCAAAAGAACACTAAAACAACAGCTTAACGCATTCATGCCATTACACATGCTCAAAAACGTTCAAACTCGCCAAAACAAACACTTTTCATAACAACAAGCCAAACTCATCAAAAGAACACTAAAACAACAGCTTAACACAAGGGATTACTAATTCAACACATTCATGCCATTACACATGCTAAAAAACGTTCAAACTCGCCAAAACAAACACTTTTCATAACAACAAGCCAAACTCATCAAAAGAACACTAAAACAACAGCTTAACGCATTCATGCCATTACACATGCTCAAAAACGTTCAAACTCGCCAAAACAAACACTTTTCATATCAACATGCCAAACTCATCAAAAGAACACTAAAACAACAGCTTAACGCATTCATGCCATTACACATGCTCAAAAACCTTCAAACTCGCCAAAAAAAAACACTTTTCATAACAACAAGCCAAACTCATCAAAAGAACACTAAAACAACAGCTTTACACAAGGGATTACTAATTCAACACATTCATGCCATTACAAATGCTCAAAAACGTTCAAACTCGCCAAAACGAACAATGTTCATAACAACAAGCCAAACTCATCAAAAGAACACTAAAACAACAGCTTAACGCATTCATGCCATTACACATGCTCAAAAACGTTCAAACTCGCCAAAACAAAAACTTTTCATAACAACAAGCCAAACTCATCAAAAGAACACTAAAACAACAGCTTAACACAAGGGATTACTAATTCAACACATTCATGCCATTACACATGCTCAAAAACCTTCAAACTCGCCAAAACGAACAATGTTCATAACAACAAGCCAAACTCATCAAAAGGACACTAAAACAACAGCTTAACGCATTCATGCCATTACACATGCTCAAAAACGTTCAAACTCGCCAAAACAAACACTTTTCATAACAACAAGCCAAACTCATCAAAAGAACACTAAAACAACAGCTTAACGCATTCATGCCATGACACATGCTCAAAAACCTTCAAACTCGCCAAAACAAACACTTTTCATAACAACAAGCCAAACTCATCAAAAGAACACTAAAACAAAAGCTTAACACAAGGGATTACTAATTCAACACATTCATGCCATTACACATCCTCAAAAACGTTCAAACTCGCCAAAACAAACACTTTTCATAACAACAAGCCAAACTCATCAAAAGAACACTAAAACAACAGCTTAACGCATTCATGCCATTACACATGCTCAAAAACGTTCAAACTCGCCAAAACAAACACTTTTCATAACAAGCCAAACTCATCAAAAGAACACTAAAACAACAGCTTAACGCTTTCATGCCATTACACATGCTCAAAAACGTTCAAACTCGCCAAAACAAACACTTTTCATAACAACAAGCCAAACTCATCAAAAGAACACTAAAACAACAGCTTAACACAAGGGATTACTAATTCAACACATTCATGCCATTACACATCCTCAAAAACGTTCAAACTCGCCAAAACAAACACTTTTCATAACAACAAGCCAAACTCATCAAAAGAACACTAAAACAACAGCTTAACGCATTCATGCCATTACACATGCTCAAAAACGTTCAAACTCACCAAAACAAACACTTTTCATAACAACAAGCCAAACTCATCAAAAGAACACTAAAACAACAGCTTAACACAAGGGATTACTAATTCAACACATTCATGCCATTACACATGCTCAAAAACGTTCAAACTCGCCAAAACAAACACTTTTCATAACAACAAGCCAAACTCATCAAAAGAACACTAAAACAACAGCTTAACGCATTCATGCCATTACACATGCTCAAAAACGTTCAAACTCGCCAAAACAAACACTTTTCATATCAACATGCCAAACTCATCAAAAGAACACTAAAACAACAGCTTAACGCATTCATGCCATTACACATGCTCAAAAACCGTCAAACTTGCCAAAACAAACACTTTTCATAACAACAAGCCAAACTCATCAAAAGAACACTAAAACAACAGCTTAACGCATTCATGCCATTACACATGCTCAAAAACGTTCAAACTCGCCAAAACAAACACTTTTCATAACAACAAGCCAAACTCATCAAAAGAACACTAAAACAACAGCTTAACGCATTCATGCCATTACACATGCTCAAAAACGTTCAAACTCACCAAAACAAACACTTTTCATAACAACAAGCCAAACTCATCAAAAGAACACTAAAACAACAGCTTAACGCATTCATGCCATTACATATGCTCAAAAAGTTCAAACTCGGCAAAACAAAGACTTTTCATAACAACAAGCTAGACTCATCAAAAGAACACTAAAACAACAGCTTTACGCATTCATGCCATTACACATGCTCAAAAACGTTCAAACTCGCCAAAACAAACACTTTTCATAACAACAAGCCAAACTCATCAAAAGAACACTAAAACAACAGCTTTACGCATTCATGCCATTACACATGCTCAAAAACGTTCAAACTCGCCAAAACAAACACTTTTCATAACAACAAGCCAAACTCATCAAAAGAACACTAAAACAACAGCTTAACGCATTCATGCCATTACATATGCTCAAAAAGTTCAAACTCGCCAAAACAAAGACTTTTCATAACAACAAGCTAGACTCATCAAAAGAACACTAAAACAACAGCTTTACGCATTCATGCCATTACACATGCTCAAAAACGTTCAAACTCGCCAAAACAAACACTTTTCATAACAACAAGCCAAACTCATCAAAAGAACACTAAAACAACAGCTTTACGCATTCATGCCATTACACATGCTCAAAAACGTTCAAACTCGCCAAAACAAACACTTTTCATAACAACAAGCCAAACTCATCAAAAGAACACTAAAACAACAGCTTAACGCATTCATGCCATTACACATGCTCAAAAACGTTCAAACTCGCCAAAACAAACACTTTTCATAACAACAAGCCAAACTCATCAAAAGAACACTAAAACAACAGCTTAACACAAGGGATTACTAATTCAACACATTCATGCCATTACACATGCTCAAAAACGTTCAAACTCGCCAAAACAAACACTTTTCATAACAACAAGCCAAACTCATCAAAAGAACACTAAAACAACAGCTTAACGCATTCATGCCATTACACATGCTCAAAAACGTTCAAACTCGCCAAAACAAACACTTTTCACAACAACAAGCCAAACTCATCAAAAGAACACTAAAACAACAGCTTAACGCATTCATGCCATTACACATGCTCAAAAACATTCAAACTCGCCAAAACAAACACTTTTCATAACAACAAGCCAAACTCATCAAAAGAACACTAAAACAACAGCTTAACATAAGGGATTACTAATTCAACACATTCATGACATTACACATGCTCAAAAAACGTTCAAACTCGCCAAAACAAACACTTTTCATAACAAAAAGCCAAACTCATCAAAAGAACACTAAAACAACAGCTTAACACAAGGGATTACTAATTCAACACATTCATTCCATTACACATGCTCAAAAACCTTCAACATGGCAAAACGAACAATGTTCTTAACAACAAGCCAAACTCATCAAAAGAACACTAAAACAACAGCTTAACGCATTCATGCCATTACACATGCTCAAAAACCTTCAAACTCGCCAAAACAAACACTTTTCATAACAACAAGCCAAACTCATCAAAAGAACACTAAAACAACAGCTTAACGCATTCATGTCATTACACATGCTCAAAAACGTTCAAACTCGCCACAACAAACACTTTTCATAACAACAAGCCAAACTCATCAAAAGAACACAAAAACAACAGCTTAACACAAGGGATTACTAATTCAACACATTCATGCCATTACCCATGCTCAAAAACGTTCAAACTCGCCAAAACAAACACTTTTCATAACAACAAGCCAAACTCAACAAAAGAACACTAAAACAACAGCTTAACGCATTCATGTCATTACACATGCTCAAAAACATTCAAAGTCGCCAAAACAAACTCTTTTCATAACAACAAGCCAAACTCATCAAAAGAACACTAAAACAACAGCTTAACGCATTCATGCCATTACACATGCTCAAAAACGTTCAAACTCGCCAAAACAAACACTTTTCATAACAACAAGCCAAACTCATCAAAAGAACACTAAAACAACAGCTTTACGCATTCATGCCATTACACATGCTCAAAAACGTTCAAACTCGCCAAAACAAACACTTTTCATAACAACAAGCCTAACTCATCAAAAGAACACTAAAACAACAGCTTAACGCATTCATGCCATTACACATGCTCAAAGAAGTTCAAACTCGCCAAAACAAACACTTTTCATAACAACAAGCCAAACTCATCAAAAGAACACTAAAACAACAGCTTAACACAAGGGATTACTAATTCAACACATTCATGCCATTACACATCCTCAAAAACGTTCAAACTCGCCAAAACAAACACTTTTCATAACAACAAGCCAAACTCATCAAAAGAACACTAAAACAACAGCTTTACGCATTCATGCCATTACACATGCTCAAAAACGTTCAAACTCGCCAAAACAAACACTTTTCATAACAACAAGCCAAACTCATCATAAGAACACTAAAACAACAGCTTAACATAAGGGATTACTAATTCAACACATTCATGACATTACACATGCTCAAAAAACGTTCAAACTCGCCAAAACAAACACTTTTCATAACAAAAAGCCAAACTCATCAAAAGAACACTAAAACAACAGCTTAACACAAGGGATTACTAATTCAACACATTCATTCCATTACACATGCTCAAAAACCTTCAATATGGCAAAACGAACAATGTTCTTAACAACAAGCCAAACTCATCAAAAGAACACTAAAACAACAGCTTAACGCATTCATGCCATTACACATGCTCAAAAACCTTCAAACTCGCCAAAACAAACACTTTTCATAACAACAAGCCAAACTCATCAAAAGAACACTAAAACAACAGCTTAACGCATTCATGTCATTACACATGCTCAAAAACGTTCAAACTCGCCACAACAAACACTTTTCATAACAACAAGCCAAACTCATCAAAAGAACACAAAAACAACAGCTTAACACAAGGGATTACTAATTCAACACATTCATGCCATTACCCATGCTCAAAAACGTTCAAACTCGCCAAAACAAACACTTTTCATAACAACAAGCCAAACTCAACAAAAGAACACTAAAACAACAGCTTAACGCATTCATGTCATTACACATGCTCAAAAACATTCAAAGTCGCCAAAACAAACTCTTTTCATAACAACAAGCCAAACTCATCAAAAGAACACTAAAACAACAGCTTAACGCATTCATGCCATTACACATGCTCAAAAACGTTCAAACTCGCCAAAACAAACACTTTTCATAACAACAAGCCAAACTCATCAAAAGAACACTAAAACAACAGCTTTACGCATTCATGCCATTACACATGCTCAAAAACGTTCAAACTCGCCAAAACAAACACTTTTCATAACAACAAGCCTAACTCATCAAAAGAACACTAAAACAACAGCTTAACGCATTCATGCCATTACACATGCTCAAAGAAGTTCAAACTCGCCAAAACAAACACTTTTCATAACAACAAGCCAAACTCATCAAAAGAACACTAAAACAACAGCTTAACACAAGGGATTACTAATTCAACACATTCATGCCATTACACATCCTCAAAAACGTTCAAACTCGCCAAAACAAACACTTTTCATAACAACAAGCCTAACTCATCAAAAGAACACTAAAACAACAGCTTAACGCATTCATGCCATTACACATGCTCAAAGAAGTTCAAACTCGCCAAAACAAACACTTTTCATAACAACAAGCCAAACTCATCAAAAGAACACTAAAACAACAGCTTAACACAAGGGATTACTAATTCAACACATTCATGCCATTACACATCCTCAAAAACGTTCAAACTCGCCAAAACAAACACTTTTCATAACAACAAGCCAAACTCATCAAAAGAACACTAAAACAACAGCTTTACGCATTCATGCCATTACACATGCTCAAAAACGTTCAAACTCGCCAAAACAAACACTTTTCATAACAACAAGCCAAACTCATCAAAAGAACACTAAAACAACAGCTTAACACAAGGGATTACTAATTCAACACATTCATGCCATTACACATGCTCAAAAACGTTCAAACTCGCCACAACAAACACTTTTCATAACAACAAGCCAAACTCATCAAAAGAACACAAAAACAACAGCTTAACACAAGGGATTACTAATTCAACACATTCATGCCATTACCCATGCTCAAAAACGTTCAAACTCGCCAAAACAAACACTTTTCATAACAACAAGCCAAACTCAACAAAAGAACACTAAAACAACAGCTTAACGCATTCATGTCATTACACATGCTCAAAAACATTCAAAGTCGCCAAAACAAACTCTTTTCATAACAACAAGCCAAACTCATCAAAAGAACACTAAAACAACAGCTTAACGCATTCATGCCATTACACATGCTCAAAAACGTTCAAACTCGCCAAAACAAACACTTTTCATAACAACAAGCCAAACTCATCAAAAGAACACTAAAACAACAGCTTTACGCATTCATGCCATTACACATGCTCAAAAACGTTCAAACTCGCCAAAACAAACACTTTTCATAACAACAAGCCTAACTCATCAAAAGAACACTAAAACAACAGCTTAACGCATTCATGCCATTACACATGCTCAAAGAAGTTCAAACTCGCCAAAACAAACACTTTTCATAACAACAAGCCAAACTCATCAAAAGAACACTAAAACAACAGCTTAACACAAGGGATTACCAATTCAACACATTCATGCCATTACACATCCTCAAAAACGTTCAAACTCGCCAAAACAAACACTTTTCAAAACAACAAGCCAAACTCATCAAAAGAACACTAAAACAACAGCTTTACGCATTCATGCCATTACACATGCTCAAAAACGTTCAAACTCGCCAAAACAAACACTTTTCATAACAACAAGCCAAACTCATCAAAAGAACACTAAAACAACAGCTTAACACAAGGGATTACTAATTCAACACATTCATGACATTACACATGCTCAAAAAACGTTCAAACTCGCCAAAACAAACACTTTTCATAACAAAAAGCCAAACTCATCAAAAGAACACTAAAACAACAGCTTAACACAAGGGATTACTAATTCAACACATTCATTCCATTACACATGCTCAAAAACCTTCAACATGGCAAAACGAACAATGTTATTAACAACAAGCCAAACTCATCAAAAGAACACTAAAACAACAGCTTAACGCATTCATGCCATTACACATGCTCAAAAACCTTCAAACTCGCCAAAACAAACACTTTTCATAACAACAAGCCAAACTCATCAAAAGAACACTAAAACAACAGCTTAACGCATTCATGTCATTACACATGCTCAAAAACGTTCAAACTCGCCACAACAAACACTTTTCATAACAACAAGCCAAACTCATCAAAAGAACACAAAAACAACAGCTTAACACAAGGGATTACTAATTCAACACATTCATGCCATTACCCATGCTCAAAAACGTTCAAACTCGCCAAAACAAACACTTTTCATAACAACAAGCCAAACTCAACAAAAGAACACTAAAACAACAGCTTAACGCATTCATGTCATTACACATGCTCAAAAACATTCAAAGTCGCCAAAACAAACTCTTTTCATAACAACAAGCCAAACTCATCAAAAGAACACTAAAACAACAGCTTAACGCATTCATGCCATTACACATGCTCAAAAACGTTCAAACTCGCCAAAACAAACACTTTTCATAACAACAAGCCAAACTCATCAAAAGAACACTAAAACAACAGCTTTACGCATTCATGCCATTACACATGCTCAAAAACGTTCAAACTCGCCAAAACAAACACTTTTCATAACAACAAGCCTAACTCATCAAAAGAACACTAAAACAACAGCTTAACGCATTCATGCCATTACACATGCTCAAAGAAGTTCAAACTCGCCAAAACAAACACTTTTCATAACAACAAGCCAAACTCATCAAAAGAACACTAAAACAACAGCTTAACACAAGGGATTACTAATTCAACACATTCATGCCATTACACATCCTCAAAAACGTTCAAACTCGCCAAAACAAACACTTTTCATAACAACAAGCCAAACTCATCAAAAGAACACTAAAACAACAGCTTTACGCATTCATGCCATTACACATGCTCAAAAACGTTCAAACTCGCCAAAACAAACACTTTTCATAACAACAAGCCAAACTCATCATAAGAACACTAAAACAACAGCTTAACATAAGGGATTACTAATTCAACACATTCATGACATTACACATGCTCAAAAAACGTTCAAACTCGCCAAAACAAACACTTTTCATAACAAAAAGCCAAACTCATCAAAAGAACACTAAAACAACAGCTTAACATAAGGGATTACTAATTCAACACATTCATTCCATTACACATGCTCAAAAACCTTCAACATGGCAAAACGAACAATGTTCTTAACAACAAGCCAAACTCATCAAAAGAACACTAAAACAACAGCTTAACGCATTCATGCCATTACACATGCTCAAAAACCTTCAAACTCGCCAAAACAAACACTTTTCATAACAACAAGCCAAACTCATCAAAAGAACACTAAAACAACAGCTTAACGCATTCATGTCATTACACATGCTCAAAAACGTTCAAACTCGCCACAACAAACACTTTTCATAACAACAAGCCAAACTCATCAAAAGAACACAAAAACAACAGCTTAACACAAGGGATTACTAATTCAACACATTCATGCCATTACCCATGCTCAAAAACGTTCAAACTCGCCAAAACAAACACTTTTCATAACAACAAGCCAAACTCAACAAAAGAACACTAAAACAACAGCTTAACGCATTCATGTCATTACACATGCTCAAAAACATTCAAAGTCGCCAAAACAAACTCTTTTCATAACAACAAGCCAAACTCATCAAAAGAACACTAAAACAACAGCTTAACGCATTCATGCCATTACACATGCTCAAAAACGTTCAAACTCGCCAAAACAAACACTTTTCATAACAACAAGCCAAACTCATCAAAAGAACACTAAAACAACAGCTTTACGCATTCATGCCATTACACATGCTCAAAAACGTTCAAACTCGCCAAAACAAACACTTTTCATAACAACAAGCCTAACTCATCAAAAGAACACTAAAACAACAGCTTAACGCATTCATGCCATTACACATGCTCAAAGAAGTTCAAACTCGCCAAAACAAACACTTTTCATAACAACAAGCCAAACTCATCAAAAGAACACTAAAACAACAGCTTAACACAAGGGATTACTAATTCAACACATTCATGCCATTACACATCCTCAAAAACGTTCAAACTCGCCAAAACAAACACTTTTCATAACAACAAGCCAAACTCATCAAAAGAACACTAAAACAACAGCTTTACGCATTCATGCCATTACACATGCTCAAAAACGTTCAAACTCGCCAAAACAAACACTTTTCATAACAACAAGCCAAACTCATCAAAAGAACACTAAAACAACAGCTTAACACAAGGGATTACTAATTCAACACATTCATGCCATTACACATGCTCAAAAACGTTCAAACTCGCCACAACAAACACTTTTCATAACAACAAGCCAAACTCATCAAAAGAACACAAAAACAACAGCTTAACACAAGGGATTACTAATTCAACACATTCATGCCATTACCCATGCTCAAAAACGTTCAAACTCGCCAAAACAAACACTTTTCATAACAACAAGCCAGACTCAACAAAAGAACACTAAAACAACAGCTTAACGCATTCATGTCATTACACATGCTCAAAAACATTCAAAGTCGCCAAAACAAACTCTTTTCATAACAACAAGCCAAACTCATCAAAAGAACACTAAAACAACAGCTTAACGCATTCATGCCATTACACATGCTCAAAAACGTTCAAACTCGCCAAAACAAACACTTTTCATAACAACAAGCCAAACTCATCAAAAGAACACTAAAACAACAGCTTTACGCATTCATGCCATTACACATGCTCAAAAACGTTCAAACTCGCCAAAACAAACACTTTTCATAACAACAAGCCTAACTCATCAAAAGAACACTAAAACAACAGCTTAACGCATTCATGCCATTACACATGCTCAAAGAAGTTCAAACTCGCCAAAACAAACACTTTTCATAACAACAAGCCAAACTCATCAAAAGAACACTAAAACAACAGCTTAACACAAGGGATTACTAATTCAACACATTCATGCCATTACACATCCTCAAAAACGTTCAAACTCGCCAAAACAAACACTTTTCATAACAACAAGCCAAACTCATCAAAAGAACACTAAAACAACAGCTTTACGCATTCATGCCATTACACATGCTCAAAAACGTTCAAACTCGCCAAAACAAACACTTTTCATAACAACAAGCCAAACTCATCAAAAGAACACTAAAACAACAGCTTAACACAAGGGATTACTAATTCAACACATTCATGCCATTACACATGCTCAAAAACGTTCAAACTCGCCAAAACAAACACTTTTCATAACAACAAGCCAAACTCATCAAAAGAACACTAAAACAACAGCTTAACACAAGGGATTACTAATTCAACACATTCATGCCATTACACATGCTCAAAAACCTTCAAACTCGCCAAAACGAACAATGTTCATAACAACAAGCCAAACTCATCAAAAGGACACTAAAACAACAGCTTAACGCATTCATGCCATTACACATGCTCAAAAACGTTCAAACTCGCCAAAACAAACACTTTTCATAACAAGCCAAACTCATCAAAAGAACACTTAAACAACAGCTTAACGTATTCATGCCATTACACATGCTCAAAAACGTTCAAACTCGCCAAAACAAACACTTTTCATAACAACAAGCAAAACTCATCAAAAGAACACTAAAACAACAGCTTAACACAAGGGATTACTAATTCCACACATTCATGCCATTACACATGCTCAAAAACCTTCAAACTCGCCAAAACAAACACTTTTCATAACAACAAGCCAAACTCATCAAAAGAACACTAAAACAACAGCTTAACGCATTCATGCCATTACACATGCTCAAAAACATTCAAACTCGCCAAAACAAACACTTTTCATATCAACATGCCAAACTCATCAAAAGAACACTCAAACAACAGCTTAACGCATTCATGCCATTACACATGCTCAAAAACCTTCAAACTCGCCAAAAAAAAACACTTTTCATAACAACAAGCCAAACTCATCAAAAGAACACTAAAACAACAGCTTAACGCATTCATGCCATTACACATGCTCAAAAACGTTCAAACTCACCAAAACAAACACTTTTCATAACAACAAGCCAAACTCATCAAAAGAACACTAAAACAACAGCTTTACACAAGGGATTACTAATTCAACACATTCATGCCATTACACATGCTCAAAAACGTTCAAACTCGCCAAAACAAACACTTTTCATATCAACATGCCAAACTCATCAAAAGAACACTAAAACAACAGCTTAACGCATTCATGCCATTACACATGCTCAAAAACCTTCAAACTCGCCAAAACAAACACTTTTCATAACAACAAGCCAAACTCATTAAAAGAACACTAAAACAACAGCTTAACACAAGGGATTACTAATTCAACACATTCATGCCATTACACATGCTCAAAAACGTTCAAACTCGCCAAAACAAACACTTTTCATAACAACAAGCCAAACTCATCAAAAGAACACTAAAACAACAGCTTAACGCATTCATGCCATTACATATGCTCAAAAAGTTCAAACTCGCCAAAACAAAGACTTTTCATAACAACAAGCTAAACTCATCAAAAGAACACTAAAACAACAGCTTAACGCATTCATGCCATTACACATGCTCAAAAACGTTCAAACTCGCCAAAACAAACACTTTTCATAACAACAAGCCAAACTCATCAAAAGAACACTAAAACAACAGCTTAACGCATTCATGCCATTACACATGCTCAAAAACGTTCAAACTCGCCAAAACAAACACTTTTCATAACAACAAGCCAAACTCATCAAAAGAACACTAAAACAACAGCTTTACGCATTCATGCCATTACACATGCTCAAAAACGTTCAAACTCGCCAAAACAAACACTTTTCATAACAACAAGCCTAACTCATCAAAAGAACACTAAAACAACAGCTTAACGCATTCATGCCATTACACATGCTCAAAGAAGTTCAAACTCGCCAAAACAAACACTTTTCATAACAACAAGCCAAACTCATCAAAAGAACACTAAAACAACAGCTTAACACAAGGGATTACTAATTCATCACATTCATGCCATTACACATCCTCAAAAACGTTCAAACTCGCCAAAACAAACACTTTTCATAACAACAAGCCAAACTCATCAAAAGAACACTAAAACAACAGCTTTACGCATTCATGCCATTACACATGCTCAAAAACGTTCAAACTCGCCAAAACAAACACTTTTCATAACAACAAGCCAAACTCATCAAAAGAACACTAAAACAACAGCTTTACGCATTCATGCCATTACACATGCTCAAAAACGTTCAAACTCGCCAAAACAAACACTTTTCATAACAACAAGCCAAACTCATCAAAAGAACACTAAAACAACAGCTTAACATAAGGGATTACTAATTCAACACATTCATGACATTACACATGCTCAAAAAACGTTCAAACTCGCCAAAACAAACACTTTTCATAACAAAAAGCCAAACTCATCAAAAGAACACTAAAACAACAGCTTAACACAAGGGATTACTAATTCAACACATTCATTCCATTACACATGCTCAAAAACCTTCAACATGGCAAAACGAACAATGTTCTTAACAACAAGCCAAACTCATCAAAAGAACACTAAAACAACAGCTTAACGCATTCATGCCATTACACATGCTCAAAAACCTTCAAACTCGCCAAAACAAACACTTTTCATAACAACAAGCCAAACTCATCAAAAGAACACTAAAACAACAGCTTAACGCATTCATGTCATTACACATGCTCAAAAACGTTCAAACTCGCCACAACAAACACTTTTCATAACAACAAGCCAAACTCATCAAAAGAACACAAAAACAACAGCTTAACACAAGGGATTACTAATTCAACACATTCATGCCATTACCCATGCTCAAAAACGTTCAAACTCGCCAAAACAAACACTTTTCATAACAACAAGCCAAACTCAACAAAAGAACACTAAAACAACAGCTTAACGCATTCATGTCATTACACATGCTCAAAAACATTCAAAGTCGCCAAAACAAACTCTTTTCATAACAACAAGCCAAACTCATCAAAAGAACACTAAAACAACAGCTTAACGCATTCATGCCATTACACATGCTCAAAAACGTTCAAACTCGCCAAAACAAACACTTTTCATAACAACAAGCCAAACTCATCAAAAGAACACTAAAACAACAGCTTTACGCATTCATGCCATTACACATGCTCAAAAACGTTCAAACTCGCCAAAACAAACACTTTTCATAACAACAAGCCTAACTCATCAAAAGAACACTAAAACAACAGCTTAACGCATTCATGCCATTACACATGCTCAAAGAAGTTCAAACTCGCCAAAACAAACACTTTTCATAACAACAAGCCAAACTCATCAAAAGAACACTAAAACAACAGCTTAACACAAGGGATTACTAATTCAACACATTCATGCCATTACACATCCTCAAAAACGTTCAAACTCGCCAAAACAAACACTTTTCATAACAACAAGCCAAACTCATCAAAAGAACACTAAAACAACAGCTTTACGCATTCATGCCATTACACATGCTCAAAAACGTTCAAACTCGCCAAAACAAACACTTTTCATAACAACAAGCCAAACTCATCAAAAGAACACTAAAACAACAGCTTAACACAAGGGATTACTAATTCAACACATTCATGCCATTACACATGCTCAAAAACGTTCAAACTCGCCACAACAAACACTTTTCATAACAACAAGCCAAACTCATCAAAAGAACACAAAAACAACAGCTTAACACAAGGGATTACTAATTCAACACATTCATGCCATTACCCATGCTCAAAAACGTTCAAACTCGCCAAAACAAACACTTTTCATAACAACAAGCCAGACTCAACAAAAGAACACTAAAACAACAGCTTAACGCATTCATGTCATTACACATGCTCAAAAACATTCAAAGTCGCCAAAACAAACTCTTTTCATAACAACAAGCCAAACTCATCAAAAGAACACTAAAACAACAGCTTAACGCATTCATGCCATTACACATGCTCAAAAACGTTCAAACTCGCCAAAACAAACTCTTTTCATAACAACAAGCCAAACTCATCAAAAGAACACTAAAACAACAGCTTTACGCATTCATGCCATTACACATGCTCAAAAACGTTCAAACTCGCCAAAACAAACACTTTTCATAACAACAAGCCAAACTCATCAAAAGAACACTAAAACAACAGCTTAACACAAGGGATTACTAATTCAACACATTCATGCCATTACACATCCTCAAAAACGTTCAAACTCGCCAAAACAAACACTTTTCATAACAACAAGCCAAACTCATCAAAAGAACACTAAAACAACAGCTTTACGCATTCATGCCATTACACATGCTCAAAAACGTTCAAACTCGCCAAAACAAACACTTTTCATAACAACAAGCCAAACTCATCAAAAGAACACTAAAACAACAGCTTAACACAAGGGATTACTAATTCAACACATTCATGCCATTACACATGCTCAAAAACGTTCAAACTGGCCAAAACAAACACTTTTCATAACAACAAGCCAAACTCATCAAAAGAACACTAAAACAACAGCTTAACACAAGGGATTACTAATTCAACACATTCATGCCATTACACATGCTCAAAAACCTTCAAACTCGCCAAAACGAACAATGTTCATAACAACAAGCCAAACTCATCAAAAGGACACTAAAACAACAGCTTAACGCATTCATGCCATTACACATGCTCAAAAACGTTCAAACTCGCCAAAACAAACACTTTTCATAACAAGCCAAACTCATCAAAAGAACACTAAAACAACAGCTTAACGTATTCATGCCATTACACATGCTCAAAAACGTTCAAACTCGCCAAAACAAACACTTTTCATAACAACAAGCCAAACTCATCAAAAGAACACTAAAACAACAGCTTAACACAAGGGATTACTAATTCCACACATTCATGCCATTACACATGCTCAAAAACCTTCAAACTCGCCAAAACAAACACTTTTCATAACAACAAGCCAAACTCATCAAAAGAACACTAAAACAACAGCTTAACGCATTCATGCCATTACACATGCTCAAAAACATTCAAACTCGCCAAAACAAACACTTTTCATATCAACATGCCAAACTCATCAAAAGAACACTCAAACAACAGCTTAACGCATTCATGCCATTACACATGCTCAAAAACCTTCAAACTCGCCAAAAAAAAAACACTTTTCATAACAACAAGCCAAACTCATCAAAAGAACACTAAAACAACAGCTTAACGCATTCATGCCATTACACATGCTCAAAAACGTTCAAACTCACCAAAACAAACACTTTTCATAACAACAAGCCAAACTCATCAAAAGAACACTAAAACAACAGCTTAACACAAGGGATTACTAATTCAACACATTCATGCCATTACACATGCTCAAAAACGTTCAAACTCGCCAAAACAAACACTTTTCATATCAACATGCCAAACTCATCAAAAGAACACTAAAACAACAGCTTAACGCATTCATGCCATTACACATGCTCAAAAACCTTCAAACTCGCCAAAACAAACACTTTTCATAACAACAAGCCAAACTCATTAAAAGAACACTAAAACAACAGCTTAACACAAGGGATTACTAATTCAACACATTCATGCCATTACACATGCTCAAAAACGTTCAAACTCGCCAAAACAAACACTTTTCATAACAACAAGCCAAACTCATCAAAAGAACACTAAAACAACAGCTTAACGCATTCATGCCATTACATATGCTCAAAAAGTTCAAACTCGCCAAAACAAAGACTTTTCATAACAACAAGCTAAACTCATCAAAAGAACACTAAAACAACAGCTTTACGCATTCATGCCATTACACATGCTCAAAAACGTTCAAACTCGCCAAAACAAACACTTTTCATAACAACAAGCCAAACTCATCAAAAGAACACTAAAACAACAGCTTAACACAAGGGATTACTAATTCAACACATTCATGCCATTACACATGCTCAAAAACGTTCAAACTCGCCAAAACAAACACTTTTCATAACAACAAGCCAAACTCATCAAAAGAACACTAAAACAACAGCTTAACACAAGGGATTACTAATTCAACACATTCATGCCATTACACATGCTCAAAAACCTTCAAACTCGCCAAAACGAACAATGTTCATAACAACAAGCCAAACTCATCAAAAGGACACTAAAACAACAGCTTAACGCATTCATGCCATTACACATGCTCAAAAACGTTCAAACTCGCCAAAACAAACACTTTTCATAACAAGCCAAACTCATCAAAAGAACACTTAAACAACAGCTTAACGTATTCATGCCATTACACATGCTCAAAAACGTTCAAACTCGCCAAAACAAACACTTTTCATAACAACAAGCAAAACTCATCAAAAGAACACTAAAACAACAGCTTAACACAAGGGATTACTAATTCCACACATTCATGCCATTACACATGCTCAAAAACCTTCAAACTCGCCAAAACAAACACTTTTCATAACAACAAGCCAAACTCATCAAAAGAACACTAAAACAACAGCTTAACGCATTCATGCCATTACACATGCTCAAAAACATTCAAACTCGCCAAAACAAACACTTTTCATATCAACATGCCAAACTCATCAAAAGAACACTCAAACAACAGCTTAACGCATTCATGCCATTACACATGCTCAAAAACCTTCAAACTCGCCAAAAAAAAACACTTTTCATAACAACAAGCCAAACTCATCAAAAGAACACTAAAACAACAGCTTAACGCATTCATGCCATTACACATGCTCAAAAACGTTCAAACTCACCAAAACAAACACTTTTCATAACAACAAGCCAAACTCATCAAAAGAACACTAAAACAACAGCTTTACACAAGGGATTACTAATTCAACACATTCATGCCATTACACATGCTCAAAAACGTTCAAACTCGCCAAAACAAACACTTTTCATATCAACATGCCAAACTCATCAAAAGAACACTAAAACAACAGCTTAACGCATTCATGCCATTACACATGCTCAAAAACCTTCAAACTCGCCAAAACAAACACTTTTCATAACAACAAGCCAAACTCATTAAAAGAACACTAAAACAACAGCTTAACACAAGGGATTACTAATTCAACACATTCATGCCATTACACATGCTCAAAAACGTTCAAACTCGCCAAAACAAACACTTTTCATAACAACAAGCCAAACTCATCAAAAGAACACTAAAACAACAGCTTAACGCATTCATGCCATTACATATGCTCAAAAAGTTCAAACTCGCCAAAACAAAGACTTTTCATAACAACAAGCTAAACTCATCAAAAGAACACTAAAACAACAGCTTAACGCATTCATGCCATTACACATGCTCAAAAACGTTCAAACTCGCCAAAACAAACACTTTTCATAACAACAAGCCAAACTCATCAAAAGAACACTAAATCAACAGCTTAACGCATTCATGCCATTACACATGCTCAAAAACGTTCAAACTCGCCAAAACAAACACTTTTCATAACAACAAGCCAAACTCATCAAAAGAACACTAAAACAACAGCTTTACGCATTCATGCCATTACACATGCTCAAAAACGTTCAAACTCGCCAAAACAAACACTTTTCATAACAACAAGCCTAACTCATCAAAAGAACACTAAAACAACAGCTTAACGCATTCATGCCATTACACATGCTCAAAAAGTTCAAACTCGCCAAAACAAACACTTTTCATAACAACAAGCCAAACTCATCAAAAGAACACTAAAACAACAGCTTAACACAAGGGATTACTAATTCATCACATTCATGCCATTACACATCCTCAAAAACGTTCAAACTCGCCAAAACAAACACTTTTCATAACAACAAGCCAAACTCATCAAAAGAACACTAAAACAACAGCTTTACGCATTCATGCCATTACACATGCTCAAAAACGTTCAAACTCGCCAAAACAAACACTTTTCATAACAACAAGCCAAACTCATCAAAAGAACACTAAAACAACAGCTTTACGCATTCATGCCATTACACATGCTCAAAAACGTTCAAACTCGCCAAAACAAACACTTTTCATAACAACAAGCCAAACTCATCAAAAGAACACTAAAACAACAGCTTAACATAAGGGATTACTAATTCAACACATTCATGACATTACACATGCTCAAAAAACGTTCAAACTCGCCAAAACAAACACTTTTCATAACAAAAAGCCAAACTCATCAAAAGAACACTAAAACAACAGCTTAACACAAGGGATTACTAATTCAACACATTCATTCCATTACACATGCTCAAAAACCTTCAACATGGCAAAACGAACAATGTTCTTAACAACAAGCCAAACTCATCAAAAGAACACTAAAACAACAGCTTAACGCATTCATGCCATTACACATGCTCAAAAACCTTCAAACTCGCCAAAACAAACACTTTTCATAACAACAAGCCAAACTCATCAAAAGAACACTAAAACAACAGCTTAACGCATTCATGTCATTACACATGCTCAAAAACGTTCAAACTCGCCACAACAAACACTTTTCATAACAACAAGCCAAACTCATCAAAAGAACACAAAAACAACAGCTTAACACAAGGGATTACTAATTCAACACATTCATGCCATTACCCATGCTCAAAAACGTTCAAACTCGCCAAAACAAACACTTTTCATAACAACAAGCCAAACTCAACAAAAGAACACTAAAACAACAGCTTAACGCATTCATGTCATTACACATGCTCAAAAACATTCAAAGTCGCCAAAACAAACTCTTTTCATAACAACAAGCCAAACTCATCAAAAGAACACTAAAACAACAGCTTAACGCATTCATGCCATTACACATGCTCAAAAACGTTCAAACTCGCCAAAACAAACACTTTTCATAACAACAAGCCAAACTCATCAAAAGAACACTAAAACAACAGCTTTACGCATTCATGCCATTACACATGCTCAAAAACGTTCAAACTCGCCAAAACAAACACTTTTCATAACAACAAGCCTAACTCATCAAAAGAACACTAAAACAACAGCTTAACGCATTCATGCCATTACACATGCTCAAAAAGTTCAAACTCGCCAAAACAAACACTTTTCATAACAACAAGCCAAACTCATCAAAAGAACACTAAAACAACAGCTTAACACAAGGGATTACTAATTCAACACATTCATGCCATTACACATCCTCAAAAACGTTCAAACTCGCCAAAACAAACACTTTTCATAACAACAAGCCAAACTCATCAAAAGAACACTAAAACAACAGCTTTACGCATTCATGCCATTACACATGCTCAAAAACGTTCAAACTCGCCAAAACAAACACTTTTCATAACAACAAGCCAAACTCATCAAAAGAACACTAAAACAACAGCTTAACACAAGGGATTACTAATTCAACACATTCATGCCATTACACATGCTCAAAAACGTTCAAACTCGCCACAACAAACACTTTTCATAACAACAAGCCAAACTCATCAAAAGAACACAAAAACAACAGCTTAACACAAGGGATTACTAATTCAACACATTCATGCCATTACCCATGCTCAAAAACGTTCAAACTCGCCAAAACAAACACTTTTCATAACAACAAGCCAGACTCAACAAAAGAACACTAAAACAACAGCTTAACGCATTCATGCATTACACATGCTCAAAAACATTCAAAGTCGCCAAAACAAACTCTTTTCATAACAACAAGCCAAACTCATCAAAAGAACACTAAAACAACAGCTTAACGCATTCATGCCATTACACATGCTCAAAAACGTTCAAACTCGCCAAAACAAACTCTTTTCATAACAACAAGCCAAACTCATCAAAAGAACACTAAAACAACAGCTTTACGCATTCATGCCATTACACATGCTCAAAAACGTTCAAACTCGCCAAAACAAACACTTTTCATAACAACAAGCCAAACTCATCAAAAGAACACTAAAACAACAGCTTAACACAAGGGATTACTAATTCAACACATTCATGCCATTACACATCCTCAAAAACGTTCAAACTCGCCAAAACAAACACTTTTCATAACAACAAGCCAAACTCATCAAAAGAACACTAAAACAACAGCTTAACGCATTCATGCCATTACACATGCTCAAAAACGTTCAAACTCGCCAAAACAAACACTTTTCATAACAACAAGCCAAACTCATCAAAAGAACACTAAAACAACAGCTTAACACAAGGGATTACTAATTCAACACATTCATGCCATTACACATGCTCAAAAACGTTCAAACTGGCCAAAACAAACACTTTTCATAACAACAAGCCAAACTCATCAAAAGAACACTAAAACAACATCTTAACACAAGGGATTACTAATTCAACACATTCATGCCATTACACATGCTCAAAAACCTTCAAACTCGCCAAAACGAACAATGTTCATAACAACAAGCCAAACTCATCAAAAGGACACTAAAACAACAGCTTAACGCATTCATGCCATTACACATGCTCAAAAACGTTCAAACTCGCCAAAACAAACACTTTTCATAACAAGCCAAACTCATCAAAAGAACACTAAAACAACAGCTTAACGTATTCATGCCATTACACATGCTCAAAAACGTTCAAACTCGCCAAAACAAACACTTTTCATAACAACAAGCCAAACTCATCAAAAGAACACTAAAACAACAGCTTAACACAAGGGATTACTAATTCCACACATTCATGCCATTACACATGCTCAAAAACCTTCAAACTCGCCAAAACAAACACTTTTCATAACAACAAGCCAAACTCATCAAAAGAACACTAAAACAACAGCTTAACGCATTCATGCCATTACACATGCTCAAAAACATTCAAACTCGCCAAAACAAACACTTTTCATATCAACATGCCAAACTCATCAAAAGAACACTCAAACAACAGCTTAACGCATTCATGCCATTACACATGCTCAAAAACCTTCAAACTCGCCAAAAAAAAACACTTTTCATAACAACAAGCCAAACTCATCAAAAGAACACTAAAACAACAGCTTAACGCATTCATGCCATTACACATGCTCAAAAACGTTCAAACTCGCCAAAACAAACACTTTTCATAACAACAAGCCAAACTCATCAAAAGAACACTAAAACAACAGCTTAACACAAGGGATTACTAATTCAACACATTCATGCCATTACACATGCTCAAAAACGTTCAAACTCGCCAAAACAAACACTTTTCATATCAACATGCCAAACTCATCAAAAGAACACTAAAACAACAGCTTAACGCATTCATGCCATTACACATGCTCAAAAACCTTCAAACTCGCCAAAACAAACACTTTTCATAACAACAAGCCAAACTCATTAAAAGAACACTAAAACAACGGCTTAACACAAGGGATTACTAATTCAACACATTCATGCCATTACACATGCTCAAAAACGTTCAAACTCGCCAAAACAAACACTTTTCATAACAACAAGCCAAACTCATCAAAAGAACACTAAAACAACAGCTTAACGCATTCATGCCATTACATATGCTCAAAAAGTTCAAACTCGCCAAAACAAAGACTTTTCATAACAACAAGCTAAACTCATCAAAAGAACACTAAAACAACAGCTTAACGCATTCATGCCATTACACATGCTCAAAAACGTTCAAACTCGCCAAAACAAACACTTTTCATAACAACAAGCCAAACTCATCAAAAGAACACTAAAACAACAGCTTAACGCATTCATGCCATTACACATGCTCAAAAACGTTCAAACTCGCCAAAACAAACACTTTTCATAACAACAAGCCAAACTCATCAAAAGAACACTAAAACAACAGCTTTACGCATTCATGCCATTACACATGCTCAAAAACGTTCAAACTCGCCAAAACAAACACTTTTCATAACAACAAGCCTAACTCATCAAAAGAACACTAAAACAACAGCTTAACGCATTCATGCCATTACACATGCTCAAAGAAGTTCAAACTCGCCAAAACAAACACTTTTCATAACAACAAGCCAAACTCATCAAAAGAACACTAAAACAACAGCTTAACACAAGGGATTACTAATTCAACACATTCATGCCATTACACATCCTCAAAAACGTTCAAACTCGCCAAAACAAACACTTTTCATAACAACAAGCCAAACTCATCAAAAGAACACTAAAACAACAGCTTTACGCATTCATGCCATTACACATGCTCAAAAACGTTCAAACTCGCCAAAACAAACACTTTTCATAACAACAAGCCAAACTCATCAAAAGAACACTAAAACAACAGCTTAACATAAGGGATTACTAATTCAACACATTCATGACATTACACATGCTCAAAAAACGTTCAAACTCGCCAAAACAAACACTTTTCATAACAAAAAGCCAAACTCATCAAAAGAACACTAAAACAACAGCTTAACACAAGGGATTACTAATTCAACACATTCATTCCATTACACATGCTCAAAAACCTTCAACATGGCAAAACGAACAATGTTCTTAACAACAAGCCAAACTCATCAAAAGAACACTAAAACAACAGCTTAACGCATTCATGCCATTACACATGCTCAAAAACCTTCAAACTCGCCAAAACAAACACTTTTCATAACAACAAGCCAAACTCATCAAAAGAACACTAAAACAACAGCTTAACGCATTCATGTCATTACACATGCTCAAAAACGTTCAAACTCGCCACAACAAACACTTTTCATAACAACAAGCCAAACTCATCAAAAGAACACAAAAACAACAGCTTAACACAAGGGATTACTAATTCAACACATTCATGCCATTACCCATGCTCAAAAACGTTCAAACTCGCCAAAACAAACACTTTTCATAACAACAAGCCAAACTCAACAAAAGAACACTAAAACAACAGCTTAACGCATTCATGTCATTACACATGCTCAAAAACATTCAAAGTCGCCAAAACAAACTCTTTTCATAACAACAAGCCAAACTCATCAAAAGAACACTAAAACAACAGCTTAACGCATTCATGCCATTACACATGCTCAAAAACGTTCAAACTCGCCAAAACAAACACTTTTCATAACAACAAGCCAAACTCATCAAAAGAACACTAAAACAACAGCTTTACGCATTCATGCCATTACACATGCTCAAAAACGTTCAAACTCGCCAAAACAAACACTTTTCATAACAACAAGCCTAACTCATCAAAAGAACACTAAAACAACAGCTTAACGCATTCATGCCATTACACATGCTCAAAGAAGTTCAAACTCGCCAAAACAAACACTTTTCATAACAACAAGCCAAACTCATCAAAAGAACACTAAAACAACAGCTTAACACAAGGGATTACTAATTCAACACATTCATGCCATTACACATCCTCAAAAACGTTCAAACTCGCCAAAACAAACACTTTTCATAACAACAAGCCAAACTCATCAAAAGAACACTAAAACAACAGCTTTACGCATTCATGCCATTACACATGCTCAAAAACGTTCAAACTCGCCAAAACAAACACTTTTCATAACAACAAGCCAAACTCATCAAAAGAACACTAAAACAACAGCTTAACACAAGGGATTACTAATTCAACACATTCATGCCATTACACATGCTCAAAAACGTTCAAACTCGCCACAACAAACACTTTTCATAACAACAAGCCAAACTCATCAAAAGAACACAAAAACAACAGCTTAACACAAGGGATTACTAATTCAACACATTCATGCCATTACCCATGCTCAAAAACGTTCAAACTCGCCAAAACAAACACTTTTCATAACAACAAGCCAAACTCAACAAAAGAACACTAAAACAACAGCTTAACGCATTCATGTCATTACACATGCTCAAAAACATTCAAAGTCGCCAAAACAAACTCTTTTCATAACAACAAGCCAAACTCATCAAAAGAACACTAAAACAACAGCTTAACGCATTCATGCCATTACACATGCTCAAAAACGTTCAAACTCGCCAAAACAAACACTTTTCATAACAACAAGCCAAACTCATCAAAAGAACACTAAAACAACAGCTTTACGCATTCATGCCATTACACATGCTCAAAAACGTTCAAACTCGCCAAAACAAACACTTTTCATAACAACAAGCCTAACTCATCAAAAGAACACTAAAACAACAGCTTAACGCATTCATGCCATTACACATGCTCAAAGAAGTTCAAACTCGCCAAAACAAACACTTTTCATAACAACAAGCCAAACTCATCAAAAGAACACTAAAACAACAGCTTAACACAAGGGATTACTAATTCAACACATTCATGCCATTACACATCCTCAAAAACGTTCAAACTCGCCAAAACAAACACTTTTCATAACAACAAGCCAAACTCATCAAAAGAACACTAAAACAACAGCTTTACGCATTCATGCCATTACACATGCTCAAAAACGTTCAAACTCGCCAAAACAAACACTTTTCATAACAACAAGCCAAACTCATCAAAAGAACACTAAAACAACAGCTTAACACAAGGGATTACTAATTCAACACATTCATGCCATTACACATGCTCAAAAACGTTCAAACTCGCCACAACAAACACTTTTTATAACAACAAGCCAAACTCATCAAAAGAACACAAAAACAACAGCTTAACACAAGGGATTACTAATTCAACACATTCATGCCATTACCCATGCTCAAAAACGTTCAAACTCGCCAAAACAAACACTTTTCATAACAACAAGCCAAACTCAACAAAAGAACACTAAAACAACAGCTTAACGCATTCATGTCATTACACATGCTCAAAAACATTCAAAGTCGCCAAAACAAACTCTTTTCATAACAAAAAGCCAAACTCATCAAAAGAACACTAAAACAACAGCTTAACGCATTCATGCCATTACACATGCTCAAAAACGTTCAAACTCGCCAAAACAAACACTTTTCATAACAACAAGCCAAACTCATCAAAAGAACACTAAAACAACAGCTTTACGCATTCATGCCATTACACATGCTCAAAAACGTTCAAACTCGCCAAAACAAACACTTTTCATAACAACAAGCCTAACTCATCAAAAGAACACTAAAACAACAGCTTAACGCATTCATGCCATTACACATGCTCAAAGAAGTTCAAACTCGCCAAAACAAACACTTTTCATAACAACAAGCCAAACTCATCAAAAGAACACTAAAACAACAGCTTAACACAAGGGATTACTAATTCAACACATTCATGCCATTACACATCCTCAAAAACGTTCAAACTCGCCAAAACAAACACTTTTCATAACAACAAGCCAAACTCATCAAAAGAACACTAAAACAACAGCTTTACGCATTCATGCCATTACACATGCTCAAAAACGTTCAAACTCGCCAAAACAAACACTTTTCATAACAACAAGCCAAACTCATCAAAAGAACACTAAAACAACAGCTTAACACAAGGGATTACTAATTCAACACATTCATGGCATTACACATGCTCAAAAACGTTCAAACTCGCCACAACAAACACTTTTCATAACAACAAGCCAAACTCATCAAAAGAACACAAAAACAACAGCTTAACACAAGGGATTACTAATTCAACACATTCATGCCATTACCCATGCTCAAAAACGTTCAAACTCGCCAAAACAAACACTTTTCATAACAACAAGCCAAACTCAACAAAAGAACACTAAAACAACAGCTTAACGCATTCATGTCATTACACATGCTCAAAAACATTCAAAGTCGCCAAAACAAACTCTTTTCATAACAACAAGCCAAACTCATCAAAAGAACACTAAAACAACAGCTTAAAGCATTCATGCCATTACACATGCTCAAAAACGTTCAAACTCGCCAAAACAAACACTTTTCATAACAACAAGCCAAACTCATCAAAAGAACACTAAAACAACAGCTTTACGCATTCATGCCATTACACATGCTCAAAAACGTTCAAACTCGCCAAAACAAACACTTTTCATAACAACAAGCCTAACTCATCAAAAGAACACTAAAACAACAGCTTAACGCATTCATGCCATTACACATGCTCAAAGAAGTTCAAACTCGCCAAAACAAACACTTTTCATAACAACAAGCCAAACTCATCAAAAGAACACTAAAACAACAGCTTAACACAAGGGATTACTAATTCAACACATTCATGCCATTACACATCCTCAAAAACGTTCAAACTCGCCAAAACAAACACTTTTCATAACAACAAGCCAAACTCATCAAAAGAACACTAAAACAACAGCTTTACGCATTCATGCCATTACACATGCTCAAAAACGTTCAAACTCGCCAAAACAAACACTTTTCATAACAACAAGCCAAACTCATCAAAAGAACACTAAAACAACAGCTTAACACAAGGGATTACTAATTCAACACATTCATGCCATTACACATGCTCAAAAACGTTCAAACTCGCCAAAACAAACACTTTTCATAACAACAAGCCAAACTCATCAAAAGAACACTAAAACAAAAGCTTAACACAAGGGATTACTAATTCAACACATTCATGCCATTACACATGCTCAAAAACGTTCAAACTCGCCAAAACAAACACTTTTCATAACAACAAGCCAAACTCACCAAAAGAACACTAAAACAACAGCTTAACGCATTCATGCCATTACACATGCTCAAAAACGTTCAAACTCGCCAAAACAAACACTTTTCACAACAAGCCAAACTCATCAAAAGAACACTAAAACAACAGCTTAACGCATTCATGCCATTACACATGCTCAAAAACGTTCAAACTCGCCAAAACAAACACTTTTCATAACAACAAGCCAAACTCATCAAAAGAACACTAAAACAACAGCTTAACACAAGGGATTACTAATTCAACACATTCATGCCATTACACATCCTCAAAAACGTTCAAACTCGACAAAACAAAAACTTTCCATAACAACAAGCCAAACTCATCAAAAGAACACTAAAACAACAGCTTAACGCATTCATGCCATTACACATGCTCAAAAACGTTCAAACTCACCAAAACAAACACTTTTCATAACAACAAGCCAAACTCATCAAAAGAACACTAAAACAACAGCTTAACACAAGGGATTACTAATTCAACACATTCATGCCATTACACATGCTCAAAAACGTTCAAACTCGCCAAAACAAACACTTTTCATATCAACATGCCAAACTCATCAAAAGAACACTAAAACAACAGCTTAACGCATTCATGCCATTACACATGCTCAAAAACCTTCAAACTCGCCAAAACAAACACTTTTCATAACAACAAGCCAAACTCATCAAAAGAACACTAAAACAACAGCTTAACACAAGGGATTACTAATTCAACACATTCATGCCATTACACATGCTCAAAAACGTTCAAACTCGCCAAAACAAACACTTTTCATAACAACAAGCCAAACTCATCAAAAGAACACTAAAACAACAGCTTAACGCATTCATGCCATTACATATGCTCAAAAAGTTCAAACTCGCCAAAACAAAGACTTTTCATAACAACAAGCTAAACTCATCAAAAGAACACTAAAACAACAGCTTAACGCATTCATGCCATTACACATGCTCAAAAACGTTCAAACTCGCCAAAACAAACACTTTTCATAACAACAAGCCAAACTCATCAAAAGAACACTAAAACAACAGCTTAACGCATTCATGCCATTACACATGCTCAAAAACCTTCAAACTCGCCAAAAAAAACACTTTTCATAACAACAAGCCAAACTCATCAAAAGAACACTAAAACAACAGCTTAACACAAGGGATTACCAATTCAACACATTCATGCCATTACACATCCTCAAAAACGTTCAAACTCGCCAAAACAAACACTTTTCATAATAACAAGCCAAACTCATCAAAAGAACACTAAAACAACAGCTTAACGCATTCATGCCATTACACATGCTCAAAAACGTTCAAACTCACCAAAACAAACACTTTTCATAACAACAAGCCAAACTCATCAAAAGAACACTAAAACAACAGCTTAACACAAGGGATTACTAATTCAACACATTCATGCCATTACACATGCTCAAAAACGTTCAAACTCGCCAAAACAAACACTTTTCATAACAACAAGCCAAACTCATCAAAAGAACACTAAAACAACAGCTTAACGCATTCATGCCATTACACATGCTCAAAAACGTTCAAACTCGCCAAAACAAACACTTTTCATATCAACATGCCAAACTCATCAAAAGAACACTAAAACAACAGCTTAACGCATTCATGCCATTACACATGCTCAAAAACCTTCAAACTCGCCAAAACAAACACTTTTCATAACAACAAGCCAAACTCATCAAAAGAACACTAAAACAACAGCTTAACGCATTCATGCCATTACACATGCTCAAAAACCTTCAAACTCGCCAAAACAAACACTTTTCATAACAACAAGCCAAACTCATCAAAAGAACACTAAAACAACAGCTTAACGCATTCATGCCATTACATATGCTCAAAAACGTTCAAACTCGCCAAAACAAACACTTTTCATAACAACAAGCCAAACTCATCAAAAGAACACTAAAACAACAGCTTAACATAAGGGATTACTATTTCAACACATTCATGCCATTACACATGCTCAAAAACGTTCAAACTCGCCAAAACAAAGACTTTTCATAACAACAAGCTAAACTCATCAAAAGAACACTGAAACAACAGGTTAACACAAGGGATTACTATTTCAACACATTCATGCCATTACACATGCTCAAAAACGTTCAAACTCGCCAAAACAAACACTTTTCATAACAACAAGCCAAACTCATCAAAAGAACACTAAAACAACAGCTTAACATAAGGGATTACTATTTCAACACATTCATGCCATTACACATGCTCAAAAACGTTCAAACTCGCCAAAACAAACACTTTTCATAACAACAAGCCAAACTCATCAAAAGAACACTAAAACAACAGCTTAACGCATTCATGCCATTACACATGCTCAAAAACGTTCAAACTCGCCAAAACAAACACTTTTCATATCAACATGCCAAACTCATCAAAAGAACACTAAAACAACAGCTTAACGCATTCATGCCATTACACATGCTCAAAAACCTTCAAACTCGCCAAAACAAACACTTTTCATAACAACAAGCCAAACTCATCAAAAGAACACTAAAACAACAGCTTAACGCATTCATGCCATTACACATGCTCAAAAACGTTCAAACTCGCCAAAACAAACACTTTTCATAACAACAAGCCAAACTCATCAAAAGAACACTAAAACAACAGCTTAACGCATTCATGCCATTACACATGCTCAAAAACCTTCAAACTCGCCAAAACAAACACTTTTCATAACAACAAGCCAAACTCATCAAAAGAACACTAAAACAACAGCTTAACGCATTCATGCCATTACATATGCTCAAAAAGTTCAAACTCGCCAAAACAAAGACTTTTCATAACAACAAGCTAAACTCATCAAAAGAACACTGAAACAACAGGTTAACACAAGGGATTACTATTTCAACACATTCATGCCATTACACATGCTCAAAAACGTTCAAACTCGCCAAAACAAACACTTTTCATAACAACAAGCCAAACTCATCAAAAGAACACTGAAACAACAGCTTAACGCATTCATGCCATTACACATGCTCAAAAACGTTCAAACTCGCCAAAACAAACACTTTTCATAACAACAAGCCAAACTCATCAAAAGAACACTAAAACAACAGCTTAACGCATTCATGCCATTACACATGCTCAAAAACCTTCAAACTCGCCAAAACAAACACTTTTCATAACAACAAGCCAAACTCATCAAAAGAACACTAAAACAACAGCTTAACGCATTCATGCCATTACATATGCTCAAAAAGTTCAAACTCGCCAAAACAAAGACTTTTCATAACAACAAGCTAAACTCATCAAAAGAACACTGAAACAACAGGTTAACACAAGGGATTACTATTTCAACACATTCATGCCATTACACATGCTCAAAAACGTTCAAACTCGCCAAAACAAACACTTTTCATAACAACAAGCCAAACTCATCAAAAGAACACTGAAACAACAGCTTAACATAAGGGATTACTAATTCAACACATTCATGCCATTACACATGCTCAAAAACGTTCAAACTCGCCAAAACAAACACTTTTCATAACAAAAAGCCAAACTCATCAAAAGAACACTAAAACAACAGCTTAACACAAGGGATTACTAATTCAACACATTCATTCCATTACACATGCTCAAAAACCTTCAAACTCGCCAAAACGAACAATGTTCTTAACAACAAGCCAAACTCATCAAAAGAACCCTAAAACAACAGCTTAACGCATTCATGCCATTACACATGCTCAAAAACCTTCAAACTCGCCAAAACAAACACTTTTCATAACAACAAGCCAAACTCATCAAAAGAACACTAAAACAACAGCTTAACGCATTCATGCCATTACATATGCTCAAAAAGTTCAAACTCGCCAAAACAAAGACTTTTCATAACAACAAGCTAAACTCATCAAAAGAACACTAAAACAACAGGTTAACACAAGGGATTACTATTTCAACACATTCATGCCATTACACATGCTCAAAAACCTTCAAACTCGCCAAAACAAACACTTTTTATAAAAACAAGCCAAACTCATCAAAAGAACACTAAAACAACAGCTTAACGCATTCATGCCATTACACATGCTCAAAAACGTTCAAACTCGCCAAAACAAACACTTTTCACAACAACAAGCCAAACTCATCAAAAGAACACTAAAACAACAGCTTAACGCATTCATGCCATTACACATGCTCAAAAACATTCAAACTCGCCAAAACAAACACTTTTCATAACAACAAGCCAAACTCATCAAAAGAACACTAAAACAACAGCTTAACATAAGGGATTACTAATTCAACACATTCATGCCATTACACATGCTCAAAAACGTTCAAACTCGCCAAAACAAACACTTTTCATAACAACAAGCCAAACTCATCAAAAGAACACTAAAACAACAGCTTAACACAAGGGATTACTAATTCAACACATTCATTCCATTACACATGCTCAAAAACCTTCAAACTCGCCAAAACGAACAATGTTCTTAACAACAAGCCAAACTCATCAAAAGAACACTAAAACAACAGCTTAACGCATTCATGCCATTACACATGCTCAAAAACCTTCAAACTCGCCAAAACAAACACTTTTCATAACAACAAGCCAAACTCATCAAAAGAACACTAAAACAACAGCTTAACGCATTCATGTCATTACACATGCTCAAAAACGTTCAAACTCGCCACAACAAACACTTTTCATAACAACAAGCCAAACTCATCAAAAGAACACAAAAACAACAGCTTAACACAAGGGATACCTAATTCAACACATTCATGCCATTACCCATGCTCAAAAACGTTCAAACTCGCCAAAACAAACACTTTTCATAACAACAAGCCAAACTCATCAAAAGAACACTAAAACAACAGCTTAACGCATTCATGTCATTACACATGCTCAAAAACATTCAAACTCGCCAAAACAAACACTTTTCATAACAACAAGCCAAACTCATCAAAAGAACACTAAAACAACAGCTTAACGCATTCATGCCATTACACATGCTCAAAAACCTTCAAACTCGCCAAAACAAACACTTTTCATAACAACAAGCCTAACTCATCAAAAGAACACTAAAACAACAGCTTAACTTATTCATGCCATTACACATGCTCAAAGAAGTTCAAACTCGCCAAAACAAACACTTTTCATAACAACAAGCCAAACTCATCAAAAGAACACTAAAACAACAGCTTAACACAAGGGATTACTAATTCAACACATTCATGCCATTACACATCCTCAAAAACGTTCAAACTCGCCAAAACAAACACTTTTCATAACAACAAGCCAAACTCATCAAAAGAACACTAAAACAACAGCTTAACGCATTCATGCCATTACACATGCTCAAAAACGTTCAAACTCGCCAAAACAAACACTTTTCATAACAACAAGCCAAACTCATCAAAAGAACACTAAAACAACAGCTTAACACAAGGGATTACTAATTCAACAAATTCATGCCATTACACATGCTCAAAAACGTTCAAACTCGCCAAAACAAACACTTTTCATAACAACAAGCCAAACTCATCAAAAGAACACTAAAACAACAGCTTAACACAAGGGATTACTAATTCAACACATTCATGCCATTACACATGCTCAAAAACGTTCAAACTCGCCAAAACAAACACTTTTCATAACAACAAGCCAAACTTATCAAAAGAACACTAAAACAACAGCTTTTAACGCATTCATGCCATTACACATGCTCAAAGAAGTTCAAACTCGCCAAAACAAACACTTTTCATAACAACAAGCCAAACACATCAAAAGAACACTAAAACAACAGCTTAACGCATTCATGCCATTACACATGCTCAAAAACCTTCAAACTCGCCAAAACAAACACTTTTCATAACAACAAGCCAAACTCATCAAAAGAACACTAAAACAACAGCTTAACGCATTCATGCCATTACACATGCTCAAAAACGTTCAAACTCGCCAAAACAAACACTTTTCATAACAACAAGCCAAACTCATCAAAAGAACACTAAAACAACAGCTTAACGTATTCATGCCATTACACATGCTCAAAAACGTTCAAACTCGCCAAAACAAACACTTTTCATAACAACAAGCCAAACTCATCAAAAGAACACTAAAACAACAGCTTAACACAAGGGATTACTAATTCAACACATTCATGCCATTACACATGCTCAAAAACGTTCAAACTCGCCAAAACAAACACTTTTCATAACAACAAGCCAAACTCATCAAAAGAACACTAAAACAACAGCTTAACACAAGGGATTACTAATTCAACACATTCATGCCATTACACATCCTCAAAAACGTTCAAACTCGACAAAACAAAAACTTTCCATAACAACAAGCCAAACTCATCAAAAGAACACTAAAACAACAGCTTAACGCATTCATGCCATTACACATGCTCAAAAACGTTCAAACTCACCAAAACAAACACTTTTCATAACAACAAGCCAAACTCATCAAAAGAACACTAGAACAACAGCTTAACACAAGGGATTACTAATTCAACACATTCATGCCATTACACATGCTCAAAAACGTTCAAACTCGCCAAAACAAACACTTTTCATATCAACATGCCAAACTCATCAAAAGAACACTAAAACAACAGCTTAACACATTCATGCCATTACACATGCTCAAAAACCTTCAAACTCGCCAAAACAAACACTTTTCATAACAACAAGCCAAACTCATCAAAAGAACACTAAAACAACAGCTTAAGACAAGGGATTACTAATTCAACACATTCATGCCATTACACATGCTCAAAAACGTTCAAACTCGCCAAAACAAACACTTTTCATAACAACAAGCCAAACTCATCAAAAGAACACTAAAACAACAGCTTAACGCATTCATGCCATTACATATGCTCAAAAAGTTCAAACTCGCCAAAACAAAGACTTTTCATAACAACAAGCTAAACTCATCAAAAGAACACTAAAACAACAGCTTAACGCATTCATGCCATTACACATGCTCAAAAACGTTCAAACTCGCCAAAACAAACACTTTTCATAACAACAAGCCAAACTCATCAAAAGAACACTAAAACAACAGCTTAACGCATTCATGCCATTACATATGCTCAAAAAGTTCAAACTCGCCAAAACAAAGACTTTTCATAACAACAAGCTAAACTCATCAAAAGAACACTGAAACAACAGGTTAACACAAGGGATTACTATTTCAACACATTCATGCCATTACACATGCTCAAAAACGTTCAAACTCGCCAAAACAAACACTTTTCATAACAACAAGCCAAACTCATCAAAAGAACACTGAAACAACAGCTTAACATAAGGGATTACTGATTCAACACATTCATGCCATTACACATGCTCAAAAACGTTCAAACTCGCCAAAACAAACACTTTTCATAACAAAAAGCCAAACTCATCAAAAGAACACTAAAACAACAGCTTAACACAAGGGATTACTAATTCAACACATTCATTCCATTACACATGCTCAAAAACCTTCAAACTCGCCAAAACGAACAATGTTCTTAACAACAAGCCAAACTCATCAAAAGAACCCTAAAACAACAGCTTAACGCATTCATGCCATTACACATGCTCAAAAACCTTCAAACTCGCCAAAACAAACACTTTTCATAACAACAAGCCAAACTCATCAAAAGAACACTAAAACAACAGCTTAACGCATTCATGCCATTACATATGCTCAAAAAGTTCAAACTCGCCAAAACAAAGACTTTTCATAACAACAAGCTAAACTCATCAAAAGAACACTAAAACAACAGGTTAACACAAGGGATTACTATTTCAACACATTCATGCCATTACACATGCTCAAAAACCTTCAAACTCGCCAAAACAAACACTTTTTATAAAAACAAGCCAAACTCATCAAAAGAACACTAAAACAACAGCTTAACGCATTCATGCCATTACACATGCTCAAAAACGTTCAAACTCGCCAAAACAAACACTTTTCACAACAACAAGCCAAACTCATCAAAAGAACACTAAAACAACAGCTTAACGCATTCATGCCATTACACATGCTCAAAAACATTCAAACTCGCCAAAACAAACACTTTTCATAACAACAAGCCAAACTCATCAAAAGAACACTAAAACAACAGCTTAACATAAGGGATTACTAATTCAACACATTCATGCCATTACACATGCTCAAAAACGTTCAAACTCGCCAAAACAAACACTTTTCATAACAAAAAGCCAAACTCATCAAAAGAACACTAAAACAACAGCTTAACACAAGGGATTACTAATTCAACACATTCATTCCATTACACATGCTCAAAAACCTTCAAACTCGCCAAAACGAACAATGTTCTTAACAACAAGCCAAACTCATCAAAAGAACACTAAAACAACAGCTTAACGCATTCATGCCATTACACATGCTCAAAAACCTTCAAACTCGCCAAAACAAACACTTTTCATAACAACAAGCCAAACTCATCAAAAGAACACTAAAACAACAGCTTAACGCATTCATGTCATTACACATGCTCAAAAACGTTCAAACTCGCCACAACAAACACTTTTCATAACAACAAGCCAAACTCATCAAAAGAACACAAAAACAACAGCTTAACACAAGGGATACCTAATTCAACACATTCATGCCATTACCCATGCTCAAAAACGTTCAAACTCGCCAAAACAAACACTTTTCATAACAACAAGCCAAACTCATCAAAAGAACACTAAAACAACAGCTTAACGCATTCATGTCATTACACATGCTCAAAAACATTCAAACTCGCCAAAACAAACACTTTTCATAACGACAAGCCAAACTCATCAAAAGAACACTAAAACAACAGCTTAACGCATTCATGCCATTACACATGCTCAAAAACCTTCAAACTCGCCAAAACAAACACTTTTAATAACAACAAGCCTAACTCATCAAAAGAACACTAAAACAACAGCTTAACTTATTCATGCCATTACACATGCTCAAAGAAGTTCAAACTCGCCAAAACAAACACTTTTCATAACAACAAGCCAAACTCATCAAAAGAACACTAAAACAACAGCTTAACACAAGGGATTACTAATTCAACACATTCATGCCATTACACATCCTCAAAAACGTTCAAACTCGCCAAAACAAACACTTTTCATAACAACAAGCCAAACTCATCAAAAGAACACTAAAACAACAGCTTAACGCATTCATGCCATTACACATGCTCAAAAACGTTCAAACTCGCCAAAACAAACACTTTTCATAACAACAAGCCAAACTCATCAAAAGAACACTAAAACAACAGCTTAACACAAGGGATTACTAATTCAACAAATTCATGCCATTACACATGCTCAAAAACGTTCAAACTCGCCAAAACAAACACTTTTCATAACAACAAGCCAAACTCATCAAAAGAACACTAAAACAACAGCTTAACACAAGGGATTACTAATTCAACACATTCATGCCATTACACATGCTCAAAAACGTTCAAACTCGCCAAAACAAACACTTTTCATAACAACAAGCCAAACTTATCAAAAGAACACTAAAACAACAGCTTTTAACGCATTCATGCCATTACACATGCTCAAAGAAGTTCAAACTCGCCAAAACAAACACTTTTCATAACAACAAGCCAAACACATCAAAAGAACACTAAAACAACAGCTTAACGCATTCATGCCATTACACATGCTCAAAAACCTTCAAACTCGCCAAAACAAACACTTTTCATAACAACAAGCCAAACTCATCAAAAGAACACTAAAACAACAGCTTAACGCATTCATGCCATTACACATGCTCAAAAACGTTCAAACTCGCCAAAACAAACACTTTTCATAACAACAAGCCAAACTCATCAAAAGAAAACTAAAACAACAGCTTAACGTATTCATGCCATTACACATGCTCAAAAACGTTCAAACTCGCCAAAACAAACACTTTTCATAACAACAAGCCAAACTCATCAAAAGAACACTAAAACAACAGCTTAACACAAGGGATTACTAATTCAACACATTCATGCCATTACACATGCTCAAAAACGTTCAAACTCGCCAAAACAAACACTTTTCATAACAACAAGCCAAACTCATCAAAAGAACACTAAAACAACAGCTTAACACAAGGGATTACTAATTCAACACATTCATGCCATTACACATCCTCAAAAACGTTCAAACTCGACAAAACAAAAACTTTACATAACAACAAGCCAAACTCATCAAAAGAACACTAAAACAACAGCTTAACGCATTCATGCCATTACACATGCTCAAAAACGTTCAAACTCACCAAAACAAACACTTTTCATAACAACAAGCCAAACTCATCAAAAGAACACTAGAACAACAGCTTAACACAAGGGATTACTAATTCAACACATTCATGCCATTACACATGCTCAAAAACGTTCAAACTCGCCAAAACAAACACTTTTCATATCAACATGCCAAACTCATCAAAAGAACACTAAAACAACAGCTTAACACATTCATGCCATTACACATGCTCAAAAACCTTCAAACTCGCCAAAACAAACACTTTTCATAACAACAAGCCAAACTCATCAAAAGAACACTAAAACAACAGCTTAAGACAAGGGATTACTAATTCAACACATTCATGCCATTACACATGCTCAAAAACGTTCAAACTCGCCAAAACAAACACTTTTCATAACAACAAGCCAAACTCATCAAAAGAACACTAAAACAACAGCTTAACGCATTCATGCCATTACATATGCTCAAAAAGTTCAAACTCGCCAAAACAAAGACTTTTCATAACAACGAGCTAAACTCATCAAAAGAACACTAAAACAACAGCTTAACGCATTCATGCCATTACACATGCTCAAAAACGTTCAAACTCGCCAAAACAAACACTTTTCATAACAACAAGCCAAACTCATCAAAAGAACACTAAAACAACAGCTTAACGCATTCATGCCATTACACATGCTCAAAAACCTTCAAACTCGCCAAAAAAAACACTTTTCATAACAACAAGCCAAACTCATCAAAAGAACACTAAAACAACAGCTTAACACAAGGGATTACCAATTCAACACATTCATGCCATTACACATCCTCAAAAACGTTCAAACTCGCCAAAACAAACACTTTTCATAACAACAAGCCAAACTCATCAAAAGAACACTAAAACAACAGCTTAACGCATTCATGCCATTACACATGCTCAAAAACGTTCAAACTCACCAAATCAAACACTTTTCATAACAACAAGCCAAACTCATCAAAAGAACACTAAAACAACAGCTTAACACAAGGGATTACTAATTCAACACATTCATGCCATTACACATGCTCAAAAACGTTCAAACTCGCCAAAACAAACACTTTTCATAACAACAAGCCAAACTCATCAAAAGAACACTAAAACAACAGCTTAACGCATTCATGCCATTACACATGCTCAAAAACGTTCAAACTCGCCAAAACAAACACTTTTCATATCAACATGCCAAACTCATCAAAAGAACACTAAAACAACAGCTTAACGCATTCATGCCATTACACATGCTCAAAAACCTTCAAACTCGCCAAAACAAACACTTTTCATAACAACAAGCCAAACTCATCAAAAGAACACTAAAACAACAGCTTAACGCATTCATGCCATTACACATGCTCAAAAACCTTCAAACTCGCCAAAACGAACAATGTTCTTAACAACAAGCCAAACTCATCAAAAGAACACTAAAACAACAGCTTAACGCATTCATGCCATTACACATGCTCAAAAACCTTCAAACTCGCCAAAACAAACACTTTTCATAACAACAAGCCAAACTCATCAAAAGAACACTAAAACAACAGCTTAACGCATTCATGTCATTACACATGCTCAAAAACGTTCAAACTCGCCACAACAAACACTTTTCATAACAACAAGCCAAACTCATCAAAAGAACACAAAAACAACAGCTTAACACAAGGGATACCTAATTCAACACATTCATGCCATTACCCATGCTCAAAAACGTTCAAACTCGCCAAAACAAACACTTTTCATAACAACAAGCCAAACTCATCAAAAGAACACTAAAACAACAGCTTAACGCATTCATGTCATTACACATGCTCAAAAACATTCAAACTCGCCAAAACAAACACTTTTCATAACAACAAGCCAAACTCATCAAAAGAACACTAAAACAACAGCTTAACGCATTCATGCCATTACACATGCTCAAAAACCTTCAAACTCGCCAAAACAAACACTTTTCATAACAACAAGCCTAACTCATCAAAAGAACACTAAAACAACAGCTTAACTTATTCATGCCATTACACATGCTCAAAGAAGTTCAAACTCGCCAAAACAAACACTTTTCATAACAACAAGCCAAACTCATCAAAAGAACACTAAAACAACAGCTTAACACAAGGGATTACTAATTCAACACATTCATGCCATTACACATCCTCAAAAACGTTCAAACTCGCCAAAACAAACACTTTTCATAACAACAAGCCAAACTCATCAAAAGAACACTAAAACAACAGCTTAACGCATTCATGCCATTACACATGCTCAAAAACCTTCAAACTCGCCAAAACAAACACTTTTCATAACAACAAGCCAAACTCATCAAAAGAACACTAAAACAACAGCTTAACACAAGGGATTACTAATTCAACAAATTCATGCCATTACACATGCTCAAAAACGTTCAAACTCGCCAAAACAAACACTTTTCATAACAACAAGCCAAACTCATCAAAAGAACACTAAAACAACAGCTTAACACAAGGGATTACTAATTCAACACATTCATGCCATTACACATGCTCAAAAACGTTCAAACTCGCCAAAACAAACACTTTTCATAACAACAAGCCAAACTTATCAAAAGAACACTAAAACAACAGCTTTTAACGCATTCATGCCATTACACATGCTCAAAGAAGTTCAAACTCGCCAAAACAAACACTTTTCATAACAACAAGCCAAACACATCAAAAGAACACTAAAACAACAGCTTAACGCATTCATGCCATTACACATGCTCAAAAACCTTCAAACTCGCCAAAACAAACACTTTTCATAACAACAAGCCAAACTCATCAAAAGAACACTAAAACAACAGCTTAACGCATTCATGCCATTACACATGCTCAAAAACGTTCAAACTCGCCAAAACAAACACTTTTCATAACAACAAGCCAAACTCATCAAAAGAACACTAAAACAACAGCTTAACGTATTCATGCCATTACACATGCTCAAAAACGTTCAAACTCGCCAAAACAAACACTTTTCATAACAACAAGCCAAACTCATCAAAAGAACACTAAAACAACAGCTTAACACAAGGGATTACTAATTCAACACATTCATGCCATTACACATGCTCAAAAACGTTCAAACTCGCCAAAACAAACACTTTTCATAACAACAAGCCAAACTCATCAAAAGAACACTAAAACAACAGCTTAACACAAGGGATTACTAATTCAACACATTCATGCCATTACACATCCTCAAAAACGTTCAAACTCGACAAAACAAAAACTTTCCATAACAACAAGCCAAACTCATCAAAAGAACACTAAAACAACAGCTTAACGCATTCATGCCATTACACATGCTCAAAAACGTTCAAACTCACCAAAACAAACACTTTTCATAACAAAGGGCCAAACTCATCAAAAGAACACTAGAACAACAGCTTAACACAAGGGATTACTAATTCAACACATTCATGCCATTACACATGCTCAAAAACGTTCAAACTCGCCAAAACAAACACTTTTCATATCAACATGCCAAACTCATCAAAAGAACACTAAAACAACAGCTTAACACATTCATGCCATTACACATGCTCAAAAACCTTCAAACTCGCCAAAACAAACACTTTTCATAACAACAAGCCAAACTCATCAAAAGAACACTAAAACAACAGCTTAAGACAAGGGATTACTAATTCAACACATTCATGCCATTACACATGCTCAAAAACCTTCAAACTCGCCAAAACAAACACTTTTCATAACAACAAGCCAAACTCATCAAAAGAACACTAAAACAACAGCTTAACGCATTCATGCCATTACATATGCTCAAAAAGTTCAAACTCGCCAAAACAAAGACTTTTCATAACAACAAGCTAAACTCATCAAAAGAACACTAAAACAACAGCTTAACGCATTCATGCCATTACACATGCTCAAAAACGTTCAAACTCGCCAAAACAAACACTTTTCATAACAACAAGCCAAACTCATCAAAAGAACACTAAAACAACAGCTTAACGCATTCATGCCATTACACATGCTCAAAAACCTTCAAACTCGCCAAAAAAACACTTTTCATAACAACAAGCCAAACTCATCAAAAGAACACTAAAACAACAGCTTAACACAAGGGATTACCAATTCAACACATTCATGCCATTACACATCCTCAAAAACGTTCAAACTCGCCAAAACAAACACTTTTCATAACAACAAGCCAAACTCATCAAAAGAACACTAAAACAACAGCTTAACGCATTCATGCCATTACACATGCTCAAAAACGTTCAAACTCACCAAAACAAACACTTTTCATAACAACAAGCCAAACTCATCAAAAGAACACTAAAACAACAGCTTAACACAAGGGATTACTAATTCAACACATTCATGCCATTACACATGCTCAAAAACGTTCAAACTCGCCAAAACAAACACTTTTCATAACAACAAGCCAAACTCATCAAAAGAACACTAAAACAACAGCTTAACGCATTCATGCCATTACACATGCTCAAAAACCTTCAAACTCGCCAAAACAAACACTTTTCATATCAACATGCCAAACTCATCAAAAGAACACTAAAACAACAGCTTAACGCATTCATGCCATTACACATGCTCAAAAACCTTCAAACTCGCCAAAACAAACACTTTTCATAACAACAAGCCAAACTCATCAAAAGAACACTAAAACAACAGCTTAACGCATTCATGCCATTACACATGCTCAAAAACCTTCAAACTCGCCAAAACAAACACTTTTCATAACAACAAGCCAAACTCATCAAAAGAACACTAAAACAACAGCTTAACGCATTCATGCCATTACATATGCTCAAAAAGTTCAAACTCGCCAAAACAAAGACTTTTCATAACAACAAGCTAAACTCATCAAAAGAACACTGAAACAACAGGTTAACACAAGGGATTACTATTTCAACACATTCATGCCATTACACATGCTCAAAAACGTTCAAACTCGCCAAAACAAACACTTTTCATAACAACAAGCCAAACTCATCAAAAGAAAACTAAAACAACAGCTTAACATAAGGGATTACTATTTCAACACATTCATGCCATTACACATGCTCAAAAACGTTCAAACTCGCCAAAACAAACACTTTTCATAACAACAAGCCAAACTCATCAAAAGAACACTAAAACAACAGCTTAACGCATTCATGCCATTACACATGCTCAAAAACGTTCAAACTCGCCAAAACAAACACTTTTCATATCAACATGCCAAACTCATCAAAAGAACACTAAAACAACAGCTTAACGCATTCATGCCATTACACATGCTCAAAAACCTTCAAACTCTCCAAAACAAACACTTTTCATAACAACAAGCCAAACTCATCAAAAGAACACTAAAACAACAGCTTAACGCATTCATGCCATTACACATGCTCAAAAACGTTCAAACTCGCCAAAACAAACACTTTTCATAACAACAAGCCAAACTCATCAAAAGAACACTAAAACAACAGCTTAACGCATTCATGCCATTACACATGCTCAAAAACCTTCAAACTCGCCAAAACAAACACTTTTCATAACAACAAGCCAAACTCATCAAAAGAACACTAAAACAACAGCTTAACACAAGGGATTACCAATTCAACACATTCATGCCATTACACATCCTCAAAAACGTTCAAACTCGCCAAAACAAACACTTTTCATAACAACAAGCCAAACTCATCAAAAGAACACTAAAACAACAGCTTAACGCATTCATGCCATTACACATGCTCAAAAACGTTCAAACTCACCAAAACAAACACTTTTCATAACAACAAGCCAAACTCATCAAAAGAACACTAAAACAACAGCTTAACACAAGGGATTACTAATTCAACACATTCATGCCATTACACATGCTCAAAAACGTTCAAACTCGCCAAAACAAACACTTTTCATAACAACAAGCCAAACTCATCAAAAGAACACTAAAACAACAGCTTAACGCATTCATGCCATTACACATGCTCAAAAACGTTCAAACTCGCCAAAACAAACACTTTTCATATCAACATGCCAAACTCATCAAAAGAACACTAAAACAACAGCTTAACGCATTCATGCCATTACACATGCTCAAAAACCTTCAAACTCGCCAAAACAAACACTTTTCATAACAACAAGCCAAACTCATCAAAAGAACACTAAAACAACAGCTTAACGCATTCATGCCATTACACATGCTCAAAAACCTTCAAACTCGCCAAAACAAACACTTTTCATAACAACAAGCCAAACTCATCAAAAGAACACTAAAACAACAGCTTAACGCATTCATGCCATTACATATGCTCAAAAAGTTCAAACTCGCCAAAACAAAGACTTTTCATAACAACAAGCTAAACTCATCAAAAGAACACTGAAACAACAGGTTAACACAAGGGATTACTATTTCAACACATTCATGCCATTACACATGCTCAAAAACGTTCAAACTCGCCAAAACAAACACTTTTCATAACAACAAGCCAAACTCATCAAAAGAACACTAAAACAACAGCTTAACGCATTCATGCCATTACACATGCTCAAAAACGTTCAAACTCGCCAAAACAAACACTTTTCATAACAACAAGCCAAACTCATCAAAAGAACGCTAAAACAACAGCTTAACGCATTCATGCCATTACACATGCTCAAAAACCTTCAAACTCGCCAAAAAAAACACTTTTCATAACTACAAGCCAAACTCATCAAAAGAACACTAAAACAACAGCTTAACACAAGGGATTACCAATTCAACACATTCATGCCATTACACATCCTCAAAAACGTTCAAACTCGCCAAAACAAACACTTTTCATAACAACAAGCCAAACTCATCAAAAGAACACTAAAACAACAGCTTAACGCATTCATGCCATTACACATGCTCAAAAACGTTCAAACTCACCAAATCAAACACTTTTCATAACAACAAGCAAAACTCATCAAAAGAACACTAAAACAACAGCTTAACACAAGGGATTACTAATTCAACACATTCATGCCATTACACATGCTCGAAAACGTTCAAACTCGCCAAAACAAACACTTTTCATAACAACAAGCCAAACTCATCAAAAGAACACTAAAACAACAGCTTAACGCATTCATGCCATTACACATGCTCAAAAACGTTCAAACTCGCCAAAACAAAGACTTTTCATAACAACAAGCTAAACTCATCAAAAGAACACTGAAACAACAGGTTAACACAAGGGATTACTATTTCAACACATTCATGCCATTACACATGCTCAAAAACGTTCAAACTCGCCAAAACAAACATTTTTCATAACAACAAGCCAAACTCATCAAAAGAAAACTAAAACAACAGCTTAACATAAGGGATTACTATTTCAACACATTCATGCCATTACACATGCTCAAAAACGTTCAAACTCGCCAAAACAAACACTTTTCATAACAACAAGCCAAACTCATCAAAAGAACACTAAAACAACAGCTTAACGCATTCATGCCATTACACATGCTCAAAAACGTTCAAACTCGCCAAAACAAACACTTTTCATATCAACATGCCAAACTCATCAAAAGAACACTAAAACAACAGCTTAACGCATTCATGCCATTACACATGCTCAAAAACCTTCAAACTCGCCAAAACAAACACTTTTCATAACAACAAGCCAAACTCATCAAAAGAACACTAAAACAACAGCTTAACACAAGGGATTACTAATTCAACACATTCATGCCATTACCCATGCTCAAAAACGTTCAAACTCGCCAAAACAAACACTTTTCATAACAACAAGCCAAACTCATCAAAAGAACACTAAAACAACAGCTTAACGCATTCATGCCATTACACATGCTCAAAAACGTTCAAACTCACCAAAACAAACACTTTTCATAACAACAAGCCAAACTCATCAAAAGAACACTAAAACAACAGCTTAACACAAGCGATTACTAATTCAACACATTCATGCCATTACACATGCTCAAAAACGTTCAAACTCGCCAAAACAAACACTTTTCATAACAACAAGCCAAACTCATCAAAAGAACACTAAAACAACAGCTTAACGCATTCATGCCATTACACATGCTCAAAAACGTTCAAACTCGCCAAAACAAACACTTTTCATATCAACAAGCCAAACTCATCAAAAGAACACTAAAACAACAGCTTAACGCATTCATGCCATTACACATGCTCAAAAACCTTCAAACTCGCCAAAACAAACACTTTTCATAACAACAAGCCAAACTCATCAAAAGAACACAAAAACAACAGCTTAACGCATTCATGCCATTACACATGCTCAAAAACGTTCAAACTCGCCAAAACAAACACTTTTCATAACAACAAGCCAATCTCATCAAAAGAACACTAAAACAACAGCTTAACGCATTCATGCCATTACACATGCTCAAAAACCTTCAAACTCGCCAAAACAAACACTTTTCATAACAACAAGCCAAACTCATCAAAAGAACACTAAAACAACAGCTTAACGCATTCATGCCATTACATATGCTCAAAAAGTTCAAACTCGCCAAAACAAAGACTTTTCATAACAACAAGCTAAACTCATCAAAAGAACACTAAAACAACAGGTTAACACAAGGGATTACTATTTCAACACATTCATGCAATTACACATGCTCAAAAACCTTCAAACTCGCCAAAAGAAACACTTTTCATAACAAGCCAAACTCATCAAAAGAACACTAAAACAACAGCTTAGCGCATTCATGCCATTACACATGCTCAAAAATGTTCAAACTCGCCAAAACAAACACTTTTCACAACAACAAGCCAAACTCATCAAAAGAACACTAAAACAACAGCTTAACGCATTCATGCCATTACACATGCTCAAAAACATTCAAACTCGCCAAAACAAACACTTTTCATAACAACAAGCCAAACTCATCAAAAGAACACTAAAACAACAGCTTAACATAAGGGATTACTAATTCAACACATTCATGCCATTACACATGCTCAAAAACGTTCAAACTCGCCAAAACAAACACTTTTCATAACAACAAGCCAAACTCATCAAAAGAACACTAAAACAACAGCTTAACACAAGGGATTACTAATTCAACACATTCATTCCATTACACATGCTCAAAAACGTTCAAACTCGCCAAAACGAACAATGTTCTTAACAACAAGCCAAACTCATCAAAAGAACACTAAAACAACAGCTTAACGCATTTATGCCATTACACATGCTCAAAAACCTTCAAGCTCGCAAAACAAACACTTTTCATAACAACAAGCCAAACTCATCAAAAGAACACTAAAACAACAGCTTAACGCATTCATGTCATTACACATGCTCAAAAACGTTCAAACTCGCCAAAACAAACACTTTTCATAACAACAAGCCAAACTCATCAAAAGAACACAAAAACAACAGCTTAACACAAGGGATTACTAATTCAACACATTCATGCCATTACCCATGCTCAAAAACGTTCAAACTCGCCAAAACAAACACTTTTCATAACAACAAGCCAAACTCATCAAAAGAACACTAAAACAACAGCTTAACGCATTCATGCCATTACACATGCTCAAAAACATTCAAACTCGCCAAAACAAACACTTTTCATAACAACAAGCCAAACTCATCAAAAGAACACTAAAACAACAGCTTAACATAAGGGATTACTAATTCAACACATTCATGCCATTACACATGCTCAAAAACGTTCAAACTCGCCAAAACAAACACTTTTCATAACAAAAAGCCAAACTCATCAAAAGAACACTACAACAACAGCTTAACACAAGGGATTACTAATTCAGCACATTCATTCCATTACACATGCTCAAAAACCTTCAAACTCGCCAAAACGAACAATGTTCTTAACAACAAGCCAAACTCATCAAAAGAACATTAAAACAACAGCTTAACGCATTCATGCCATTACACATGCTCAAAAACCTTCAAACTCGCCAAAACAAACACTTTTCATAACAACAAGCCAAACTCATCAAAAGAACACTAAAACAACAGCTTAACGCATTCATGTCATTACACATGCTCAAAAACGTTCAAACTCGCCACAACAAACACTTTTCATAACAACAAGCCAAACTCATCAAAAGAACACTAAAACAACAGCTTAACACAAGGGATTACTAATTCAACACATTCATGCCATTACCCATGCTCAAAAACCTTCAAACTCGCCAAAACAAACACTTTTCATAACAACAAGCCAAACTCATCAAAAGAACACTAAAACAACAGCTTAACGCATTCATGCCATTACACATGCTCAAAAACGTTCAAACTCGCCAAAACAAACACTTTTCATAACAACAAGCCAAACTCATCAAAAGAACACTAAAACAACAGCTTAACGCATTCATGCCATTACACATGCTCAAAAACGTTCAAACTCGCCAAAACAAACACTTTTCATAACAACAAGCCAAACTCATCAAAAGAACACTAAAACAACATCCGGGATTTTACATCTTTGAGACAAGCTTCTAATTTGGTAACCTGATTTGTTTCTTCTGGCTTCATGGATAAGTATAACTGGGTGTCATCTGCATAAAAGTGGAAATTAAGTATTTTCTCATAATTTTACCCAGAGGAAGCATGTACAAGGTAAAGAGGATCGGTCCAAGCACTGACCCTTGCGGGACTCCATAGCAGACCTTGGTGAGCGCAGAGGATTCATTATTAACATGGACAAACTGGAATCAATCTGTTTGAAAAGATTCAAACCAGGAAAGAGCGGATCCTGCTATGCCGATAGATTGTTCCAGTCTCTGAAGCAGGATGCGGTGGTCAATCGTGTCAAACGCAGCACTAAGATCCAACAGGACAAGAACAGAGAGAAGACCACTGTCCGAAGCCATGAGTAGGTCATTTGTCACCTTCAGCAGAGCAGTCTCTGTGCTGTGATGGGTTCTAAACCCAGACTGGAAATCCTCCAATAAACCGTTGTTATAAAGAAAATCACAAAGTTGATTCGCAACAACTTTCTCTAGGACTTATATAAATATAAGGAAGGTTGGATATTGGTCTATAGTTAGGTAGGGTGTCTGAGTCAAGAGTAAGTTTTCTAAGGAGAGGTTTAATCAATGCAGTCTTAAAAAACCGGGGAACAAATCCTGTTAATAAAGACGCAAGGATGTACTGATCAAAGGAAGCGTTTCCTTCAGCAGTTCAGATGGAATTGGGTCTAAAAGACACGTAGATGGTTTGGCTGCCAGCACCACTGACTTTAACTCAGGAAGGTCAAAAGGTGCAAAGTTACTAAGGTGCACCAGAGGCCTTAGGGGCTCCTCAACAATTTTAGGGTTATCTAAGAAAAAGACACCTGATGAAGGCAAGAGGTTACTAATTTTACCCCTTATTTTTAAGATTTTTTTCATTGAAGAAGCTCAAGAAGTCGTCGCTGCTGAGGGCTAATGGGATACACGGTTCAGCGGTGCTCTGACAGTCCGTCAGCCTGGCTATAGTGCTGAAGAGATACCTGGGGTTATTCTTATTTTCTTCAATAAGAGACGAGTAGTAAGTTGTCCGAGCATGTCGTAAGGCCTTCTTATATTTGTCAAGACATTCCTGCCAGAGAAAACGAGCTTCAGCTGTTTTGGAAGAGCGCCAAATCCTTTCTCGTCTTCTTAATAACTGTTTCAGCTCACGTGTTTCAGCATTATACCACGGAGCCAGCCTCTCGCGTGTAAAAGTTTTCTGTCGAAGAAGAGCAACTGAGTCAAGAATTGATCGCAATGTGCCTGAGGTATCATCGACAAACTGATCAAGTTGCAAGGAACTGATGTTCAAGTATGAGCTATCAGTGAAGTTCTTCTCAAGCACAGAGTTAAGAGCAGACGGAATTGCCTCTTTGAACTTAGTCATAGCATTTTCAGACAACCCTCTAGTTAGCACGGTTTTGTTATGAGGAGAGTAGCCTGAAAGCACAAATTCAAAAGTTACTAGAAAGTGATCCGATAAAAGAGGATTTAATGAGCTGACTGAAAAGGCTTCAGCTTCAAGGCCATAAGCCAGGACAAGATCGAGGGTGTGGTTAAAGCAGTGCATAGGTCCATGTACACACTGTGTAAACCCAATGGAGTCTAGCAAGGACAAGAAAGAAATGCTTAGGCTATCATTTTCCACATCCACATGAACATTAAAGTCACCAACAACAATGACTTTGTCTGTACTAAGGACTAGATCAGATAAAAACTCTGAGAATTCTGACAAAAACTCAGAGAATGGGCTGGGAGGGCGATAACCTATAGCAAATACCAGTGGTCTCATGGTCTTTGAGGCTGGATGCGGAAGACTGAGAACAAGACTTTCAAAAGAGTTATAATCCAGTTTTGGTCTTGGGTTAATTCGAAGACTGGAACTTTAAATAGCTGCAACTCCACCACCTCGGCCAGGGTCCCGAGGAATGTGTAAGCTTAGGTGGCTAGGAGGAGTGGATTCATTTAAACTGACATATTCATCCTGACGCAGACAAGTTTCGGTTAGGGAGAGTAAATTGATGTGATGATCAGAGATTAGTTCATTTATTAACACAGATTTGGAACTGAGAGACCTGGGGCTCTATTTTCGTGCCTCGCCGGAGACGTGCCGCAGGTGCGGCGTAAGTCGACAGGTGCCGACAAGGCGTTCCCAAGCATGATTTGGTATTTTGGTGAGCAGCGCAGCCAGGCGTAAGTTTCCCCCTCCCTAACTCAGCTCCTCCCATCGGCATAAGTCGTAGCGAGGGAGGAGAGAGGGCGTGGAGTGGATTTAACACAGCCGAGACCTGTTTTCACCAATCACATAAGCTCCTCTCCTTGCCTTTAAATCCGCCACCGGCGAGGCGTATTACTATTTTTGTGAAGTAGTCAAAGAGATCAAGAGATGTCTGAAGACAGTAATGCCACAAGATGGCGACATAAAGCAGCTCCTAAACAAGTGTCACTGTAAACGCTGCATTGGGTGTCCTCCACACTCTCTCATATGAGCACAGTCACAGCACAGCACACGTGCGCCTCAGTCCACGAAAAAAACAAACTGGCTGTACACCGGGCTCCACCAGACGAAAATACAACTGCGCCAGGTCCGCCACCCTCCGCCGCCTCACCGGCGTACACGAAAATAGAGCCCCTTATGTTCAGTAGACCACATTTTATCTTACTACCACTCTGTCCAGCTATGTTAGCAGTCATAATTCTAGTAAGGTTCTTGTTATTTGCGCCTTTGTTAATCGATTGGTTAGAATTAAAGAGCCGAGGACGAGGGTCGGACACAGTCTCTATATTTAAGTGATAGTAGCTTGGAGGCTGCTCTAACAAAAGTGCAGAGGAACATGTAGAAGTGCGGCTATGCTCCCTGAGCTCCATATCAAACTGATAGTAGCTAGGAAGCTGCTCTGAGTGGAGTGCAGCGGTGCGTGTAAGACTGCGGCTCTGCGCCCTAGTCTCTGTATATAAGTAATAGTGGCTGGGAAGCTGCTCTAAAGGAGGCGAAGAGGGGCGTGTAGGACTGCGGCTCTGCTCCCTGATCTCTGCTCTGAATGGTCAGTGGTTCGGACTAATAAAATCCGACAGATGTCTGGATAAACGGGCCGCTCCATCTCGACTGGGATGAATGCCGTCCCGACTAATCAGACCAGGCTTGCCCCAAAATGACTTCCAATTATCAATGAAGCCCATGCCGTTTTGCAGACACCACCTCAACAGCCAGCGGTTGAATGATGAGACACATCTCATCAGTTGTCTGATCGGGCAGGGGACCAGAGAAAACTACGGAGTCCGACATGGTTTTGGCATATTCACACACGTTGTTTGTTTAAAAGCTGTTCCTTAAAGAATCCATAAACTGGTTTAAAAAAACGTGTGGGAATTGGATCTAAAAGGCAGGTTGTGGGGTTTACTTGGGAGAAAACTCAACCAAGTGTCTGTGCATCAAGCAGTGCAAAACTCTCCAGTGTTTCCTTGGGTAAAAGCAGTGATCCAGGTGTGTTGGCAGTTAAAATCTGTTGAGATAGAAGACTGGATCTGATGTTGTCGATTTTACTTCTGAAGTGGTCTGCAAATTCCTCACAGAGGATATCAGAGGATGACCCAGGGGTTCTGTTAAAATTATTGTTCGTTAAAAGATCAACTGTTGTAAAAAGAAATCTGGAGTTATGTTTATTGTCAGCGATCAGTTTGTGGGAAGTTCTTGCCTGTTTGACTGTGCTATTGAAGGTTTTGAAGTGGTGTTTAAAAATTTCAAGGTGGACTGTTAATTTTGATTTTCTCCATCTTCTTTCAGCACTCCTGCAGTTTCATTTGAGCTCTTTGATATGCGCGTTTCTCCATGTAGGTCTTGCTTTTTTCTTGATTGTTTTAATTAAAGTGGAGCAACAGAGTCCAGTGTTGACCTTAGATTGTTGTTAGAATTGTCAACGATAAAATCACAGGGTGCTGGTAAAAGAGGTGTTCTGTAGGATCTGAATAAAATTTGCAGCCACTTCAGAAATTAGGTAACATTTCCTCACTGTCTGACTGGCGGGGGGGGGGGGGGGGGGGTCTGTACACATTGATGCAGAGGATAGGAAGGCTGCTAACAACAAAGGCGTGATATTCAAATGATGAGTAGCTGCTAAAAGGAACTGCAGAAGGGGACAGTGTGGATCATATTATTGATGCAGTTCCTCCTCCTGTCTTCCCCTCCCGCGTAGAAAATAAAAAGTTAAAATTTGTGGGGGAAGCCTCAAGCTGTCTGTATGAAATGATGGTTTTGATGGTGTGAGTGTCCTGTTTTTCTATTGTGAGTGGTGGGGGTGTTGCTGATGAGGTGTGTGAGGTGTGAGGGAGTGCAGGGGGGTGAGGGGTGGTGGGCGTGTGTGTGCATGTGTTGACAGTTTGTCAGGAGGTGGGTGTGGTACAGGAGCGGAGGGTAAGGTCCATGTTAACTGATAAAAGGGCCAGATGCATGTTGCTCGAGATGACACGTGTTCCATGAAAGTTTGGATGAAGTCCATCAAGTCTGAAAAGGTAAGGGCAGTGGAGGAAGGTGGTGAAATTGTCCATGAATGGAATACTTAGTGAAGAGCAGTAAGCTTTTAGCCACACATGTAACTGTCGTACACGGCTGAACTTCACGTCACCAGAGCAGGGACAGGGCAGAGGACCAGAAATCACAAAACTGCGGTCTGACAGAGAGGCTATCAATGAGGTTCCTAAAATCATTTTTCAGTAATTTGACTGTTTAAAGCGGAGCTCATTTTCCCCCTACATGGATGCAGAGTGATGAGGCAGAGGGGTATTGTTCCAGTAACTCTGGGATTTTGGAGTCGATGGCCTTGACACTGACACCTGGGTTGCAGCTGATTACAGTTGCGGGCAGAGTGATGTTATGTACCGTTGAAGTGCTGACCACAAGTACAGAAGGAGGTGGAGGAATGGGTTTGGTCGGACGAGAATGAGCCATGTGCTTTCCTCGACGATGTGCAAAATGTGACGCAGCCATTGAGGATGTCGGTGGCGAAGATGAAGGGGTGTGCCAAGACTCACCTGAATGCCGCTGCGGCAAAGGGAGCGGAGGAGGAGTGCATCGAGGTACACCTGTCTGCTGAGGTGAAAGTGATGGCGCCCGCCGCTCCGGTGTGGTGAGCGGGGTAAGTCCTGCTCATCCAGAGGGCTGAAGCTATTGGAAAGAAGAATTCCAATGGAACGACGGCGTGGAGGGGATTACTTCTTTAGCCTGGTGTTGCTTTTTACCTGGATCCATGGACCAGGAGTGGAGTTACACAATTTTGGGTTGGGAGTAAAATAACCATGAGGCGCCTTGGGCTTAGCACCCTCCTGCAGCCAATGGGCTTCAGCGCCTCTAGTCGGATGCTGAGTCGCCGGGATGTTAGGATGGAGATCAGCCTCAGGTTGAACGGAGGGAGCGGTGGGGGGGCCGGGGATGTCCCATGGAGTGAGGGATGGCTCGGGGGACCGGGATGGTGTCGTCAAGCTTAGCTTCAGCAGTGGCACCAGTCGCTCCCGTCGTAAGAATGAAAGATTCCAAGAACTTTTCTTCATCGCGGAGTTGGTAGAGATTGAAGATGCTATCCTCCAGGTCAGAAATAGTTTGGCTCAGCTGGAGGCAGCGATCACATCTGGATGGTGAGGTGAGTGGGGGGATGGTTGGACAGGAGGTACCTGTTAGCCATTAGTTGTTAGCTGATAGCCGCATTTCAAACCGGCTCAGATCAGAGCGGATCTCTCCACAGACAGAGCCCTGACCCGGACCCGTTGGCTTGGTTCGGCTGAAACCGGTCCATTCCCCTCAGAAAAGTTGTTAGGCCGAGCCTGGTGGTGGCTGCTGCTGGTTAGGCTTAGCCTTGTGGTGGCTGCTCCTTGAGCTTCATCACCCCGCTGTAGTCCGAGGAATATTACTCAAAAAAGACTTACAAAAAAGGTAACAGTCTCTCCTCTGAATAACAGACTAGTCAATTTATCTTACGATTAACTATGAAGTTGAACAGATTTATATACAGTATAAATAAACATGATTATTTTACAACTACTAGCCAACACTGAAACATTATTTGAAACCTGAAAATTTAAATGAGTGAACACTTATATCTCCAAGTATGCTGCAAGATTAAACAATAGTGCCTCCATTAATACGAAATAGAAAACGTTGCATGAGCGCAAATTCACATGCGTGAGTAAACTTTTAAATCAAATTAAGCACAGCTTGAATTATTACCAAAAGTAATGCATAATAATTTAAACAAACAATCATAATATTTGCATAGGGTCTGATAAATACCAAGTGGTCCATGTTTTATTAAGCAGTAATTACACAAATATATGCATCGATGGCATCTCCGTGTGTTCCACTCTCCATTAACCTCTCTGCTCTTTTTTAGAACATACCAATTGGACTGCTCACATGAAGAAAAAAAAACGAAAAGAAAAGATCCTGTACACTGCCTTTGTTCTGGGGAACCCAAGGAGGGTCAAAAGTGGGGACACAGGGCATGCTGAGTATGGGACATTGGCAGAGTGAAGTTGATGCTGGGCAGACGGATCTGAAACACAAATGAAAATGGAATTAAATGGCCTTGAGTTTGTGAGAGGGATGGATTTGTAACTCAGTGGGAGTTTACAGGCTGATCCTGTCATGTCTGTTGATTTTCCCATACTTCTGTTAATTAATCAGTTAAGTTTTATGTTTTGTTCATGTCATGCATTTCCTGTCCTATTTTGTAGTTCACTACTGTCTCTGTCCCCCGTCTTGTCACACCTGCTACCCGATTGTGTCTCCCCACCTGTTTCCCATTACCCTCATTACATCTTTTATTTAACCTTGTGTGTCTCAGACTTTGTTTACACATGCCCGGCTATTTCCATAAACGGACAATACACCCTCTCCCTTAAAAAAAAAAAAAAAAAAAAAAACTGCATGCGCACCACTACTTTTTTAGAAAAGCTTTTGTTTACACTAACACTCAATTATTTCTGCTCCTCCACATAGTACAGCACTTGTATTTGCAAATGCGAACAAATACATAGGTAGGCTATTGCACTAGCATAAATGCGACTGCTATTCTGCATCCATGATCACCATGGATTGTAAACATAGACTGCAGATTGTAAACATCACATTTAACCCAGTTTCCGGCACACCATTTGCCGTCAGCTACCCAAATCTTAGTTTTTTTCTGTTTACATGCAAACATGCAAATGGAGTTTTCCAAAATCTCCATTCTGGCCAGAGATTTTAAAAAGCATCATTTTCATAGGCAAATTCTCTGTTTGCTTCTAAACGAAGGATGCAAATGGTAGTTAATGTCTCTGTTCTAAAAAATAACTGGGTATGTATAAACGGGCGTCACTGTCTCGTCGCCAGTTCATTGTACCTTGAATCTCGTTTCAGCTTTTTTACAGTCATAGTCTAGCCGTTGTTTACCTTTGCCTGCCTTTTCGGACCTTGCCTTTTTGCCTCATGTTTTGGATACTTCTGCCTGATCTGACTGCCTTGTTGTGTTCCAACCTTTAGCTGTGTTTCATTGAACCCTGTCTGTTGGACAAACAGATTTGTTGTCTTGCTGTTGTGTCCTTTTTATGCCTCGTTTAAAGACAGATCCTGCCAACAGTGCCTAATATGTTGTGGTTTGTAAGTTTAAAAGTTAGACTATAAAAGACAAGCAGATATGAGTATGTTCATTCATGGCTTTTCATTGGCTCCTCAATGTGTCTTGTGCATGGGGATAAATATTAAAGGAAGGGCCATTTTATTTCAAACTGTACCTTAAAGATCTGTTGGAATCCTTTCTTCTTGAACTACAAGCCCAAAGCACCTCATTCAACTGACGACTTGAAACTAGCTAACGACCTGAATGACTTCTATTCACGCTTCGAAGTCACGGACTCACATCCTCTCACCCCCACATAACTGGAAATTCAACCACTCTGGACGTCCCCCCGCTGCCCTCTCGGTCCATGAAGAGGAAGTAAACAGACTGTTTAAGCGGCTGAGTCCACACAAGGCTGCTGGCCCGGACTGTGTCTCTCCTGCCACCCTGAGACACTGCGCTGATGAGCTAGCTCCAGTCTTCACGGGGTTCTTCAACACCTCCCTGGAGTCATGCCATGTTCCAGTCTGTTTCAAATCCTCCATCATTGTTCCCGTCCCCAAGAAACCTCATGTAACTGGACTTAATGACTACAGGCAGGTGGCTCTTACGTCTGTAGTCATGAAGACCTTTGAACGCCTGGTTTTATCCCACCTGAAGTCCATCACCGACCCCCTCCTGGACCCTCTGCAGTTTGCCTACAGAGCCAACAGGTCTGTAGACGACGCCATAAACCTGGCCCTGCATTTCATCCTGCAGCACCTGGACTTCCCAGGATCCTACGCTAGGATCCTGTTTGTGGACCTCAGCTCTGCATTCAACACCATCCTACCGGCTTTGCTCCAGAACAAGCTTTCCCTGCTCCATGTGCCTGACTCCACCTGCAGGTGCATCATAGACTTCCTGACGGACCAGAGGCAGTGTGTGGAGAAGAATGTCTCAGACACTCTGGCTCTCAGCACAGGATCTCCACACGGCTGTGTACTTTCCCCTCTGCTCTTCTCCCTGTACACCAACTGCTGCACCTCCAGCCATGATTCTGTTAAGCTCATCAAGTTTGCGGATGACACCACCCTCATCGGACTTCGGATGGATTTCGGATGGAGATTAGTCTGCCTTGTAATAATAATAATAATATCTTAAATTTGTATAGCACCTTTCAAGATACCCAAAGCGCTAGATAGATACCAAAAGCCTGAATAAACAAGTGTCGCGTCAGAGCAGACTTGAAAGAGTCAAGAGTCTGTGATTGGCGAATCTCAGAGGGGAGAGAGTTCCAGAGAGGAGGGGCGGCCACACTGAAGGCTCTGTCACAGAGGGATCGCCTTTTCCCATAACGGACAGTGAGGAGCCCAAGGTCCACAGACCGCAGAGTATGCGCCGGGATGTAGTCCTTGAGGAGGTCAGACAGATGGTGTGGGGCTAGGGCATGGAGAGCTTTGTAGGTGAGCAGGAGGAGTTTGTAGATGATGCGATATTTGATGGGAAGCCAGTGGAGGCGTTTGAGGGTGGGGGTGATGTGCTGCCAAGGTTTGGTCCAGGTGAGCACTCTGGCAGCTGAGTTTTGGACATACTGTAGACGATCTAGGTCTTTTTTAGGAAGTCCGAACAGGACACCGTTGCAGTAGTCTAAGCGGGAGGATACAAAGGCATGGATGAGGGTTTCTGCGACAGAGTCTGAGAGTGACGAGCAGAGTCTGGAAATGGTCTTAAGGTGGAAAAAGGCTGACTTAGTTACGGATTTAATGTGGGTTTTGAATGAAAGGGCAGAGTCCAAGATGACGCCCAGGTTGCGCACCTCGGAGGATGGGGAGATGGAGCAGCCGTCAGTATGGAGGAGGAAATCACCCACTCTGCAAAGCAGTGCCTTGGGAACCATGAGCAAGAGCTCTGTTTTCTTGGCGTTGAGTTGGAGTAGGTTGGTGATCAGCCAGGTTTTTATTTCTTGTAGGCAGTTGACAATGGGGAGTGGAGGGAGCAGAGTGGTGGGTGTGGTGCTGAGATATATCTGTGTATCATCGGCGTAACAGTGGAAATCAAGGCCGTGCTTACAGATGATCTGGCCGAGCGGGAGCATGTATATGGTGAAGAGGAGTGGACCAAGTACGGAACCCTGTGGGACTCCGTGTTGAACTGGGGCTGGGTGGGAGTTGGAACCATGCATGGAGACAAACTGCAGGCGGTTGGACAGATAGGAGTGAAACCAGGAGAGCGCGGATCCAGTGATGTTGAGGTGCGTAGAGAGGCGGTTGAGGAGGATGGAGTGAGAGACTGTGTCAAAGGCTGCAGAGAGGTCCAACAGGATGAGGATGCTGATGTTGCCGGAGTCAACCGCGATGAGGAGGTCGTTGATGATTTTGACCAAGGCAGTCTCGGTGCTGTGGTGCGCTCTGTAGGCAGACTGGAAGGGTTCGGAGAGTTTGTGGTCGGACATGTGCTGCTGGAGCTGTGCGGCGACTACTCTTTCCAGGGTCTTGCTGAGGAACGGGAGATTAGAAATCGGCTGGTAGTTGGTAAGGTCGTCGGGGTCCAGACCAGGCTTTTTCAGTATGGGGGTGACAGATGCGGTTTTGAAACTGGTGGGAATCGTGCCGGATAGCAGAGAGGAGTTGATGATGTTAGTAATGATGGGAACCAGGGTCGGTAGACAGGCCTTTACCAGCGTGGTGGGCATAGGGTCCAGGGAGCAACTGGAGGCCTTGGCTTTGGTGACCAGTTCGGTGGTAAGGGATTCATCCACTGGAGTGAAGGAGGTGAACGGGGGACACGTGGCAGAGGGGGCAGTGTCCTGCAGCTGAGGTGTATGCAGACAGGTGGTGGATGTCTGGAGCTGCCGATGGATGGTATCCACCTTGTCCTGGAAGAAGTTCAGGAATCTATGGCAGAGGTCGGAATCACCAGAGGCTGGAATGGGTGGGAGGGGGCTGAGACGCTTGTTCACTGTGGAAAACAGCTTTCTGGGGTGGTTCTCCTGAGACCCAATAAGGGTGGAGTAGTACTGGGTTATGGATTGTGAGAGAGTGTCCTTGTAGTTTTTTATGTGGTCGTGGAAGGCCAGAAGGTGGACGGTGAGGCCAGATTTTTTGTAGAGCCTCTCCAGCCGTCGGCCAGTGGACTTCATGGCCCGGAGCACGGGAGTGAACCAGGGAGCCAGTCGGTTGAATGAAACTGTCAGTGTTTTGATGGGGGCGAGAGAGTCCAGGCTAAGGGTGAGAGCAGTGTTGTAGGAAGAGACCAGGGGCCTCATGTATCAACGCTTGCGGCGCAAGAAAACCTTGCGTACGCCAAAATCGGCGCACACGTCCAGATTTATCATCGCGAAACGAGCGTCGGTTCCAGCGCTAATCAACGCAAAGTCAGGAGGTGGTGTAGAAATTGGCGTTGAGCAGACACTTGCGTTGACTGTGATTCGCACTTTGGCGACGCTGTGTGGCGGTGTTTGGTGACTCACTATGTGACAAGCGTGCACCACATCCCCGTGGCCGAGCAGCACATCGCCCCACATGACGAACCAGCAGCAGACGGAGGGATGCGAGCTGATCCCTGCCGGGCCGCCGTCCTCGCACGGGAGAATCTCATCGCCACAGTGTGAATGGGTAAGAAGTGAATACACAGTTCAATGAGCCAAATTAATTTATTTTCTCCACCAGACGCTCGAGTACATTTACGAGCCGGTCCAGCCGCTCGTTGATTCCCGCGATCCCCCTGATGATTTCTTCCTGTGATTGCAGGACCCCCTCCGCGAGGACCACCCGCGTCCGGGTGGTCCAGCGGAAGCGCTGCGGCTGGTGGATGCTCCACCGCTTTTCGGCGCGCTGGTGCTGATGCTGGTGCTGGTGCTGGTGCTGGGGCCGGGGGCCGGGGTGGCCCGAATGCCGCTGGTCCTGGCCGACGACTCCGAGCCGGCGGACGGGCTGCCGCGGGCCGGGGTTCCGCAAGCCGGCGACACGGCCGACACATTGATTTCTGTGACACAATAAAAATATTTGTTCATTTCAATTCCTGCTTCTGTGTATCTGTTGCGTTTACATCTCTCTCCACGGTATCATAGGTAATGTAATCCAGTATTTCGAGTTCAGTTATGCACATTACGGTTGTTTATTGCATAAAAAGTTATCAAAAATGAAGTTGAGGGCGAAGTATAAATCCCGTCTAAAAATAGACTGAATCCCGACGTTGAAATGAAGTATAAACTTAGACTAGACGTCTAATATACGTCTTTTGCTCAGTGGGATGGCAAAGCATGTGGACATTTGTGTGACACGCCACTTACCCTATAATAATAATCGCCACCACCCGCTGCTCAAACGTCGTGAGGGTCTCCTCCCCGGACCCCCACCTGTCTGGCCGGTACTCCTCCGGAGGGCAGCTGTACGCCGCTTGACCTCCACCTTGAGGTCCGACCACTTTTTTTTAATCTTCGCGGGGTTGCGTGTCTCGGAACCCACCGCATTCACCCTCTCGCAAACTTTCTCCCACTCCAAGCGTTTTCGTTTTGCACTGACGCCACTGGACAGGCTGCCAAACAAAACACGCCGTCGCTCCTCCACCTCCGCCACCAGCACCTCCACCTCGCACGCCGTAAATTTAGTTTTTCTTGTCATTTTGTCTGCGTGCGAGGACAGGGAGACCCTATTTAAATAAATCTGCATATTTATAGGAGGGCGTAACGGGGACGGGCCCAGTCACTCCGACATCTGCGCTCAATTCCACGCTGATTGGGATTTATCAAGGAAACACACGTGGATTTCGGCGCCCGCACACATTGATACATACAGATTTTTTTCAGCGTGACGGACCTTGCGTGCGCTCATTTCTGGTATGAGTTCCACGCAAGTGTTGATACATGAGGCCCCAGGTCACAATCGGAGGGGTCAGGGGAGATCCAAGCTAGGTGGGCAGCAATCATGGTGGATAGGGCTGGAGGACTCACAGCCTTAATGTTCCGGTAGGTGATGGTGCATTTTGGACGCTGCCCAGGCCGGGAGGCAGGGACAGAGAAGGCAATGGCATGATGGTCGGAGATAGCAAGGTCCAGGCACTGCAGGTGTTGTGGAAAGTCCAGCATAATCAATGCACAGGAGACATGATGAGATCTGAAGAACAGCCTGGGGCGTCTTTAATAGTACAGATGTAGAAATCAGTACAGATGACAAACAGAGTCTCGACCAAGACCCAAGGAAGCCTCTCTAGCTTTACTTCTACTCTCTTTTATGCTGTTAAGGTGTGTGTGTGTGTGTGTGTGTGTGTGTGTGTGTGTGTGTGTGTGTGTGTGTGTGTGTGTGTGTGTTCTCCAGAAGGCCCCTCATGATGACATGTCTGCCCCACGACACTTTGTTTAGGTTTGTCTTGACCCTGGCAGAGATTACATGTTCCAACAGACAGATAGTTTGGGCTCCTGCAAGACAGCCTTGCTTACAATCTCATGGTCGTGGGGCAGCAGGAGCAGGCCAACCCAGATTATTTGTAGCTTCTTACTAAAAGATAATTACTCTATATTTCTTAACCTAACTGTATGAAGACATTCCCCTACACAGTCCCCCCTTTGAAAGTTCTTACTTTCACAAAAAAAAAAAAACCTAATCATCATATCAAACACTAAACACCATACCATAGCTTGGATCATTTCAAATTATATCAGCGCGTAAGACTGAAAACCCTGTTCGGCTGTTTCAGCAGGGAAAGAATCTTACGGCCCCGCGCCCTGGCGACCATCCATTTCCTGGATGCGCTGACATAATTTCATTTGCATAGAAGAAGTGTCAACTTCTGATAATACTATTACATTACATTGTAGCAACCTGCGACAAACCCCTTGATTAATATGTGATTAGTGTAGTCCTTTAACTCTGTGAATGAAACATGTTCAGTTCAATATCTCAGCTCATTGAATATGTTGTTTGTGTTGCTCAAAGTCCATTGCTCATCTTCGTCTCCGTCCAAGTCCAGGAACCGTTCAGGTCCCTCAGTCCCTCCTTGATTAATCACACACTGTGCCAGCTGTTTTGGTGGCATTTCCTGCAGTTCATGGGCCAGTGTTAGGTCCACCGTAAGTCCCATCTCCTCCGTCAGCTTCCAACAATGTCTCCAAAGGATGTGTACGATGCGACATGTGAGAAAGGAAATCAGAATTAGGGCTATCGCAGCACTCATGGCTGGGCCAAAACGGCTCTCATTCATCTAAAATTTGGACCACCCAGTCCATTAACAGGCCCCCCTTACCAGCATTCTCCCACATTTCCACTTTAAACTTTTCTTTACCCTCCATAGCTTTAGAAAAACCTCCCCCTGGGGCTTGTTTTGTTTGAAATGTATCTGAAGCAGTACTTTCCAAACTTTTAAGACACATCTTTTCTCTTCAAATACCCAATTTAATGCTTGACTGTATTGACATGTTACTGGACTTGTTACATGTAAATATCCTTTAATCTAAACATCTTCGCTGAATAATCAACAAATCAAATCAAACACATCTTTCTTTCACATAATTACTTCATTTTACGTTTAAAAAACAGTTATTTTCTTATTTGTAAAAATCTGGCAAAAATCTCTTCCCCATTTACCACCTCCAGTTGTTATTTTATTGCCACACGCGACTTTTCAGCATTCATTTTACTTCCTATGTGATAAATTCATCTGGAACCTTTCCTTCAATATATCACATCTACTTAACATCTATTTACCTAATTGTAAATCTGTAGTAATCTGTGAATGTTGGCATGGGTTCTAGCTCTGTCTGGAGTGGTGTGGATTGTGTTTTGGGTTGCATCGTACTCACCCGCGATAGCAATGTCTCCCACTTCTTCTTCTCACTGCTGCACTGGCACCAGTTTGACCTTCACCCTCATTGTTGTCACCAGTCTCTCTCTCGGTCTCTCTCCACACATTGTCCCTCAGCAGCAACACCAGGAAAACAGTTACTTTCAGGACGAGTGCTACAGTCATTCTGGGAGTGTCTCTTATCAAGTCATACTTCCCTTGTTTTTTCTGGGCAGTCAGCGGTAGATGACGCCACATCATATTGCCCTCTTCTTGCACTGAAGTAGAGTTCACCAGGACCAAAGTGTTCAGGTCTTCTCCTCGTTCTTTGTGCCACTCTCCTCAAAGGACGTTGATGTACACCTGGTGCTCTGGCTCGACTGGCCTCCACCTCTTGACTGGGATCAGATTTTGGCACTCCTCCTACTAATCGATAGATCTTTGCATCGTAGTTAGCTGCCTCATATATTTAATTCACTAATTTTCAGCTGCTCAAGCGAAAAACTTAATTATTTAGCCACAGTGAAGCATAGCTTTGTAAGTTAGTAATTCATGCAGTGAAAGATTTATCACAGTGCTTTTGATTGTGAAAGCTCATAAGCGCAAGTGGCAAAAGCATCTTCCTATAGGTTAGTGTTAGTGCAAATTCTCTGATCAGATAATTACTTGAGAGATTAACTTTCTTCCCCAAAATGATGTACCAAATCATGCAATGACAGATTTATTTTGAATCCAAGATCTTTTGATGGTGTTGCTTCTATCCATCGACTGAACCCGTCATCATTACAAACATGTAACATATCCCTTGGCAGTTTTAATCATGTCCACATCGTCTATGAATAGATTTCTAAAAGCGTCTCTCTGGAACTGGAAAAGTGTCCCACTAATGTTTCATTGTTCTCTTCAATTTATCTAACAAAACACATATCACAATGACCCAAAAGTTTATCAACTATTGTCAGCATATTCTAAAAATGTCGTTTTAATCGTCTCATCATCTCCCCCCTTGCACAGTGTGAATCACTCTGAAAGTCAGATCCCAAGTTTGTTTGTTAATACTACTGGTACAAAAACTAGTCATTTGACTCTAAACCATTTTTTGTGGCCTTATTGGCCTCCACATCACATCACAATATGCATTGAACTCACTCCCATCTATCATGGGATTCGTCATCCAACCTTGTTTTGCCTTGCGCAGAAACTCCTCCATCATCTTAGTTCCCAGCAGTTTAGCCAAGACAGCTTTCATGTCTGGTGTAGTCAACCTTTTCTTTACAGTTCATCCTCAAAAACTCGTATCCATCTCCCTGCCCCCTGGTCAGTTTGTGGTAGTATGGCAATCAGCCCAACAAGGTGTGTGGTTTTCCACAGCCACAATTTCACGAAAACTGTCAATTTCCTTTTCAAAACATATGGGACAAAAATAGCAGTGATTATGAATCATTTGGAAATTCAAATGACATGAGTAAATTAAAAAAATAAAAAAATAAAAAAGTTTTAAGGCAACCTAAGATAGAAAAAAGATTAGTTTTTTATTCTATTCTTATTTATTAGTTCAAAAGATCAGAGCATGATTAAGAAAAAACAAATAATCTAAAGTCTGAAAATGACACAAATCTAAGTGCTGAGTTGAACAAAGTCGAAGCATGTAATAAAAATCCGATCATGTTTGACTTTCTTGTCTCCACCTTCTCCTTATTGCTTTAAAGCTCTGCAAACCCAATCTTTAATTTATTCATAAAATAGTGTTGGCCTTCACTTTTGAACATGTTCAGTACTTCTAGTTCCAAATCTCTTGTTTTTGCGTGTTTTACCTTTATCTTTGTGTTCATGGTCTTTAATTCGCTGCTCCAAATCCTCACACACAGTAACATCAGATGTGCCTTTTGTCTATTGATATTAACAGCTTCAATAATATTTGAAAAACACAGTATTTTGGCCAAAAACGGCAGATGTATAGAAGTAACTCTTAGATTTGAAGTTTTAGAAGTTTTGCACTTGTGGTACCTCATTTCTTTTTCCCCTTTTTGTATCTTTTATACTTTTACAAACATTATTTCAGCAGCTTTAACACAGAACATTTGTTAAGGAGCATAAGACATGTGTTCACAACAAAAAACCATAATATTTGAGCAAAAGCTAAAACCTTCATATCAGGAGTGTTCATCATGATACTAGGAACAGAACCTCTTTCCCAGGAGTATTTAACCTTCTATGTCTCAACTGATAACATGACCGCAATGAGCACAGTATTCACATACACAACTATGAAACAAACACAAGTGAGGAAAACACAGCAATCTTTGACTAGCATAACACACACACAGATGCAGAGTCTGGCTGTGAACACTGTTAGAGAACTTAGTTGACACAGAACAAAACAGACACACACAAACATCCAATCAACTCACACACTTCACTTTTTCATCACACAATGGTATACCCTTTCACACGTGTTTGAAGTCAAAGTCAGTCACTGGAGTCAGTCAGCAGTCTTCTATTTTAATTCTTGTTTTGATTTCTTCAATTTTTCCAATTTGTGTGATTTTTTTCAATTTGTGTGATTCTTCTACAATTGGTCAGGAGATATGGGACGTGCTTGTTCAATTGGGATCCCTGAATAGGCTTTTCAGCCTATCCTTATTGACGTCTTTTTCTATCTCCTGCTCATCAAGCCAATCTGTATCTGTAATTTAAGTCCAATTATAACACTGATTTTGTGAGGTCTTTGACATATAAAAGAGATATATTTATGAACATTTCAAATATCTACTATTGCGTCATTATACTTATTCAGCCCTCTAGAGTTCTGGATCAGAATTTATGAGGAAATATGCCACTTTCGTTCTCCTTTTGGCTTTTTCTTAAGCCTCAGCGGAACTCCGCATGACAAATCCTCCTTTCTAGTGGAGTTTTCCAGAAAGAAAATCCACGTATGTATTACGAGATGAATCTGCTCGTCCATCGGCTGCCACCTTTCAGAGCTCATGAAAGATGGTCTAAAACTCACAGTTCAACAATGGACAGACACACTCGTGTCTGCCGCTCCCCTTGTTATCCCAAAAATTACCCAGAACCTTTTTATCTCCAGGCATTCAGCCTAAAAAAAACCACATCACAACCCGGGCCCGGCTGTCTCCCCAAGCTACTGGCCAGTGCTTTTCTGCACCCAGCCTATAGCTTCACATATGACAATCTCACACTTATAGCGGCGTGAGGGGGTCTCACCCTTTAAAGAAGACGAAGTGCTTCTGCACCCAGCCTATAGCTTCTCAAACATGTAACAGCCTATAGCTTCTACATATGGCATCTCACACATGCAGCAGCCTATAGCTCTACATGTGGCATTCCTCATATGCAGCAGCCTATAGCTCTACATGTGGCATTCCTCATATGCAGCAGCCTATAGCTCTGCATGTGGCATTCATCACATGCAGCAGCCTATAGCTCCTCATATGGCATCCCTCATATGCAGCAGCCTATAGCTCTACATGTGGCATTCCTCATATGCAGCAGCCTATAGCTCCACAAATGGCATTCATCACATGCAGCAGCCTATAGCTCCTCATATGGCATTCATCACATGCAGCAGCCTATAGCTCCACATATGGCATTCATCACATGCAGCAGCCTATAGCTCCTCATATGGCATTCATCACATGCAGCAGCCTATAGCTCCACATATGGCATTCATCACATGCAGCAGCCTATAGCTCTACATATGGCATTCCTCACATGCAGCAGCCTATAGCTCCACATATGGCATTCATCACATGCAGCAGCCTATAGCTCCTCATATGGCATTCATCACATGCAGCAGCCTATAGCTCCTCATGTGGCATTCCTCACATGCAGCAACCTATAGCTCTGCATATGGCATCCCTCATATGTAGCAGCCTACAGCTCTACATATGGCATCTCACACATGCAACAGCGTGAGGCAATTTCACACAGTCAACTGCAGTTTTTCTTAAATCAGCTGATATATATTCAATTTCAATTGGCTTCCTCACAAATTTAGCAGACTTTGATCAGCTGACTGCATGCATGCAGTTTTCTCAGACTGTCTTCATTCCCACTGTCTCCTCTTATTTCTATTCTAGGTTCTTTGATTCGAAGAGGACAGAGAACAGTAGTCCGCACCACCTCACAGGGAGAAGAACTCTCAACCAAATTTTAGGAAAACTCCTACCTTTTTCTTTTTGTGCGCACAGAGTGTCCTTATCCCATGTGAAGTTCGCAGAACCATGGTCCCTTGTCCCCTGAAACGAATTCTGGCTAAAGCTCGCCAATTATGTTGTGGAAAGTCCAGCATAATCAATGCACAGGAGACATGATGAGATCTGAAGAACAGCCTGGGGCGTCTTTAATAGTACAGATGTAGAAATCAGTACAGATGACAAACAGAGTCTCGACCAAGACCCAAGGAAGCCTCTCTAGCTTTACTTCTACTCTCTTTTATGCTGTTAGGTGTGTGTGTGTGTGTGTGTGTGTGTGTGTGTGTGTGTGTGTGTGTGTGTGTGTGTGTGTGTGTGTGTGTGTGTGTGTGTGTGTGTGTGTGTTCTCCAGAAGTCCCCTCATGATGACATGTCTGCCCCACGACACTTTGTTTAGGTTTGTCTTGACCCTGGCAGAGATTACATGTTCCAACAGACAGATAGTTTGGGCTCCTGCAAGACAGCCTTGCTTACAATCTCATGGTCGTGGGGCAGCAGGAGCAGGCCAACCCAGATTATTTGTAGCTTCTTACTAAAAGATAATTACTCTATATTTCTTAACCTAACTGTATGAAGACATTCCCCTACACAGGTCGTAGCGATTTGAATTTATAATAAATGTCTGAAGATTAATAAGTTATGACATTCATGCACTTGTTGAAAGGGGCACCACCCACCCTTAATGGTGGGAAAATAAAGAAAAACTAAAGTTTAATTGAGAAATCAAACATCAAGTCAATCCTAAATTAATCAATCTCATATCTTAAGCCGAAATTCTCATTTCAGAGATCAGGTGATTGATTCAAGGAGTTACTTTATCAATACAGTATGGAGGCTCTTAACAAAGATGAAAATCAAAAATCAATGATCAATGATTTAGAATAAGCACATCAAACTTTATCAACCATGTCAATCACTTGAGTTATGTCTGTAGAGTGTTACACACTGACTACAGAGAGGCAGTACAGCTGGCTGATACTGCAGGCAGATGATAACAGTGTTAGCTCAATACCAAAAGCAACCATGTGGGGCAGTATGGAGTTGGGATAACTGCACAAGCTCAACACAAGTGGAGAAGAAGAAGAAGACAAGAGGAAACAGTCATCCAACTAGCCTCTTGTGGCTGTGTGGAGTTGGGAAGTATGAAGGAAGGGGCCTTTAGGCTCTGCCTCCTTGAAGGGCCTTATCTGCTTAAGGCCAAATGGTCAGTCTCTCCACTGACAAGAAAGGGTTAACATTTCACAGCAGGCTGCGTCTGCACCCTCAAACATAGAACTTTACACCATCTGCTCAGGCAGATTGGTTCAATAAAATCATTTACAGGAACAAGAATCAAAGTGACAAATCCCTCAACAGCAGATTCAACTACAGACTTTAAAATCACAAATGCAGCGATTTGTGAACACGAATTTCGTCTGAATTCATTCAAACAACAACCTCCCACTGTTACAGTGGTTTTCTTGTGACAGATAGCTAATCTGTCAGGGGAAAGGAGGAAATCTGAATCCCATATAGTTACTAGAACCTCGTAGCAGACTACAGAGACTTCAGGGGCTTGAAACCACAGGCCGGAGCATCGCAAACACTGGGTTCAGCCAAAGGCCTTAAATACAAGCGTACGGCAACGCGACAGTTGTGCACTTGTGCAATATTGGACAGTCTAGACAAAGCAGAAGAAGCAGTCTCAGTGCTACTCAGAACAACGTTTCACGCTGTCCAGCTCAAACACAGACTACAGGCATGTAGTACAAAAGTGTGTGAAACACAGAGCATAAAGGTTTTATGCATAGATCAGGAAAACATCAGAACTTAGTCAAGCAACTTCAGAAAGCATAGCATTGATTGTGATTAAGTCTAAGATAGCCTGGAAATAAGTTTCTCTCATCAATTTGGAAGGCTAAGTTTAAAGTTGTCTGTTAGTATCCAGAAATTTTGTTTTGAAATGCCTCACGCAGGGGCTCCAAAATAATACTGTAGCGATTTGAATTTATAATAAATGTCTGAAGGTTTATAATCTCAAGTTATGACATTTATGCACTCGTTGAAAGGGGCACCACCCACCCTTAATGGTGGGAAAATAAAGAAAAACTAAAGTTTAATTGAAACATCAAGTCAATCCTAAATTAATCAATCTCATATCTTAAGCCGAAATTCTCATTTCTGGGACTCCACTTCTGGAAGAACACTAACAGACCAGAACTTAGAAAAATAATGATCTGTTTATTACAGGATAAATGATGGTACAACATACATGCAATAAATGATGATAAGATAATGAGGATAAATAATAATAGGTGAATAAATAAAGATTAACATAACATATTAACCTAGACTTACTTTGTGTCAAGGTAAATTTGGATGTGGATTTGAAGTAATCTAAGATTACCAGAATAAGTGGATATCTGAGTTATGACCGCATGAGACAGCATCAGCCCTCTTTGGAGCTCTGGAGGTTTGCATACTTAAGGGCTACTGGCGGTTCGAGTGGTTCAGCTCAGAAGATGACTGAAGTCAGCCGAAGGATGGGCCAGGAGTTGTAGCACTCGGGCCCGAGCAAAGCTGGGGCCTGTGGATCCTGTGGATGCTCGTTTGGACGCTTCTTTGGTCTCACTCAAAAACTCTGGCACAGAGGATGACCTGGGCCTGCTGGGTTACGTTTAGAGGTGCGTTCAGATAACGCAGATAGCTCAGGAAAAAAAAGAGGCTCGATGACCAGTGGAAACTTATAAAAATGACAGCGAAATTAAAGAAAAATCAATCAAAGGCTTAATCTTGAATTGCTATGCGCACAAAAAGTTGAAGTTTCAAAACTTGAACTAAGACGATGTTAAAGAAAAATCAACATGACACAAATTTCATGATTAGACAGATTAGTACATTGCTGAATGCATAAGATGTCATGGTCAGTCATTTGTATTCTTTCACCAAAGGAATGTATTCTTTATCAGTGTATGGTTGAAATTTCATGATTAGACAGATTAGTACATTGCTGAATGCATAAGATGTCATGATCAGTCATTTGTATTCTTTCACCAAAGGAATGTAGTCTTTATCAGTGTATGTTTGGGCAGGGTTTTATGACCGAGGTCTGGAGGTCAGTGTCCTGTTCCTCAGACCTTACCTTGGGGTCCATATGTTCACACACTTTAAGACGGTAAATCTCAAATGGGAGATCTGGGTTGAGGCGTTAATGTTTATTTAGATGGTCAGCAATGGAGTCAGTTTGAAAGGTAATAAAACTCTGTCTCTGTTCTCCGAATTGACCAATCGTGAAGAGTCAGAGGTTTAGTCAACCTCCGGTCGGGTCAGTTAGGTAACCTGAAAGTGCAAACAAGTCTGGAAAGATTTATATACTGTGTCCAGGGACCAGATAAGAAAACTTTCCTGCGAGGAATGTGTGAGTTTCACACCCAGGGTTGTCTTGATTGCTACAGCCTACAGGTTAGAGGTGGACCGGCTGGTGACCTGGTGCAGCAGCAACAACCTAAAGCTCAACGCCCAGAAGACAGTGGAGATGATCGTGGACTTCAGGAAAGCCACAGCCCCCCTGCCCTCCCTCGACCTCACCAACTCCCCCATCACCACTGGGGACTGCTACCACTTCCTCGGCACCACCATCACCCAGGACCTCAGCTCATCAAGTTTGCGGATGACACTACACTCATTGGACTCATTTTGGATGGAGATTAGTCTGCCTACAGGGCCAAGCAGGTTGGATCACAGGTGACCCTTCTCCCCCTGCACATGGACTATTTGAGACACTCCGCTCGGGCAGGAGGCTACGGTCCATTCGGACCAGAACCTCCCGCCATAAGAACAGTTTCTTCCCCTCTGCCGTTGGACTCATGAACACCTTATAACTCACTTTAACTCTGTCACTTTATCACTGGTCTCTTTAGTTTAATGTACCTTGGTTTTTTAATTGCACTCCTCCCACTGCACTGTTGTTCTGAATTGTGTAGTTGTACATAGCCTGTTATACTTACTGTATAGCATTGTATAGCATTGTACATAGCCTTGTATACTTTTATACTTTATATATGTCTAGTATTTAGGGCCCAAGCGTAGCTGCTAAGCAGCTGTTGTTCCTGATGAGTTTTTCTTTGTTTCTTTCTTTAGGGCCCGAGCGTAGCTGCTAAGCAGTTGCGAGGCCCTGTTGTTCCTGTAGTGGTTTTTCTTTGTTTCTTTTTAGGGCCCGAGCCAGCTGCAGAGCAGCCGGGCGTAGAGCCCTGTTGTTCCTGTAGTGGTTTTTAGGGCCCGAGCGTAGCTGCTAAGCAGCTGCGAGAGCCCTATTATTCCTCAAGTGGTTTTTCTTTGTTTCTTCTTTCTTTTTCTTTAGGGCCCGAGCGTAGCTGCTAAGCAGCTGCGAGAGCCCTCTTGTTAGGGCCCGAGCGTATCTGCTAAGCAGCTGCGAGAGCCCTCTTGTTCCTGATGGATTCTTCTTTTGTTATTATTAGGGCCCGAGCCAGCTGCAGAGCAGCCGGGCGTAGGCCCTGTTGTACCTCAAGTGGTTTTTCTTTGTTTCTTTCTTTCTTTAGGGCCCGAGCGTAGCTGCTAAGCAGCTGCAAGAGCCCTCTTGTTCCTGCATGTTTCCTTCTTTCGTTATTATTTTTCCTCCGCTTCAAACTGGAAAATGGCCCACTTCCCACTGGCGAAAACTCAGGAAATTTGGCAGGACGTCCGGGCCTGGTGAAAAATTCGATATTCTGAAGTCGCCCAAACAATAAAATGCAAAATGGCTCCATAGCGCCCCCTAAGGTGAAAATTCACATGACGGCTGTACGCTTTGTCATATTGACACAAAAATTGACACACACATGTATCTCAATAAGATCTACAAAAAAGTCAGTGCGGGCGTATCTGTCAAATGTACGGTTAATGGGTTATTTTGCATTTTTTGCAGATCTGCACACATTGGAATTTCGCTAACTCCTCCGAAGGCTTTCGTTCGACCGGCACCACATTTGCGCAGGCCAATCTACCCCCCATGGCCATTAAAAGTTGTACAAATCATGACGCTGCACCCCACAGTTTACGTTCTAGGGGGCGCCAAAGATAACCCAAAAATCCACATTCTTAAAAGTCTTATAACTTTTTACTTTTGTCCTCACTGGCCTCCAAGTTTTCTAGGATGATGCAATGTCCAGCCATCAACACATTTGTGAAGGAATTTTTACTCCCCAAAAGAGCGCCCCCCAATGGCAGGAGAAAAAGGTCCATTTTTTCTTGTCTCCTAAGGTGAAAATACACATTGTCGAGTGTCACGCCAGTATGCTTTGTCATATTGACACAAAATTTGACAATCATGTGTATCTCAATAAGATCTATGAAAAAGTCAAAGGGCATGTATCTGTCAAATGTACGGTTAAAGGGCTATTTTGCATTTTTTGCCGATCCGCACACATTGGAATTTCGCTAACTCCTCCGAAGGCTATCTTTCCACCGGCACCAAATTTGCTCAGGCCAATCTACACCCCATGGCCATTAAAAGTTGTACAAATCATCTTGCTGCACCCCACGGTTTGGGTTCTAGGGGGCACCAAATATAACCCAAAAATCCACATTCTTAAAAGTCTTATAACTTTTTATTTTTTTCCATACTGGCCTCCAAGTTTTTTAGGATGATGCAATGTCCAGCCATCAACACATTTGTGAAGAAATTTTTACTCCCAAAAAGAGCGCCCCCCCATGGCAGGAGAAAAAAGTCCATTTTTTCTTATCCCGAAAGGTGAAAATACACGTTGTTGAGTGTCACGCCTTTACGCTTTGTCATATTGACAAAAAATTTGACAATCACGTGTATCTCAATAAGATCTATGAAAAAGTCAATGGGCACGTAAGTGTAAAATGTACAGTTAAAGGGCTATTTTGCATTTTTTGGCGATTCGCACACATTGGAATTTCGCTAAGTCCTCCTAAGGTTTTCGTCCCACTGACACCAAATTTGCTCAGGCCAATCTACACTCCATGGCCATTCAAAGTTGTAAAAATCATGACGCTGCACCCCACGGTTTACGTTTTAGGGGGCGCCAAAGATGACCCAAATATACATTACAGTAGACAAAGTAGTTTTGCCCACTGAGTGGGGCCAAAGGGACTTGTCTGTGGAGTCTGTGAGTCACTATTGGCCGTTTTTGACTACTTTAGATTTTACCTTTATATTTCCTCTTACAATATTTTTACCTTGCCTTGCCTGGTATCATTTTTTTCAGCACAACCTCACCTGTGTCAATTTACAGTTATTTTATCATTTTGACATACTATATTTACACATTGGACCCAAATTCACACACAAAACATAAAATCTGAGTGGAAAAAAGTAACGTTTTTACTGTGAAAACCACAAATATGTGTGATGAACTGTTTTTAAAACTTAAACTTCAAATGAAAATTGTAAACTTCAAAACATATGCAAATTTTTAACAAAGAACATAGTAATTTACCTCTATTTACATCAAAATGCAGGCAATGGACCAGGCGTTCTTTGTAAAATTATTTACAAAACACTGTATAGTCTCACAAATGTCACTTTTTATTTATGCCACTACAAAAAAACATGATGTAAATGATGCATGATGTAAAACATGATGTAAAAAACTTGTGTAGATCCTCCTCTATGTCAGTCCATGTGTAATTTTTCCATAATTCTTTGTTTTTTGCAGCATTTTTGTTAGTGTAACTGCAGATTGTGCTGACAGTGTCTATGGCAAAAAAAAAAAAAAAAATGAAAATGCCTCAACATGAACCCCTGGTGGTCTCTGAGGGTGAAACCTGCTAACTGCTGCAGCTCTGTCAGCTTCAGTCTCCCATGCAGAGCTCGGAGCGCATGTGTGGCTCTGCACCCTTAGCAGCGTTGCTAACTCCTCAGTAAGGAAAGCCTGCTTCATGTCAGAGTCTCTAAACTCCAGAACTCCAGAAGAAGTCGATAAAAGTCCCTTTCTTTCTAAAAAAAAGTCATTAGGGGGTCTGAAAAGTCATTGAATCTAACAACAAAGTCGCTAGGTTTGCAACTACGTGTCCCAGACTGCATCCCTGCTGAGAGTCCCTCCCTCCCTTCTCAAGTTGCAGGAAGAACGCGAGCGCCCGTCCCGTGTCAATCAGTCACCATATCATTTTGGATTGGTTGTTGTGGTGAAGTTTTCCACCAATAGGAGAGATGTTGTGGTGTGTTTTTTTCTTTTCTTTTGGCAAGTCTTTTCCGCCTGTAAGAGCTGTCGCTAATGTCTGCATGCTATGTTTTCCTGTCTCATACAGCGCGATCGAGCGCCGAACGTGATCAAAATAAGCAGAAAAAAAGTATCGCGGACATAATTTCTCATAACTCTGGTTTTATTTGGCCTATCAACACAATTTAAAAACTGGTATATAGTTTGAGGTCCTCACTTTTAAGATAGGTTGAAACGGAGAATCAACGAGGCTCCGTCTTGCAGCTACATCCGGTTAAATATGTCATGTGACTTGAACGCTGGGGAACGTCAATCGACTGCAGAGCCAGCAGACAAAGTAGTTATGGCCACTGAGAGGCACACATTTGTCATATGCTATAATCCTAACATATTTAAATGCTTTTTCTATTTAAACCTAATGGATCTAAGCTTTGACCTTCAAAATTTAGGAAGAATATGTTTTTGCAGTAATGACCCCCTTAAACAACCAGAGGTCCTTTCCTAAAGTTTATGGAAATTTTAGTGAAGGCCTTGGTTTCTTTCCTTGCAAAATGTATAGAAATAATAAAGCTAAATACCATAAAATGGTCTTGGCGTATTAGCAGTGATATAAAATAAAACATCAAAAAAAAAAGATCAACAGAGCCTTTTTGAGTTGGGATTCTTTCATTATCACACAAAAACAGACATAGACAGACGTCTAAAGGGTAAGGGAATGATCAGCCCTCCTAACTCTCAGATGAATCTTCAAAATTCACCTCAGAAATATGCTTATTATTCTTCTCAGAGTACTGCAGGACACACACACACACACACACACACACACACACACACACACACACACACACACACACACACACTCAGAGTCTTTTTTTTAGCACCTGCAAAAACATGTTATTAACATATTTGACAAGAATGCAGAGGCTCCTTTTGCCCCTGAAAAAAATCAGACTTCAAACACAACTTGACTGGTCATTTCTCCAAAAGACAACCATGAAGCTCCATCCAAACCTGAAGCAGGCAGTTGGTGCATGTGTACAGTAACCTGAGGGGAGTGAGGTGACTGCTTCTGAGGAGAACATGAGCAGTGAAGATTCACCTTGGAGCTACAACAGGGACGTGCACATGATAATACAGGGGCAGGGGCTCAAGTTTTTTCCAGTCATTTATACAATATGGAAATTAATGTGAAATTAAAAACAAAGTATTAATAGAAAGGTAATGACTGTCCTGTGTAGGTGACAGTGATATCCAATAGGCTAGGCACTCACGAGGCTGGCTGTTGCAAGTGTAAGTGAAAGCAACACGCACTGGCAGGAAGAACAGCAAACACCGATGAAGGAAAAGGGTCTTTGCAGTGATGGGCGTTACCAGAGAGGGCGATGGCCAGAGGACGCGAATGGGACGGGGAGGCAGCGCGTTGGGGGGGAGGGGGGGGCACACGGCTCGGGCCCGCCAGTGCCCCAACGGGGCCCTAGTTTCTTATGGGCCCGAGCCAGCTGCAGAGCAGCCGGGCGTAGGCCCTGTTGTTCTTGTAGTGGTTTTTCTTTGTTTTTAGGGCCCGAGCCAGCTGCAGAGCATCCGGGCGTAGAGCCCTGTTGTTCCTGTAGTGGTTTTTCTTTGTTTCTTTCTTTCTTTCTTTCTTCTTTTTCCTCCCCTTTGAACTGGAAAATGGCCCACTTCCCACTGGCGAAAACTCATGAAATTTGGCAGGACGACCGGGCCTGGTGAAAAATTCGATATTCTGAAGTCGCCCAAACAATAAAATGCAAAATGGCTCCATAGCGCCCCCTAAGGTGTAAATTCACACTATTGACTGTCACGCCTGTACGCTTTGTCATATTGACACAAAAATTGACACACATATGTATCTCAATAAGATCTACAAAAAAGTCAGTGCGGGCGTATTTGTCAAATGTACGGTTAAAGGGTTATTTCGCATTTTTTGCCGATCCGCACACATTGGAATTTCGCTAACTTCTCCGAAGGCTTTCGTTCCACCGGCACCACATTTGCTCAGGCCAATCTACACCCCATGGCCATTAAAAGTTATTCAAATCATGACGCTGCACCCCACGGTTTAGGTTCTAGGGGGCGCCAAAAATAACCCTAAAATCCACATATTTAAAAGTCTTATAACTTTTTATTTTTGTCCTCACTGGCCTCCAAGTTCTCTAGGATGATGCAATGTCCAGCCATCAACACATTTGTGAAGGAATTTTTACTCCCCAAAAGATCGCCCCCCCATGGCAGGAGAAAAAAGTCCATTTTTTCTTGTCCCCTAAGGTGAAAATACACATTGTTGAGTGTCACGCCTGTACGCTTTGGCAAAATGACACAAAAATTGACACACACATGTCTCTCAATAAGATCTACAAAAAAGTCCATGCGCGCGTATCTGTCAAATGTACGGTTAAAGGGTTATTCCGCATTTTTTGCCGATACGCACACATTGGAATTTCGCTAACTCCTCCGAAGGCTTTGGTTCCACCGGCACCACATTTGCTCAGGCCAATCTACACCCCATGGCCATTAAAAGTTGTTCAAATCATGACGCTGCACCCCACGGTTTAGGTTCTAGGGGGCGCCAAAAACAACCCTAAAATCCACATATTTAAAAGTCTTATAACTTTTTTATTTTGTCCTCACTGGCCTCCAAGTTTTCTAGGATGATGCAATGTCCAGCCATCAACACATTTGTGAAGGAATTTTTACTCCCCAAAAGAGCGCCCCCCCATGGCAGGAGAAAAAAGTCCATTTTTTCTTGTCCCCTAAGGTGAAAATACACATTGTTGAGTGTCACGCCTGTACGCTTTGTCATATTGACACAAAATTTGACAATCACGTGTATCTCAATAAGATCTACGAAAAAGTCAATGCGCACGTATCTGTCAAATGTACGGTTAAAGGGCTATTTCCCATTTTTTGCTGATTCGCACACATTGGAATGTGGCTAAGTCCTCCTAAAGCTTTCGCCCCATCGGCACCAAATTTGCTCAGGCCAATCTACACCCCATGGCCATTCAAAGTTGTAAAAATCATGACGCTGCACCCCACGGTCTACGTTCTAGGGGGCGCCAAAGAGGACCCAAAAATCCACATTCTTAAAAGTCGTTTTGGCCATTGAGTGGCGCCAAAGGGAGTTTTCTATTGACAGCAGACAAAGTAGTTATGGCCGCTGAAAGGCACACATTTGTTAAATGCCATAATCCTAACATATTTTAATGCTTTTTCTATTTATACCTAATGGATCTAAGCTTTGACCTTCAATCAGCCCTCCTAACTCTCAGATGAATCTTCAAAATTCACCTCAGAAATATGCTTATTATTCTTCTCAGAGTACTGCAAGATATACACACACACAGAGAGACACACACACACACACACACACACACACACACTCAGAGTCTGTTTTTTAGCACCTGCAAAAACATGCTATTTACATATTTGACAAGAATGCAGAGGCTCCTTTTGCCCCTGAAAAAAATCAAATTTCAAACATAACTTGACTGCTCATTTCTCCAAAAGACAACCATGAAGCTCCATCCAAACCTGAAGCAGGCAGTTGGTGCATGTGTACAGTAACCTGAGGGGAGTGAGGTGACTGCTTCTGAGGAGAACATGAGCAGTGAAGATTCACCTTGGAACTAGAACAGGGACGTGCACATGATTATACAGGGGCAGGGGCTCAAGTTTTTTCTAGTCATTTATACAATATGGAAATTAATGTGAAATTAAAAACAAAGTATTAGTAGAAAGGTAATGACTGTCCTGTGTAGGTGACAGTGATATCCAATAGGCTAGGCACTCACGAGGCTGGCTGTGGCAAGTGTAAGTGAAAGCAACACGCACTGGCAGGAAGAACAGCAAACACCGATGAAGGAAAAGGGTCTTTGCAGTGATGGGCGTCACCAGAGAGGGCGACAGCCAGAGGACGTGAATGGGACAGGGAGGCGGTCTCGCTGGGGGCGGCGCGACACGGCTCGGGCCCGCCAGTGCCCCAACGGGGCCCTAGTTTTTTCTTCTTTCTTCTTTTTCCTCCCCTTTGAACTGGAAAATGGCCCACTTCCCACTGGCGAAAACTCATGAAATTTGGCAGGACGACCGGGCCTGGTGAAAAATTCGATATTCTGAAGTCGCCCAAACAATAAAATGCAAAATGGCTCCATAGCGCCCCCTAAGGTGAAAATTCACACTATTGACTGTCACGCCTGTACGCTTTGTCAAAATGACACAAAAATTGACACACACATGTATCTCAATAAGATCTACAAAAAAGTCAGTGCAGGCGTATCTGTCAAATGTACGGTTAAAGGGTTATTGCGCATTTTTTGCCGATCCGCACACATTGGAATTTCGCTAACTTCTCCGAAGGCTTTCGTTCCACCGGCACCACATTTGCTCAGGCCAATCTACACCCCATGGCCATTAAAAGTTATTCAAATCATGACGCTGCACCCCACGGTTTAGGTTCTAGGGGGGCGCCAAAGATAACCCTAAAATCCACATATTTAAAAGTCTTATAACTTTTTATTTTTGCCCTCACTGGCCTCCAAGTTTTCTAGGATAATGCAATGTCCAGCCATCAACACATTTGTGAAGGAATTTTTACTCCCCAAAAGAGCGCCCCCCCATGGCAGGAGAAAAAAGTCAATTTTTTCTTGTCCCCTAAAGTGAAAATACACATTGTTTAGTGTCACGCCTGTACGCTTTGGCAAAATGACACAAAAATTGACACACACATGTCTCTCAATAAGATCTACGAAAAAGTCAATGCGCGCGTATTTGTCAAAGGTACGGTTAAAGGGTTATTCCGCATTTTTTGCCCATCCGCACACATTGGAATGTGGCTAACTCCTCCTAAGGCTTTCGTTCCACCGGCACCACATTTGCTCAGGCCAATCTACACCCCATGGCCACGTTTTTTTTGTTAAGCTGTTTTAAAAGATGTTTTAAGTTTTTAAGTGAAGTTGTTTTAAACACCTTTTGTAAATTTTCTTGTGAGGAAGTAATTTAACAAATTTTTGTAATTATTTTGTAAATTTATTATATTATTTGTAAAGTATACAAGCCAACTTTTTATTTGGAGTCAATTTTTTGTAAAGGTTTTCTTGTAAGGATTCTGTGTATATTTCATATGTTTGTATTTTTTGACTTTTTTTTTTTGGGGGGGGGGGTGACAATGGAGAGAGGGAGAGAGATTTTGATTTTTGAATTCACTTTATTTGACACTCTTTTTTCAAAAAAGAGGTCAATTCAAAATACTCAATCACACACACTCAAAAAATTTATTCATAAATAAATAAAGAATGACATGAGCACATCTTCAAACTGTAAAATGTTTCCTGCTACAGAGCACAACACCTGATTAAAACCCCAAACCTGCTGTAATGAGTCCAGATCTCCTCCTGCTTTGTAAAAATTAAAATCAATGAGGACTTCATCTTATTTTTACAAACAGTGACCGGATCAACAATAAAACCATCCTCCACCTTCCTCCCGCGGCTAAAATACACTGCCATCTTGGCCTGCCCTAAAGCAAAGTTTAAAAGCTGGCACTTTTTTTTGTGTTGGCGTGTGTATTTAAAACCCAGAATAAAAACCTGCTTGTTAAAAACCTCTCCACACTTGGTAAAAACAGTTTGTAAAAACAGAAACAAAGGTAAAAGACGCAGACATTCATAAAAACAGTAAAAAAAAAAATGTTTCTCTCTGGGGGCAGTAGGGACATGTGTCCTCTACTGCCGGGTTAATGTTCGATATAAAAGAGTTCACTGCGATGACCCCATGGAGGACTCTGCAGTGAACATCTGCATGTCTTTTTGAGAGTGGAGGTTTGTAGAAGGCCCTCCACTCAGGCCTGGCCTCAGGAGCCAGGCGCAGATAGTTCCTCCATGGGGTGTCAGGTATTTTGTCCAGTTTTCTTCTGTATTTGTTTTAACCATGATTTTATAAAATGTTTTTCCTGGTGTGCCCTCCAAAGGGGCAGGGTGGTTAAAATCCAACAGCGGGCCAGAACAGTCTTTAAAATCCGTTGCCAGGAAGATGGAAGGAAAGGAGCCTTTTTCAGTCACTGTCTGGTTAAAAGGGGAGTTTAAAAGCAGACGGTCGTGTCCTGTGAGTCTCTGTCTCCAGTGGTCCAAGAGTTTTTGTGGGACCCTCATTGATGAAAGTCCCAGCCGGGCAGCGAGTCCATTCGGGGTCATCCATTCGGGGTCCCGTCAGCTCCACCACCTGCCCCAGAGTGACGATCCCCGAAGTCTGCAGTCTTTTCTCCAGACTCTGACCTGCCCAGCTGGGAAGGTCTAAACGGGTCCCCCACATGACCGGTTCCTGCAGGAGCCAGTGTGTAGAGTCCACCTGGCCCCTCCTCTCCTTCCTCAGCAGGCACCAAACCTTAAAAACACTTTGATAAAAACCAGGCAGAGAAGATGTGCTCATGTTCTGTGTGTTCAATAAAAACAAATTAAAATTCTGACCCAGGCTGTTAAAACCCTGCAGAATGCGGCGGGACAGAGGCCTCCACAGAGTGTCCTTCGGCCCCGTCAGCAGCCTTTGAATGAATTGGAGCCTGAAGGCTGCGCCCCTGCTGGCCAGGTGGACCAGGCCCTGGCCCCCCTCCTCTTTCCGTAAAAACAGGACACTCTGTGGGACCCAGTGGAGTCTGTCCCAAATAAAATCAACTAAAAACGATTGAATCTTGGAGAGGAGAGAAACCGGAGGATCGACACAGGCTAGCCGGTGCCACAGGGAAGATGAGCCCAGATTATTTGTGATTAAGGTTTGGCCTCTGTAAGACATTTTAGGGAGCAGCCTCCTCCACTTCTCCAGCCGACCTTTAACCTGCTCCAGGACATTGTCCCAGTTTTCTGTATGTAGGTCTCATCTCCTAGGAAGACCCCAAGGTACCGGAGTCCTCCTTTTTTCCACTGTAGGCCACCGGGCAGCCTGAGCCGACCCCCCAGCTCCCCTCCAGCCATCAGAGCCTCGCTTTTCCCCCAGTTCACCTTTGCTGAGGAGATAAAACCAAAATTATCAGCAGTGTCAGTTAAAATGTCAATGTCTCTTTGTGTTTTGACTAAAACAATAAGATCATCAGCGTAAACAGACAGTTTGAAAGACACAGGGCACCAGGGGAAACACACACCACTCAGTTTGTCTCGCAGCTTGTGAAGGAGAGGCTCGATGGCAACTGAATACAACATCCCAGAGAGAGAGCAGCCCTGCCTCACCCCTCTCTGGCTCTCAAATGGTGCACTCAGCCCGCTGTTAATTTTCAGAACACTCGCAATGTCACTATAGAGAACCCGGACCATGGCTATGAACCCAGGGTTGAACCCAAAGGCAGCCAGAGTCTGCCACAGGTACTGGTGTTCAACTCGGTCAAAAGCCTTTTCCTGATCTATGGAAATAAGACCAGTCTCTATACCCAATGAACTGGAGAGCTCCAAAACGTCTCGAATTAAAGTGACATTGTCACTGATGAGCCTGCCAGGCACACAGTAGGTCTGGTCAAGGTAGATGATGGACGCCATCACCTCCCTCAGTTTGACGGACAGAGCCTTGGACAGGATTTTATAATCATATAACCAGAGTTAAAACCCCCTCCCTACTGTGACTCCAGGTGTACTGTCTGTGCTGACTGTTAAAAACCCTCCACACATCACTCAGCTCCTGACTCTCTGTCAGCCGCCTGAGTGTGTGTGATTAGGATGGTTCCTGTCCAGGGATGGATCAACTGTGCAGTTAAAATCTCCCCCTAAAAACATAAAACCATCATTCTCACAATCCCTAACACAGTCATTTAAAATGTTTAAAAATGCTATTTGCTCCACAGCATTAGTAGGAGCATAGACATTTAAAAACACACATTTTAGATTTTCAAAGACAGCTTTCACCTTCAATAAAACACCTGGAATGATCTCATGGACAGTAAAAGAAAGGGGTAAAAAACTCTGCAAATAAAATCCCCACCCCTCCGCTCAGACTGGACTTGTGGCTTAAAACTACCTCCCCATTAAAAGCCCTCTTCCAATCACTTTCATTGTCTAAGCTGCTATGGGTTTCTTGGACAAACATTATATCTATTCTTTTAGTCTCCATCAGTTTAAAAAGAGCGTCTCATTTAAAATCAGCCCTGGCCCCATTCAGGTTTAAGGTGCTGATATTAAAATCACACATGGATAACAAAAAAATAATAATAGTCAGTCAAAGGTAAAAGCATCTAAAAATCATCTTCATCACTGATGATTTGAGCTTTTACTCTCTGTAAAATCTTCTTGAGTCTAAAAACCTCCTTCTCTGTTAAAACCTCCTCCCCATGGCTCTTCCTGGTGAGGGCCCTGGCTGACCTCATAAATGAGCGCAGGTCTGGGAAGAAGTCCTCCACATTAGGCAGCCTGGTTCCCTTAGTCTGCGCCAGGAAAGTTTTTATCTGAGCCGGGGAGTAGGATGAGAGTCCTGGGTTAAAGAGAGATCACTCTCTGACTCTATGGTCTTTCTCATGATCAGTTTTTTTTGTTTTTCTGTTCTTTTTAACAGAGTCAGTGTTTTTTCTTTTTTTTGTGACACTTTCAGAAGGTCATCATTTGACATGTCCTCTTCCATTAATTCCTCACTCAACAGTTTTCTCATGTTCTCGTCGTCTGAGTCAGAATGCATGAGCTCTTCATGCTCAGAACAGTCCGCAGCAACCGGAGGAACCGGTAACTCCTGAGCCGGACTGACTGACCCCGGTCACAGCAGCACATGACTCTCCCCCAGCCGCAGCAGCTGCAGCAGCGGCCCCAGCGGTAGCGGGCGGACCCCCCTCCGGCAGCAGCGGCCCCAGTGGCCGCAGCAGCAGGTGGACTCCCTCCGGCAGCAGCGGCAGCAAGCCGCTGTGCTCCTTCCTTCTCCGGACAGGAGCGAATCAGGTGCTCCTCAGCAGTGAAGGTGTCATGGATGACAACTCCTTTCTCCACCACCTTGCTGACCAGCACCGTGCTGCTCAAAAAAATGACAATGGCCCCATTAATTCGGGAGGCAGACTTTACTGAGTTGTACCCGACCACCTCTCCACACAAATTTTTGGTCAGTTTATAAAAGGTGTGCTCAATCCTGAGATGTGCTGCCACCAAACCCTTGAGGCGACAGACCAGATCAGTCCAGTCCACCCCAAGAACCTTGGTTTTTTAGAGTCTTCCATCTGGAGTGCTAGCTTAGCACTCGGAAAAATAAATTTGTTTAACACCACAGATTTCTTTTTCTTGGGAGTGTATTTGGGTCCAAAGACAAAGAGTGGGAAAGAGAAAACCTCCCCCAAACCCCCCATCCACTCCTGCACCGCTTTAAAAAGAGCTGCCAGTCTGGGACAGGGCAGCACCAGGTGCTCTATGGTCTCTGACTGTGAGAAGAAGGGACATCCTCCCCAGTGTCTGGATCAAGATGAGCTCTATACCTGTTTGTTGCTATCGCTCCATGTATAATCCTCCATTGGAGATCTGCCATTTGTTTCTCAACAGGAGGCTTACACAGGACCCTCCAGTTGCCATCAGGGGAAAAGTCTGAGCCAAAAACCGCTGTCCACCTAGACTCTCTGACTCCAGTGAGGGAGCGCAGGTTCAGTGCCTTCACACAGCTAAGGTACAGCTGCTTCCCTGTGCAGGAGCTGAAGGCTCCCAGTACTGGTCTCTTTAAGGACAGCAACAGTCCACTCTCCTCCCTCCATTCTCCTACTGCAGGACTCACACTCAGGGAGGGGAAGATGTAGTCCTGCCACGCCACCACGCCCAGCTTGGCGGATCTCTGTTCGCCTCCGTGCGCCTCAGTCCATGAAAATACCAAACTGGCTGTACGCCGGGCTCCGCTAGACGAAAATACAACTGTGCGGGGTCCGCCACCCTCCGCCGCCTCACAGGCATACACGAAAAAAAAGCCCTGAGGCTTGGGTGCGCAAAGCTTTGAATTGAATGAATGAATGGATGTGATGCCGTGTGTTTATATTATATTATATTATATTATTATTATATTATACAATACAGAAATGATGAAGTTATTAACATGGTGTCTGTCTTTAAGACACAGTTGCAATGTCAAAAAGGGGCTGTGATGTGAATGTGCTTGTGTTACTTAGTTTGTTGTACGTACTTTTGTTACAGGGACAACATAAAACATAAACATTTCATTTATATTTATTTATTTTTATTTAAAAACTTTTCATCAAGTCTCGAGTCTATGGATTGTGAGTGGGGGAGGATTCCATTGCATTTCGCTGCCTGTCAATTCATTAACCAAACCCGCGAACCGTTTCTTGAATCAGTCACGTGGTACAGCCAGGTAGCAAGGCTTCGGACGTCATCATTTTTGGCTCCACCCCTACATGAAGCAAACCTCAATAAGCGTTTTGCGGAAACGCCCCCTTCATTACTCGACACATCACTACCTGAGGGAGAGAGCAGAGGAGAAACCAGAGAAGACGAGCGGTGATTAATTAACAGAAAAAGCAGTGAAAAAGTCGATAAAACAGTTGAAAACCATAACTTACCTGGTCGGGAACTGACGGGGATTTTATGAGAACTAAGCCACATCGTATTTTTTTCAGTTTTGTGTTTATTTTCATGCATTTTCACAGTGTTGTTGTTTTTTTTCTCTGCCGAAGAGCTAACACTAAAAACGTAGCTGTTTACAAAGAAATACTCCATCATAAACTGTTATCCAGTTAATATTTTGGGTTTATGAAGACTGTGAATGTTATAAAAGTGTGTGTAAGCTGACTAAATAGAAAATTTGTGCAGTAATTGCTACAGGAGACAGAGCTATGAGATAAAAGAGACCACTCCGCTGCCATTTTGAGTTGAAATAACACCGTAGCAGAAACATTACAACTCAGAGACTGTGAAGCATTTAATTGTGTAATTTGAGGATTTAAAAAGAGTTTTATTGTGTTTATGGCCTGTTACACAGGTCAGGTTTTTTTGCATGGTTGGAAGCTCGGTCGGAGCAAGGATTGGTCTGCCATGTGCAGGCATGCACATTCACAGACGGGATTCAAGATGGCGAGCCAGACCCAGACCTTCAACTCATCTTCTCCATCGCATCGTGAGGGAATCTCCTGCGTGTGGTAACTCCTTGCCACAGTGGTAGGAGTATCAGGAACTAGTTTGAACTGAACTGAACAAAACTGAGAACTGATTGAATTATTATTTTTGGACTGAATTGAACTGAAACTTTTCATTGAACTGAACACTTGAATTCACATTTGGACTTGAACTTAAATTTAAAGTGTCATACTTTTAATTTTTTATTGAGTTTATTTTTTTGAATGTGATTTGAATAACTGTGGTCCACTTTGATTTATTTGTGATTAAGGTGTTTTCTTACCTGTAAAAGAAAGAAAAAAAAAAGAGTTAACCGAGGAAGAAAAATAGGAATCCTAAAATACAGTACAGACCAAAAGTTTGGACACACCTTCTCATTCAATGAGTTTCTTTTCTTCTCATGACTATTGACATTGTAGATTCACACTGAAGGCATCAAAACTATGAATTAACACATGTGGAAATATATACTTAACAAAAAAGTGTAAAACAACTGAAAATACGCCTTCAAATAGCCACCTTTTGCTCTGATTACTGCTTTGCACACACTCTGCATTCTCTTGATGAGCTTCAAGAGGTAGTCACCTGAAATGGTTTTCACTTCACAGGTGTGCCCTGTCAGGTTTAATAAGTGGGATTTCTTGCCTTATAAATGGGGTTGGGACCATCAGTTGTGTTGTGCAGAAGTCAGGTGGATACACAGCTGATAGTCCTACTGAATAGACAGTTAGAATTTGTATTATGGCAAGAAAAAAGCAGCTAAGTAAAGAAAAACGAGTGGCCATCATTACTTTAAGAAATGAAGGTCAGTCAGTTCGAAAAATTAGGAAAGCTTTGAAAATGTCCCCAAGTGCAGTCGCAAAAACCATCAAGCGCTACAAAGAAACTGGCTCACATGAGGACCGCCCCAGGAAAGGAAGACCAAGAGTCACCTCTGCTGCGGAGGATAAGTTCATCCGAGTCACCAGCCTCAGAAATCGCAAGTTAACAGCGGCTCAGATTAGAGACCAGGTCAGTGCCACACAGAGTTCTAGCAGCAGACACATCTCTAGAACAACTGTTAAGAGGAGACTGTGTGAATCAGGCCTTCATGGTAGAATAGCTGCTAGGAAACCACTGCTAAGGACAGGCAACAAGCAGAAGAGACTTGTTTGGGCTAAAGAACACAAAGAATGGACATTGGACCAGTTGAAATCTGTGCTTTGGTCTGATGAGTCCAAATTTGAGATCTTTGGTTCCAACCAAGGTGTCTTTGTGCGACGCAGAAAAGGTGAACAGATGGACTCTACATGCCTGGTTCCCACCGTGAAGCATGGAGGAGGAGGTGTGATGGTGTGGGGGTGCTTTGCTGGTGACACTGTTGGGGATTTATTCAAAATTGAAGGCATACTGAACCAGCATGGCTACCACAGCATCTTGCGGCGGCATGCTATTCCATCCGGTTTGCGTTTAGTTGGACCATCATTTATTTTTCCACAGGACAATGACCCCAAACACACCTCCAGGCTGTGTAAGGGCTATTTGACAAAGAAGGAGAGTGATGGGTTGCTGCGCCAGATGACCTGGCCTCCACAGTCACCGTACCTGAACCCAATCGAGATGGTTTGGGGTGAGCTGGACCGCAGAGTGAAGGCAAAAGGGCCAACAAGTGCTAAGCATCTCTGAGAACTCCTTCAAGACTGTTGGAAGACCATTTCAGGTGACTACCTCTTGAAGCTCATCAAGAGAATGCCAAGAATGTGCGACGCAGTAATCAAAGCAAAAGGTGGCTACTTTGAAGAACCTAGAATATAAGACATATTTTCAGTTGTTTCACACTTTTTTGTTAAGTATATAATTCTACATGTGTTAATTCATAGTTTTGATGCCTTCAGTGTGAATCTACAATTTTCATAGTCATGAAAATAAAGAAAACTCTTTGAATGAGAAGGTGTGTCCAAACTTTTGGTCTGTACTGTAGGTACAACCTAGGAAAAAGAGACTGGTCTAACTAATTCAAATTAGTCTGACTAAAATAACCTAGAAGAAAACAGACTGGTCTAATTAAATTAGATTAGCTTTACTAAAATAAACTAGGTGAACTCAAGAACAAAATGAAAGAGTGAAATACTTTTTTCATTTATACTTACCTCATCATTGAGAACCTGCAGGGTATTTTTGGTTTCATATACTCTGTTTTTTATATGTGTGTTTATATTCAGTAAATTGCTGGCCTTTTCTACTTAAAGCAACAGTCTCTGGTGTTATTACTCTTGCTCCCCACTCCTTAAAGCCTAGAACTGGTCCAGTGGCGCAGTTAGTGGTGTGATACCATTTAGTGGTGGGCAAAACCGTTCATTTCAGTGAACCGGATCATTCTGGGTCGTTCAGTAAAAAGACCCGTTCATTTCGGTCAATCGGTCATTAGTCAGTCCGCTCGTTCATGTTTTTCACGTTCGTTCAGCGTCTGAACAAACGTGATGAGCGAACGGACTGACTGCACTTCAGACTCAACAGCGCAACAACATGTGATCTTGAAATCTGAAGCATTACACCCCTCCGGATCCGACGTTGCGATCGTCTCAGCTCCCCGGTCCTACGTTACGACCCCCCCCCCCGGTCCGCCGCTGTGACTGCTGCACTCCCCACTTCCCATCCCCGGTCCAACGCTGCGATCGCGCTGAACTCCTTGTAATATAAAATTATAGTAGGTGTAACAAAATATATAAGGTTTTTAATGGTTTTTATTATTTTGAGGTGCATTAAAAACAATAATAAAAAGTACAAAATGTCAACTGACAGTGCAAATGCGTATTAATAGTTGTCTCTCTGCCTCTGGCTGCAGCAGCAGCTGTGTGCCTTTGTGTGTGTGTGACTGTCCCGCTCGCTCGGTCTCGGCTGCCGGGCCTTGTGCTGCGGCCAGTCAACTCGGTCTTTCAGTCAACTCATTCATCAGTCAGGATCTTACGTTCACTCGGTCTTTCATTCAACTCGTTCACCGTCTGGGTCTTTCGTTCACTCGGTCTTTCAGTCAACTCGTTCATCTGTCTGGGTCTTTCGTTCACTCGGTCTTTCAGTCAACTCGTTCACCGTCTGGATCTTTCGTTCACTCGGTCTTTCAGTCAACTCGTTCATCGTCTGGGTCTTTCGTTCACCCGGTCTTTCAGTCAACTCGTTCATCGGTCTGGGTCTTTCGTTCATCTCGATCTTTCGTTCAACTCGGTCTTTCGTTCATTTAACCCGTTCTTTCAGTCAACTCGGTCATCCTGGTCTTTCAGTCAGCTCAGTAGTGCTGCTGCTGCTTCTCTAAGCCCCACCCACACACAGAACGAGGCGCAATGATAGGATAAGACAGGCAAGCACAGAGATAGTCCCTCTTCAGCCAATCAAAAGAACTGAACGGACTGAACGGGTCATTTAGGGGGGGAGAACTAGTTCATTTCGTTCACCAAAAAGAACTAGTTCTTTTGATCCGTTCATTCAAGACCGACACACCACTAATACCGGTGCTACAAACATGGCGAGCCAGCCAGGAGTGGCTTAAAGCATTTAAAACTAGAAACCAGAGACCGAATAATATTGCTATCAGTGTTCCAATATGGATGTCATTCAAACAAGTAGTGTAAAACTCCCTAACTCAGTCATAGTTAGTGGTTTGACTGGTACAGAAACTGACAACAAACTAAGTGACTTCCTGAAACAATATGGTTCCATTCAAAGGGTAATTCCAGTAGATATCACTGAACAAGAGTCAGGCAAACAGGTTATTGTAGAGTATGTGTATGGTGCAGCTATACAGTCTCTCTTACCTTCATTGCCATGCAGACTTAACAGTAAGATTAAGACTGATATCACCTACCACATCAGAGCTTTAGCCAGTGTTTACACACTTGTAGATAGCAAAACAGCTACACAGACTTACCTTTCAGAGTGAAAGGACATTGCAAAACAGACTGGCAAAGACTTTGCAGCTGTCCTCAGAGAAGAGCTGTCCCTCATCAGTGAGACTGTTGACCTAGATCACTCAGAGACCCAAGATGAAGCAGAACTCACCTGATACCCCAGAGCAACATGACCCTGACAATGCTGCACAGGTAAACCCCCTGCCCAGTACAGCCCCAGAGCGGCATGTTCAACATCATTGGTCTCCATCACCAACACCATCTAAAGAAAAGACACGGCCTGCTCTGAAACTTTCTGTCGTCAATCCACCTGACATACAAAAAGTAATCGTTGAGCACATAGTGAGAAATGAAGATTCTGCTCTGCAGGTGCACACTTCCTTGAGACTCAGACCCTTCTCTGGGCATGTCCCACGTCCCAACAATGAAGTGGACGATGAGGCATGGCGCTCCAACGTGGAACTTCTTAAAGACATAACACAGTCTGATCTTTAAAAGTCATGGAAGCTTCTTGAAAGTCTCGTATCACCTGCCATTGATATTGTGGAGCACCTGCACCTGAATCTCCTCTTGATGTGTACTTAGAGATCTTAGACTCCGCTTTCGGCACCGTTGAGGACAGAGATGACCTCTTCGCAAAGTATCTCAACACAATGCAAGATAATGGTGAGAAACCCTCAGCTTATCTTCAACGGCTGCAGGTGATGCTGAGCACCACCCTCAGGAGGGGAGGTGTAACTGCAAGGGACCTTGACCGGCATCTTCTCAGACAGTTCGTCAGATTTACAGTCCCAGCTCACACGTATCACACAGAGACAGTAGAAAAGCTGAATCAACTGTCAGACCACTAGCTCCCCAAACAGCTAGCACACATTCTCCAACTATCACTCACACATCTCAAAGGCTGCAGCCCCACAGCCGAGATTCAAACAACAACACAAGCAATAGATCAAGATCCTGGTATTGCTTTAGATGTGGAGAGGACGGACACATCAAGCCTCAATGTGAAAGTGAGCCGAACCCATGTCTTGTAGCTGAGAAGAGGAAGCAGCTAAAAGAAAAGCAGTTAGCATGGGACAGTCAACATGGCACTTCAAAGCCTGATCCTTTAAACAAGACCCAGTTCCAGTTGTGGGACAAACGGGGACTGGAACACAGACAAAATGTCCCAAAAAGAAGCTGCACAGAGGCCTTGTGTACTCTCACACACAAAAACAGTCAGTGACCCTGCCAAAAGGTCTGATTGGAGCCAAGTGCACCGCACAAGTGACCATCGCTGACAAAGACTGCAGTTGCTTGTTAGACTCAGGCTATCAAGTAACAACGATCCCCAACTCTTTTATTTTGGGAATTTGTCTCACTTACCTCTCAGTTCTTTGAACGACCTGCTTGAAGTGGAAGGAGCCAATAGTTAAAGCGTCCCTTACCTTGGCTACGTTGAGGCCACCATCAGATTCCCAGAGAGCTTGCTTAGAGCCGACATCGAGGTACCTACACTGGTCTTGGTTGTACCCGACATGCGCTCCACCTTGTCATCGGTGCTTATAGGCACAAATACTATGGATGTTCTCTACGAGAAATATGCAGAGATCGCACCTCAGAACTTTGAGTCTCTTCTTTATGGCTACAAAATCGTCCTAAAGACCCTTGAAATCCGGAAAAGACAGTCTGTTGATTCCAGCCTTTGGAACCATTGCAGCTGGACAGACCAAAGTCCTTGAAGGATCAGTGAGCTGCAGGACACCTTATACTGAAAAGTGGGTGATGGTAGAGTCACCAAAGTCATCGACCCTACCTGGTGGCATCCTGGTGACAGATAGCCTGGTAAGTCTACCACCAAAGCTACCACGCTGCATACCAGTCATACTCAAGAACGAGTCACACCATGACATCACCCTGTCTCCAAAGGCTGTCATAGCAGAGATACATGCTGTCAAGAGTGTCAAATCTGTCAAGACCCCTGACTCAGACTCCCCCACAAAACCTGACCAAAAGCCAAATCTCAACTTTGACTTCACTGACTCTCCTGTACCCAACAAGTGGAAAGAGAGAAATTGAGTTCAATGCCGGAGGTGTTTGCACTGCACGAGCTAGACTTTGGCCGCACTGACAAAATCAACTCTCAGTGACAAGACGCCATTCAAACATAGGCCAAGACCTATACACCCCCAGGACATAGAGGCTGTGCGTACCCATCTCCAGCAACTCCTCGATGCAGAAGTCACTCAGGAATCGGAGTCACCTTTCTCCTCGCCGATTGTAGTCATCAGGAAAGAGAATGGCAACGTCAGGCTCTGTAAAGACTACAGAAAATGGAACACACAAACAATAAAGGATTCATATGCCTTACCTAATCTGGAAGAGTCCTTCTCGGTGTTGACTGGGTCCAGGTGGTTCTCGGTGCTCGATCTCAAATCAGGCTTCTATCAAATAGAGATGGAGGAAGCAGACAAACACAAAACTGCATTCGTCTGCCCACTAGGATTCTTAGAGTTAAACAGGATGCCTCAGGGGATAACCAATGCCCCTAGCATGTTCCAGTGGCTTATGGAGCGCTGTATGGGAGAGTTGAACTTGAAGCAGGCCCTAGTTTTTCTGGATGACCTCATCATCTTCTCCTCGACACTGGAGGAGTATGAGGAAAGGTTGATGCGCGTGCTCAACCAATTGAAAGAGTTTGGCTTGAAACTGTCGCCAGGGAAATGCAAGTTCTTTCAAACCTCTGTAAAGTACCTCGGCCACATTGTGTCTAAAAAAGGCATCGAAACCGATCCTGACAAAGTAGCAGCATTAAAAACCTGGCCAAAACCAACCAACTTGAAGGAGCTAAGAACCTTCCTGGGTGTTTGCGGTTATTACCGCCGGTTTGTTAAAGACTACTCAAAGATCGTGAAGCCACTCAACAAGCTCACCGCTGGCTACCCGCCGCTGCAAAACAACAGTGAACCTTGAGAAGTACTTCAACTCAAAGGACTCCTTTGGTGACAGATGGATGCCTGCTTGCCAGGCAGCGTTCAACACCATAATCGAAAAGTTGACAACTGCACCCATCCTCGGGTTTGCTGACCCTAAGCTCTCCTACATTCTACAAACAGATGCGAGCACCTCGGGCCTCAGTGCTGCCCTCTACCATACGCAAGTCAAGGTCTGTCAAAGTGTGAGTCCAGGTATCCTGCGCACAAGTTAGAATTCCTTGCCCTTAAGTGGGCAGTGACAGAGAAATTCCAGAATTACCTGTACGGGAACACATTCCTTGCTGTCACAGATAACAATCCATTAACATACATTCTTACCTCTGCTAAGCTCGATGCCAGATGGTTGGCTGCTCTATCGACGTTCGATTTCCAGCTACAGTACAGAGCCGGTAAGCAAAATCAAGACGCGGACGGGCTGTCCAGATGGTCACAGCAGAGTACCTGATGACACATCATCACAAAAAGAGCTGGAGAGGATACATCAATTCACAAAAAGACACTTGTCAGAAGTTAAAATGCCAGAATGATCTGGACTTTCCAGGAGAGGTTAAAACCATTTCCATTAAAACCAAGTGATGGTCTGTGAAGCCAACAGGAAGGATCTGACACCTGGCTGCACGAGTGATAAAAGAAGAGGACATATAAAACCTGTCGAGTCTGGCTGCACTAACCATGCCGTCAGAGACTCTCACCCAGGTGTACTGCTTAGCAGAGGGATATTTTAACCTCCAGATGTCGACGAGGTTAAACTCTGTCAAAGAGGATGATTGGGACTGGAGCTCCTGCCCTATCCTGTCTAAGGTGCCATCTGTACAGCTGTTCCAATCCCCTCCCATTATAATGCACTCTCCCTGACTGCTGCTGCTCCCTTAACTGTTTTTCAATAAATTAAACAAGTGCGTACTGCTGAGTGTGTACTGCATGTACAAAAAATGTAACAAGACAGTACGAGAAGAGAAGAATAATATAAAATATTTTAATATAAATCTTACATAGCAAATCACACAAATTTGAAAACACACTAAAGAAAATGTGATTGTTCTATGAACAGAAAACACAAACTAAAACTAAAACCTGACCTTTCCTGCCTTCCTTGATGCAAAATCATCAATAATCTTGTCATAAGAAATCTGCTCACCTATTAACCCATTAAGACCTGAACCCTGTCTGAGCCACACCTCTGAAATCCTGAGGGCCATTTTAAGAAGGGCCCCCAGATCCTGAGGTTTTCTGAAGTGTTTAGGTTTACAAAAAAGCTGATATCTCAGCCTCTGTAGCAGATAGAAACAAAATTAACGAGAAAAGCACTCGGAGAGTGCAGACCTCCGCCATGCAGCCCCTTAAATAAGAAATGCCCTAACTGGGATTTGAACTTAGGACCTTCTGGTTTTGAGGCGACAGTGCTAACCACTGCGCCAAGGAAATCACCTAAAGCTTGTGCTACTAATGCTATATATAGTAACAACCTACCAACATATGCCCCGGCAGATGCCTGTTCAAATCCCGCCTCTCCGACACTTGTGCAATTACAAATTTCACAAACTGCTCATAAATACAGTGTTCTACTCATCAATCTACTCATAATAGTACAAGTACCCCAAAAAACTACTTAATTACAGTAACTTGAGTATTTGCAATTAATTACACCCCTGCTAATAATGTTCTACGCTGCACTCTGCTGGGGAGAAAGCATCAAACACTAAGATGCAAGACGTCTTTACAAACTGGTGAAAAAGGCTGGCTCTGTGATTGGACTCAAGCTGGACTCAGTGGAGGATGTGGTGGAGAGATCTACACTGAGGAAGGTGGAGACTATTCTCAAGAACATGGATCACCCACTTCACTACACCTTGATGGACAAAATGGTGGAGGACAGAAAGATTCAGAAGATCTTTTGTACCAAGAGCCATTAGGCTTTATAACTCTTATGTAAATAATAGATAACTTTTATAGACATATGATGTGAGACAAGAGACAATTGAATTTCTCTTCTGGGATCAATAAAGTACTTTTTATTCTGATTTTTAATGGTGTCAAACAGATGTTAATATTTTCTGTTCTGCTTAAAAATGGCATCAATTTATTATTTATTGATATTATTCATAATATTTATTACAAGTATTGACTATTACAAGTACCATAATTAAAAAGGGTAAAAGCTTACCCTTGTAACATAGGAAGGCCTACCCTTCAGCACTTCAGTAAGGAATTTTATATAGCCTGATCGTGATGTGTGAAGCAGTCTGACACATCTGTTGTTAGTGAATTACAATAACTTGCTGTTTGTCCTAGTGATGTGCAATATTATTGCATTTGAATGAAAAATGACAGTAAGTTGTACTGAGTCATGTCAATAAACATTTATTACAAACAGGTAAAACTGTGGGAAGTAATAACAGTAAAAAAATAAATATATTCAAGTCAACAATAACAGTAAAATAATGTCTCACAACAGAGTAGCTTAATATAATGTAATATAGTAAAAAATAATATAATATAATGTAATGTTATATAGTACAAAATAATATGACATAATGTTATGTAGTATAGTAAAATATAATATAATAATATATTGTGCGTCCTCTGAATCAAAGAGGGAGGCACGACCATCCCCTCTTCTTCGAAATTTAGGTTCCATTCTCTATGGTAGAAAAAGAAACAGAATATACTTGCTCTGATCTTTTATATTGCACACATTGTATATTGTAAAAGCATAATTCTCACTCTTGTTTGGAGGTATGTATGTAAGCAGAAGTATGTATGAATATATGATTGTATAGATCTGCCTCACAAATATTCAAGTTATGTCTGTCTTCTTCATATTTAGTTTTTTGGGGGGATTCTAGATTATTTTACTACAGGATAGAGATACAGCAAAATAGTGTTTTTACTGCATTGCTAACTTGTTTATTTCTGGATATGATCACAAAGCCTATGCATTCTTGTGTTGTTTCCTTTCATTCGGAACTCACGTTTCCCTAAAGTAAAATAATCAAGCTCAATGCGTCTATTACTCCTCATGTAAATTAGGTTATGCACGATTTGATCGCATTTGCCTGTCTGTGATACAGTATTAGCCTACAATGCATGATATAGCTGTTCACAGTTTACTTTCTTACGACCAGTTACTAGTTAGGTTCACTACTGTATTTGTGCACTCATTTAGCTTCCCTGAACTGCTTTACCAATGCCACAACCTGTACACTAACACCTTCCTAATTAATAGATAGCAAACTGTCAATTGTTTGTACGTACATGAAACTTCATTTCATGTACGTACAGTGACTTGGCTAGCTAACTGTTACTGACAGTCGTCCAAAAATCATGTAAAACTTTCATTTAAGCCCGCGAGCATCCTGGTTAATGAGCTATAAATGGAGGTAAAGTCAAAATTCTAATATTAAGACAAAAAAAAAAAACTTACCAAAACTGCGGTGAAAGATGTCGGTCCGTCCAGTGGAAGATAATACCGGTCCATCTGAAGCGCAGTGGAAGGTAATGCCGGTCCGTCCGGAGCGCAGTGGAAGGTAATTGGTTCTCGAAATCTTGGTAGCAGAGTGGCATCTGATTGGTCAAATCTTGGTAGCAGGGTGGCATCTGATTGGTCAAATCTTGGTAGCAGGGCGGCATCTGATTGGTTAAATCTTGGTAGCAATAAGCAACGGGATTGGATGTCATATTGATTCACGAGGTCGACTGACAGGTGACAGGGAGCGCCACTGTGCCGCCTATCTACACCACTGTGCCCATTGGTTATCTTTCAGCATTGAAAATTCCAACGACACCCTTATTTTTGTGTGTTCTGGATCACAGTATCCAGAATTTTGTCAGGATCACCACCAAAATTTAATGGATCCTCCTGGGGCTGAGATGCACCTCTGGTGAAAATTTCAGGTCAATCCGTCTCCGTAAAGTTGCTAACAGACAAACAAACAAACCAACGCTACCGAAAACATAACCTCCTTGGCGGAGGTAAAAAAGTATTTGAGAGCTTACAGGTGTGGCTTTCAAGATAACTATCTTTTATTTGTCTAAACTTTAAACATATTATTGAATACCTTGAAACAAACTTAAATGAAATAAAGCGGCTGTATGAATAAAAGTAAAGACTCTGCACTAGAGAATAAGAAACTATTTGCTTTCTGTAAAACAAGTGGCAGTCATGATAAAATGTCCATTTAATTCAAATGCAACTATAAAAAATAAAGTGTTGAGAGGGTATACAGCTGCCCTAGTATAGTGCCAGTACAAAAGCAGCTCTAAAAAATAAAAAATAAATAAATAAATACGTGGCTGACAGTGTGTTCATCTCTGTGCTCCCCCAAAGTAATGCAACACTCACAGAAATCGCCGATAGTGTGAGCCAAAGACCTCAGTACGAAGAGGTTGTTCACACTGCTGGATGTTTCTCCTCCAAAGCTGCTCTCTGCCTGTCATTGTTTACTTTCCTCACGACGCACGTAGTAAGATCCGAGCATGAATCTGATCGCTTTATTAGCTTATCAGAGGCAGACTGGTCTGATGATTCGATTCGCCACGACTCGAGAAATGATTAGAAAACTACAGAATGTTATAAAATGACGATTCCGTGCTCCCGGCTTGAAGGCTGAAATGCGGACATACTGTCCCGGTTTAAATGGGTTAAGTGATTGATGACGGCAAGGCCATTGAGCCGTTCCTGAGACATGGTTGACCTTAGGTACGACTTTATCAACTTAAGTTTTGAGAAGCTCCTCTCTGCTTGAGCCACCGTGACTGGCAGAGTGAGAGCAATCCTGAGAACACAGCTGTCCCCGCGACCGTCTCCCCGTTTCGTCTCATACAGTCTGTCAGCCTCTGTGCAGCACCTTCGCAGCAAGCAGGGATGCCTACAGCAGCAGGGGGGGGCACCAATTTGACAATACAAAACCGCATTGCGGCGC